GGAGAAGTAATTGGCCTTGATGATGGGCTGCCAATCCAGACTCGACCATTGATGACCCCGGAAGTCCTCCGTCACGGCGTCCTTGGGCCAAAAACGCAGGACGGCTCTGTCCGCGCTCCTTCACAACCTCAACCGTCTCAACGGTGTCGGACGTGTTGCCAAACTGCTCGAAATACTTTCGTCTTTCCGGGTTTGTGAGCGTCTCCTTCCACTCGCAGAAGTAGCTGGCCACCAGCTCCTCCATCTGCCGCTCCATGTCGGCGCAGATGCCGAGCTTGTCGTCGATGATCACCTCGCGCAGGTAGTTGATGCCCCCCGGGAGGTTTTCGATCCAGCGCGCCGTGCGCTGCAGTTTGTCGGCCGTGCGGATGTAGAAGATCAGATAGCGGTCGAGCAGGGGGATGACCTGCTCTGGAGGCACGTCTTTGGCGAGCAGCTCGGCGTGACGGGGCTTTGCGCCACCGTTGCCGCCGACGAAGATGTTGTAGCCCTTTTCAGTGGCAATCAACCCGAAACTGGTCGCTTCGTCAGGAGTTTGATTCCGTTTCTACAGGAGGGAAAGTAGGGGGTCATACTCCTTATTCTGTGCTTCGGCACATTCTCTTACACAGCCAGAAACACCCCCCTTGATCTTGTGCGGCGACCGGATGCTCTTGTATCGTTCTTCCAGACGGATTGCCATCCCGACGCTGTCGCCGATGCCAAACCGGCACCAGGTTGTTCCGACACAGCTCTGTTTTTTACGTTAGATGGCTTGAGAAACGGTGGAGAGGCTGGACTACAGACCTTGATAGTTCGCAGCGACTTGGCGTAGGCATGACCACTCTCCATCCCCGCATTCACTAGCTCCTCCCAGATAGCGAGAAGATCCTGCTTCTTCGCGCCAAACATGTCGATGCGCTGCCCTCCGGTAATCTTGCAATATAGATTGTATTTCTTGGCCACCTGGCCGATAGTAATGAGCTTGTCGGGCGTGATTTCGCCGCCGGCCACGCGTGGCACGACGGAGAAAGTTCCGTTGCGCTGGATGTTGGCCAGGAATCGATCGTTGGTGTCTTGCAGGTCGTGGACGGCTTTGTCCATGACGTGGGGATTAAAGAGACTCGAAAGGATGGATGCGATAGCCGGCTTGCACAGTTCGCAGCCCAGGGACTCGGGGTTCTTGCCGCAGGCTTGCATCACGGCGTCAAAGGTCTTTAGTTGCTTGACTGCGATGATATTGTAGAGATCGACTCGCGAGTACGGGATGTGAGAGCAGACTGTAGGACTGTCAATATATATTCGAGATGGATACCTGGCGAGTACTCACGGTGGTTGGAAACTTCCTGTCCCATCTCCTTCATCGTCTTGTTGAAGATGGACTGCACCAGAGGCATGCATCCCCCACAGCCCGTCCCAGCCTTGGTGCAGGACTTGACTTGTGCGATAGACTTGCAGGAGCCGATTTTGACACTCTGGATGATGTCTCCTTTGGTGACGTTATGGCACGAGCAGATCTGGGTATCGTCGTCGCTGCAAGAATCAGCATCAAACCCAAAGAATTACGTGCTGTAACTTACAGATCGTCACCATTCTCATCACCACCACTCTGCGAGCCGAGGATAAATTGACTAGGCGGCACATCCAGCTCCTTCTGATTCTTGACCATCTGGTTCAGCTTGACGTAGTCCTTGGTATCGCCGATCATCATCCCGCCGAGCAGGTACTTCCCGTCCAGGGTAAACAAGTACTTTTTGTAGACGGCGCCAAAGGGATCTTTGTACGTGAGTGCCTTGACCGACTGTGTGTCTTTAGCAGGCCTGTTTTTCAACTTGTCAAACGGCATCACCCTGTGCGTAGACGCTCGTCGTCCTGGGAGGAACTTGGGGCCGTCTCTGTCAGCGAAAAAGTCGCCAAAGCTGGCCACGTCGACGCCTAACAGCTTCAACTTTGTGCTCAGGTCCGGTCTGTTGAATCGCCTGGGCTCGTTGTCAGGATGAGTGAGGTTGAACGACAGCACGTCGGCCATCTCGATGCCGGGGGCGATGATGCCAAATGTCTGGTTCTCCCAGCTGGCGCATTCTCCGATGGCGTAGATATCTGGAATTGAGGTCTGAAGACTAGACAGAGATTTAGCTTGGCTAAAGTATTCTATATAAAGTCCATACCTCTCATTGACGACGAAGCCTCCTCGCGGGGCACGTTCAATGCCTGCCTTCTGGCCCAACTCGTCTCGTGGGCTGACCCCGATCTTGTCCAGTTAGCATGGACCAGAGAAAAGAAGATCATGCCAAGGCAGTCTTACAGCGAAGCAGATACAACAGCAATCAATTTTGTCTCCATCCTCAAAAGTGATACCCGTAACATTATTGCTGCCATCCGTTTCAATCCGCGCGACACGTTTCTGGAGCATGACATCCAGCCCCAGCTGGCGGATCTTCTCCGTCACCAAGGCGCCTGCATCGCCATCCAACTGCCGCGCCAGGACCCATCTGTTGCGATCGATCAGTTTCACGCTGCCGAATTCCTGCAAGTCCATCATCGCCTTGGCGGCCTCCAAACCCAGCAGACCTCCTCCGACGGTGACGCCCGTCTGGCCCTTGTGCCGCGACGCGAACTCAAGCAGGCGCTGCAGGTCGGAGATGGTCCTGTAGACAAAGACCCCGTTGGCATCGTAGCCGGGGATGTTCGTGGGAAGGACGGCATCAGAGCCTGTGGCGAGCACCAGGATGTTGTACGAGACCTCCTGGCCGGTGGATGTCTTGACCAGTTTGTGGTCAGGGTCGACCTCTGTGACACGCGTGTTGAGGTGGTAATTGAAGGAGCCATCTTTGAACGAGGAATACTTCTATTGTTAGTCACAAACTTTCCTGATTTCTGGCCTTTTCTCTTCAGCTTACCCATTCCTCAGGATTGAGATACAAATCCTCGACCTTGCGATGCTCAAAGAAGGACGACAGGCCAACGCGATTGTAGGCCACGTGCGGCTCCTCGCCGATCACGACGATGTCATATTGTCGGAGTTCGGCATCGAGCTTCATTAGTTTTTCTCTTGACGGAAATTAGCATATCTGTCACATATCAAGATTGAGGCGCACACACATAAAGGCGATGGCAACCATGCCCAGCCCGACGACGACTATTTTCCTTCGCTTGTCGGACGGGCTTGCTTGCGAAGAGTCGATAAGGCCGTTGCTGTCTGTCCCATGATTTTCTCCATGTCCATTGATGTTGGTAACCTTGCGATCGTCCATCAGAGTACTTGTGGATGGCATCTCCGTCGTTGCGGATAACGAGTCCATGATAGTATCTCTAGAATGCTAGAATAGCGAAAGACAACTACTGCCAAAGTAGATATGTATTTACTCTACGACTACGAGCTATGAAAAACGTGATCAGGAAAGCAAGACAAAAGCCTAACCTATGCAGATAGTAAATACGGACCTTCTTACCTATCTCGGTGGCGAGCATCTCTGATATGGGCTCCGATGCTGACAGATGAAATGACCCTACGACAAGAGCAGGAAAAAGTTACATCATGTGTATGGAGGACTACATTACTGTACAGATTACTATGTAAAGAGTACAGCGTACAGCATACCACGGACCCTTCGTAACACAGGTCCTACTACAAACTCAATCCCGACTGAATCTCAAAAATCCCGAGTCAGGCAGCCTAGGAGAAATCCTCCGCGGAGATGAAAGAAAGAAATCAAATAAAAAGAGAATTCAAATTGATATAAGCTAATGAACATAAATACTTATCAGCCTGCCCCACTGATAAGGCCATAAACTAGGTAGAGAATTGGCCAATCAGCTAGTCTGCTTATTTTTCAAGTATCATGGCGTCTAATCACTAATACTTATTATTAAGTTTATGTAAATGTACTTGGAAGGCAGAATTGTTCCTTCGGAGATCTTCTCCTAGTGAGCCTAACAATAATAATAACCTTTTTCATGTAATGGACTCTCTCAATCTAGTTTGTCTACAGTACACTAAGTACAAGTACTGTATAGTACGTGTAGGCCTCGTCTGGACTGGACTGGACTGGACTTGACTCGGAAACCGGCATGCTCCTTCAGAATCAGGTAGGTGACTTTGTTTGTAGAGACGTCACGTCTCCAAAGAATGAATGTCGATAATTAGGTAAAGGGGGAATTTTCAGTTCCGGTTGATTTTTTTTTCCGTTGAAATTATGTAATTAATTTCTTAATTTAATTTCTCGCTCGAAAGGATAGGGATGGACTGCATCTGTCCGTCGGGACTTGTATGTAGTCTTTCCATGCCATAACTTTGTTCTCAACATATCCATCAATCTATCTATCTACCTCGTTATTACCGGTGGCTCGTGACTAGGACAGAAACCACTGCACAACAACAGGTAGACAACATGGCGACCATCACAGAGAGCATCACAAACGACATCGTCGCGGCGAAGACGAAGAAACTCTACCCGATCAGATCTGTCGGGATACTCAAAGAGGAAGAAGAACAAGCAGAGGCCAAGAAGAAGGAACAGGAGAAAGTCTCTGTGTCGACATCGACACTTCCAAACATCGACATTCCACTCCCACCACCGACGACCGTCCCGACAGAGGTGCTCGAAATCGACAGAGATACTCCCGACCAGCATGTGCCCCGCGATCCTCGTCTGATCAGATTGACGGGGTCGCATCCCTTCAATGTAGAGGCTCCGTTGACGGATTTGTTCAATGAAGGTTGGTATTCTGTTGGCATCTTCTTTCTTCCCTGATCTGCATTTGTATGGTCTTTCCACTGACTTCTCCGGTCAAGGCTTCCTGACGTCGCCAGAGCTGTTCTATGTGCGAAACCACGGGCCGGTTCCTCACGTCCGGGATGAGGATATTCTCACGTGGGAGCTCAGCGTTGAGGGGTCCGTTCCTTTCTCCCTTCCCTTTCTTTTTTTTGTATCAATCAAATAAACCGTCGAGTTCACACTGACAGGTCGCAGACTCGTTGAGAATCCCCTCGTCCTGACCTTTCAGCAAATCCTGCAAGAGTTCGACCAGATCACTGCCCCAGTCACCTTGGTCTGTGCCGGGAACCGGCGCAAAGAGCAGAACCAGGTGCGCAAGTCCAAGGGCTTCTCCTGGGGCGCTGCCGGCGTGTCGACCGCTCTCTTCACGGGTCCCCTTATGTCCGATGTCATACGCAGAGCAAAGCCCCTACGGAAAGCTAGATATCTGTGTATGGAGGGAGCGGATAAGCTGGTAGGACCAAAACAAATAAATAACATGTCAATAAGCGTCAGTCATGGCTAACTCTACCGGCTAGCCTAACGGGCATTATGGCACGTCAGTCAGGCTGAATTGGGTCATGGACCCGAACAGAGGAATTATGCTGGCCCACAAAATGAATGGCGAGCCCCTGCGTCCGGATCATGGCCGTCCTCTGCGTGCCGTCGTCCCAGGCCAGATCGGTGGACGGAGCGTGAAATGGATCAAGAAATTGATCCTTACCGACAAGCCAAGCGACAACTGGTATCATATTAACGACAACCGAGTTTTGCCGTAAGTATAACATACATATCCATCCACTCTGACCATGAGGAAAGAACTGATCCCGAACTGTCCAGAACAATGGTCACCCCTGAAATGGCCAAAGATCCAAAATGGTGGCATGACGAGAGATACGCCATTTACGATCTCAGCGTCAACTCTGCTGCCGCATATCCTCAACACAACGAAGAACTACGGCTGTCATTTGCAGGGCCCACATATACCGCAAAGGGCTACGCGTACGGGGGTGGAGGACGACGGATAACAAGAGTCGAGATCTCATTAGATAAAGGCAGATGTGCGTGTTTACCCAAACAACTCGTGCAGCCGAATTCGTCGAGCTGACTGTGTTGCAGCTTGGCGACTGGCAAATATTGACTATCCAGAGGACAAATACCGCAATTTCGAGTCGGATCTGTACGGTGGTCGTGTAGACATGTGGTGGCGCGAAACGTGTTTCTGCTGGTGTTTCTGGTCCCTGGACATCCCGGTCGCAGATCTCGAGCAAAGTGATGCGATTCTCGTCCGAGCCATGGACGAAGCCCTGAACATCCAACCGCGGGATATGTATTGGTCCGTTCTGGGTATGATGAATAACCCATGGTTTCGCATTGCAATAATCAAAGAAAACGGGGTTTTGAGATTCGAGCACCCAACGCAGCCTGCCTCGATGCCAGGTGGATGGATGGAACGAGTCAAGAAAGCTGGAGGTGATTTGGCCAACGGTCAATGGGGAGAACGGCCAGACGGAGATGCATCAACAAGCGATCCACGACCGGCGGAGGAAATTCAGATGAAAAAAGAAGGACTGAGGAGAAGTATCGATATCAAGGAGCTCAGGAAACACAGCACCGCAGAAGAACCTTGGTTCGTCGTGAATGGGGAAGTATACGACGGGACGAAGTTCTTGGAAGCTCATCCTGGTGGAGCCCAGAGCATCATATCGGCAGCCGGCATGGATGCTTCTGAGGAATTCCTTGCCATCCGTAAGCCATCCATCGAGGTAGCCCAGGGCCTGACTGACAAGTCATGCAGACAGCGAGACCGCCAAAGCAATGATGCCGGACTACCACATCGGAACACTCGACCCGGCCTCGAGGGAAATTCTCAAGAATGGTTCCGACGAACAGAAAGAAACTGGAGAAGTCTTTCTGCAACCCAGGGTTTGGAAGAAGGCCACGCTCTGCGAGAAAAAATCAGTCTCGTGGGACACGCGTCTATTTACCTTCAAGCTCGAACACGAGACTCAGACCCTAGGCCTCCCAACAGGCCAGCATCTGATGCTCAAGCTGAAAGACTCCAGCGAATCGATTATCCGATCTTACACTCCCATCTCCGAAACGGACAGAAAGGGAACGGTGGAGCTGCTTGTCAAGATATATTTCGACACCCCGACGTCAAAAGGCGGCAAGATGACCATGGCTCTTGACAAGATCCCCATAGGCTCGACCGTAGAGTTGAAAGGCCCGATAGGCAAGCTCACGTATCTTGGAAAAGGTCGCGTCCTGCTGAACGAGAAGGAACGACACGTCAAGTCATTTCGCATGATCTGCGGTGGCAGCGGTATCACGCCCATCTTCCAGGTTCTGCGAGCCGTCATGCAAGATCCGCAGGATCCAACTTCTTGCGTCCTTCTCGACAGTAATCGGTCGGAGGAAGACATCCTGTGCAGACCGGAGCTTGACGCCTTTGCTGCTGCAAAGAGTTCCAAATGCAGTATCGTCTACACGCTGACGAAGCCGTCAAGTAGTTGGACGGGTCGCCGCGGACGCATCTCAGAACAGCTGCTCAAGGAGTACGCACCTCCCGGCGAAGGAAGCCTGGCTCTCATTTGCGGACCGGAGGCGATGGAGAAATCTGTCCACCGGATTCTTCTAGCACAAGGATGGAATGAATCGGATCTTGTTTTCTTCTGAAGACGGTTGCCATAATCGCGTTTGTAAGTATAGGGGTATAGGCGTTCACATTGTGTGACTAGAGATCTATAATGGACATGGCAAATTACATTCCTGTCCATCAGAGAAGAATCCGGATTACACAGGATCAGGATACATTAGCGGTCGTACATTAGCGGACGTGAATACCAGACTCCGCGTTCATCCTCGGTCATGCCAACTAGTAGTCTCCTTCATATCAAGTCGTAGCAGGAGATGCTCGAAAACATTCGTGCCATGGCTGCCCGACAACGTCGCGTCATGCCGGCTGCGGGACTTGGAGAACATCCTGCCACCGTCGAGGCTTCTCAGATAGCGCACAAACGCTCCGACCTGCTTTCTGAACGTGACATGCAGTTGAAACACCGTTCTTTCGCTCTGCTGTCTTACTCCGCTGTGGCCGTCTAGCCTCGACAGAGGCGCGAAAGCTAGAATAGTCCCGAAGATATCCTCCAATAGCTTGTTGGCCTGTTCGTGTCTTTTGCTCAGAAAGAGGGAAAACAAAATCTGGTCGAGGGTGTCCTCGTGATACTGTCTTAGGCGGTGCAGCGAGCCTGCCGTCTCGATGGTCCCGTCGATATCACCACGGTCTAGACAGCGCTCGATCTTCGACAGTGTAGACTCGAAGCGCTTCCAGGTAGACCCAACACCGATCTGGAAGAAGTAATCATTGAGTGCGCCGATGAAGTGCTGTGCGTCAACGCGGAACTTCTGAAAGATATTCCGCGTGTCTCCCGACAGAGAGCCCCGCGCCGTAGAATCACGTACAAGACCGTGGACGACAGAAACCATTCGTAACAAGCGGAGAAGGTGTTTAAACAAGCGGTCGTATTTGTGAAGTGATCGGGACGTGATGACACTTTCTAGAACCGTCGGCGGTGTGTATTGTAAACGCAAGAAATCCAATGCCTCAATTGCATTGGGGTCTTTGCATTTGACCAATTCTTCCCCTCTCAATTCACGAATTGCGAAGCTCAAGCCCCCCGGTAATTCCTTCTCCTTTGTTTCATGCTGCATACCCCGTGTCGAGGGCCGGTTTTCACTAGCCTCATGACATTCAGCAAGTAACCCCATGAGGACCAGGCGTAATTCCGAACTCGCCGGAGGCCAAGTATCACGATTTCCCAGACGCAGTCCGGTATGGACGCCGCTACGTGCTACACCGGGCTTTCGCTCTCCGCTTGCCATTTCCGGGTCAAAGAGGGCATGGGATAAACGTGAGGCAAATATGCCATCGCCCAAAAGCTGAAAACGCCACTGTATTCTGAGATGATACCGCAACTTATGCACTTTAAATAACAGATGCAAGCACGAGTAGTCGACAAGCCGTGCTTGCAGAGAAAGGGTCGGGGCAAGAGACAGATATAGAACCGATGCCAGCGGCGGGCCAAAAGCTGTCTCAGTGATATCAGAGGATTCTGGGTTGAGAAAGTCATGGTTAACAGCCTTAGAATAGAGACTGTCTGACTCCAAGGAAGAGCTGTTCCCAAGAAGCCCGGTCGAGTTCTTCGCGTCATCGAGGTCGATCAGTTCGAAATTATCCGTCAGACTAGGATCGGACTCGTTTCCGTCGAAAGCATCGTGGCCAATTCGAGTACCACGGCGCGATTTGGAAGTATCACCTCGATGATATCGGAGTATCTCCTGACGAAGTTGACGCTCATATTGACTGGCCTTGTTCTGGATTTGCTCAATGTCCGCCCAAGAAAACGCACACTCAAGCGCTGGAGGATCAGAGCTATCCACAACATCTTCCCTTGAAATGGGATGATTCGGTTGCTCCTGCTTGAGAAGCCGAAGAGCCTTTCCGGTTTCAAAAACGAGTCTTGCTTGGTCGGCGGGGACAGAAGACGGCATCATCTCTGGACGGTAGTAATATTCGGCTATTGGGGGTGCGATTCGTTGCACACCCAAGTCCTGGGAGTATTCCACTTCAATAAAGCTGTCCTTCATACTGCTCAGTTGAGTCGAGAGGGGCTTTTCGCTTCGAAGCCCGATCCAACTCTCCACCAGTGCCAGCCACGGCCGCGTGCACCGAGCAATAATGTCGTGCAATATGTCCGCCATCCAAGGAAGTCGCTGTACGTGGTTATCGCATTTGACAAGAAGAATGGAGATGATCTCGCTTTCGTATTTGGCCTTTTCAACTGCATCGACAATATCTGCCAAAGTGCCAACCAGCTCACCGCACCGCCGGAACAAGGCCTGAATTTGAATCAATGATGTTTCCGGACCGAGGTATGTCGACAGCCGTTTTTCAAGACCGTAAACTAATACAGAAGCAGCACCAGCCAGACTGGATAAAGCAGACGGCTGGTCCGGTACAGCTGGGTTTTGCCGAACAAATTTCCGGATCCTCTGCATGTCTGTCCCACACTGCAAGACATTTCCGATCAGACCATCTATTGCCGCAAGACTGACTCCTGATACGCGTATGTCTCGTATGCTTTTCTCGAAAGCCCTCTTTTGCTCATTGTAGTGGAAGAACATCGAGTTCCAACCGAGTCCAAGCCGAAACAACGCATGGAGGAAAACATCAGGCCGTACAAGACGTCCAGAATTTTCCAGCCCGGTGACCGATGCCTGATAGGCTAGTGCAGCATCAAACCCTCGGGCTCCAAATTCGCTCAGGTATGCCGAGGCAGGTTCCCGAAACCCGTGATCTAGGAACCCATCCCAAGACTGTAGTTTAGGCTTTGGTTCTGGCGTTTCGCGCAGAGTCTCGAGCGCCCAGATGTTTTCCAGTTCCGGAACGGAAGACTTCGTGTCATCGTCGCTTTCATCAGTCTTTTCTGCTTTCGCCTCGTCGTTGACGGTCTCGGGTGCGGCAACCGGGTCCGGGTCGACGGCATCGGATCCGAAGACATCGAGCTGGTAAAGGAGGGAGTCGTTTTTCTCGAATAAGTTGAGGGGATTTTCAAAAGGGCCCGTTGGAATATCTTATTCCATTGCACCTGTAAATAAAACTATTCAATTCCATTGAGAAAGGCCACCAACATACCAGGCAGTTCTTTGTCCCAGATCAGCGGTTCGAGGGGCGGCAGGGGCTGCAAGGGAAACCGGGAGGGCTTCCACAAATCCCCGATGTCGAAGGGGTCCTCGTGGTCATCTTCCAGATCCATTCTGGGCATGCTCCCAGGACACGGCGTTGTCAGTTCTTATCGGCTCCACGCGATGACTCGCGTCAACAGAATCTCGCTCAGCAGTGCGTCCGCTAGTCCGCATCGGGGCTAGGGCAGCGTGATGCGTGCACAGACCACCGCTTATTCGCCAAGGCTTCTGCTGCCGCGTGCTTGCAGTTCGCAGCAATAACGTTACTCCGTGCCTAAGGAAACCGACTCGGAGGACTCCGTGCCTGTCGCGTCGGACTCACGCGCTGAATTCGAGGCTCGATTCATCAACACTGCACACTCCATTGCTCGCACAACGGTTGCTGGGGTAGGAGGATTCACGCCGACCGCACAATGCCACCCAAGAAGAAGCCCAAGCTGTCGTCGCGCACTGCTTCGAGCACGCCGCAAACCGAGCCTGCGAAACCCCCCGGGAGCACAGCAGGTCCTGGAGAGGGTGCACAACGGCCTGACCTGGAGCGCGACCTGGTCAATGATCCGTGGACCGATGAGCAGGAGACCGCGTTGCTGAAAGGCATTGTGAGATGGAAACCCGTTGGTTCGTGTGCGGCAGCTTCCCGCCAGCTTGCGGTCTCACTGATGGTTGGTTGCTGAACAGGCATGCACAAACACTTTCGGATGCTGGCAATTTCGGAATACATGAAGAGCCAAGGATATGCGCAGGCGAACGAAGAACACACTCGCATACCGGGGATTTGGAAGAAGCTGGGGACGCTCTACAACCTCCCTGCGCTGGACGAAAGGGTCAGTTTCGTCGAGTGCTGCTGGGCCCTGTAGCTACATCTCTGACGCATGGAGGTCATACAGGAAGACTCGATTATCGCAGATGGATCTGATGAGTCGGAATATTGCCCATTCGAGTTGCCGGAAGACGAGTTCGGCGAATTGATGTTCTCGAGGCGGCTGGCCGCAGAGCGGTCTTCATCCCCCGCGACGTCTGGACACCCGGAGTCCCGACGAGGGAGTACAGTCGCAGACACAGATGGTAGGCCTGACCTGCTTCATCTCTGCAGCCAGTTATTATTTGCTGATTTGTTGCTCTGTGATTTAGAACCCAGATCGTCTCCAGCACCACCACGAGGTCGTCGAGGCAAAGCTGGCCGTCGAGGCAGAGCCACAAGGCTTCAGGTCGAGGTCGAGAACCCCAAAAAGCCGTCTTCCGATAGAGCCAGCGCAGCAAACGAAGACGAGGAGATGGAGGACGCGGGTGCGAACGAAGATGAGGGCGATGAGGAAGGCACAGATGGCGGGAAAGAGGACAGCGAAGAAGAAGAGGCAGAGGCAGAGGCAGCGAGCTCTCCTGCCATGCGAAACGCGAGAACGCAGAGCTCACGGTCCAAGAAGGGCCGTCCTGCGACTGGTCCTGGAAGACGCGGACGACGTCGCTAATCTTACTTTCTCCATCTCCCGTTGTTCTCACGACACTTTACGTTGATACGTCGAGGGACTTAGTTATCTACGGGGCTATGTCGTGGCCTTTTTTTTTCTTAACGTGTACGACTAGTGATGTACATATATTAGGGTTTTTCTTTTCTTTCCATAGCGTTCTTCAGAGGAAATTGTCATGACTCATTCTCCGGATTCAAGCAAAGTCCTCCGGACGTGGTCCCATTTCAAACTTCCCCTCCGAATATCCGCGAAATAGTCTAAGTACTACCTCCATGGAAAGGCTATGCCAACATAAAGTATTGAACTTATATCAGCAATAATACGGACGTCTAACTAACTACAAGCTGTAGATGGAGTTTTTCGTGGCTGCAACTGGTCCGTTGCAGGAGGCAGAAAGGTGGTTTCGTGACATAAGAGGTTAGGTAGGTGGGACGGGTGAAAGGCAAAAAAAAATAGTACAAGGCGGGATAGGTCGAGGGTCAAGAGCTTATTGCAAGCGCTTGATGATGGCCTCTGCGTATTCATGCGTCTTGGCAGTGCCACCAAGATCGCCGGTGAGGGACTATTCAGACAAAACACGTTAGCTGGATGAAACACTGCTAATTGGGACTCGTCGCCACTAGGGAACACTCACCTTGCCCTCCGCCAGGGTGTCGAAGGTAGCCTTCTGGATACGAGCAGCATGCTCGTTCAGACCCATGTGCTGCAGCATCATGATAGCGCTCAGCAGGAGCGCCGTCGGGTTGGCAAGACCCTTGCCGGCGATATCGGGAGCGGAGCCGTGGACGGCCTCGAAAATGGAGCACTCGTCACCAATGTTCCCGGAGGGGGTCAGACCCAAGCCACCGATGAGACCGGCGCACATATCGGACAGGATATCACCGTACAGGTTGGGCATGACCAGGACCTTGTCATTGTAGGGCGTGGGGTCGGTGACCATCTTGAGGCAGGTGTTGTCGAGAAGCTCATGGTCGAACTCGATGTCCGGGAATTCTTTGGCAACTTCGCGGGCGGTGTTCAGGAAGAGACCGTCGGACATCTTCATCGATGGTGGCCTTGTGCACAACACGGACCTTCTTCTTCTGGACAGCCCGGGCGTGCTGGAAGGCGAACCGCAGGACGCGCTCCGAGGCTTCCCGGGTAATGAGCTTGATGCTCTGGACAACACCATCCACCACCACGTGCTCAATTCCAGAGTACTCTCCCTCGGTGTTCTCACGGATGAGGACGGTGTCGACATTGTCGTAGGGAGTCTTGTAGCCGGCAATGGAGCGGCATGGACGCAGATTGGCAAAGAGGTTGAACGTCCGGCGAAGGGTCAGGTTGAGCGAAACGTGGCCTTTGCCGACAGGAGTCTATGGGAAACCGTAAGTCTGGACCCAACGCATTCTCTCTCGAAGCAAGAGCAACATACAGCCAGAGGACCCTTGAGGGCCACGTAGTTCCTCTGCACACTCTGAATGGCCTCGTCGGGGATAGCAGTCCGCCCATCTTTAATGATCGGAGTAACGTCTACTGGTTCCCATTTGATCGGCACCTAGCTGCTTCTCAGTCTTCTCGTCGCTTCAACCGGCTAAGAATTCGTTCCCAGCGCACCTGTGCTGCAGCGAAAATGTCCTTGACAGACTGGGAGATTTCAGGACCAATGCCGTCACCCTCAATTAGAGTAACCGTGTATTTTCCCTGTTTCCGATGTTGCATTTAGCTTGTGTCTTCTTGACCACGCGTCATTGTGGGTGTCATCACAGCGGAACGAGCGGGTGAAAGGAAAAAGTTGCGCGACGGGACAGCATACATCCGGACCCTTCTTCCCCTTGAATTTTGCGACCTTCTCTTCAGCAGCAGCAGCATAGCCACGGACCTAAGCATGAAACCATGTCAGAATCGAGCCATTGAGCTCTTTGGGACCTCAGTCACGAGAGGCGCACCTGTGAAAATGGCGATGCGTATCTGGGAGCGAGGCGGGCCCCCCGCAGGCATTGGCGGGAGGGCGCAACCAAGGCACGCACGGATATCATTGTGAAGAGAAGAGCCTCCAAGATCAAAGCTTCACGTCTATGAGCAATTAGGGAGGGGAGGGAAGAGGAGGAAAAAGAAGTGGTTAGGCACGCCGGGTGGACACTGGGTAGATTCGGCGTTGCCGTGCGTTTAGTTCCCTCCGAATGGGGCGCTCCCGACACCTGGTTACTTCCGCGTTTCGGAGCTTCTGCATCGGCTCCATGCAACGTCGAGATACGATTACTCGGATTCAAGTGCCGGTCCCCCCAAACCGGCAACAAGCTCCATATAGCATCCTGTATTGCTCCTGGTGATTCTGCGGCGCGTCATCCTGCAGGGCCATCTGGAACGCTGCTGGCGTTGCGCTGGAGCTCCCCTGCTTCCATTCCGATCCCCCTTGGCTTCTTGACACCTGCCATCAACGCAACCCACGCCTAGGCCTTCCACGATGGCAGAGGATATCGACGTCGCCAATCACTACGGTCTCCCGAGCGCTTATCCCGAGGAATGGCCAGCAGAGCTGGACGAAAGTGATGACTCCGACCATGAGTCGTTTGCTGCTGCCGCCGCCAAACGGCGATCGAAGAGATACTCCGCGCTGGAACGCGGACATAGCAGTCGCAAGAGCTTGGCCTCGGCGTCATATCGCGCGGGAGATAGTATGGCCTTGAAGGATGAGCCCGATCCCTTGGGCACGAGCGACAGCGTGATGAAGATACTCAAGCAACGAGGCCTGCCCGTGGATGACGATCCCCGCTTGCGAAGCCGTTTCCTCTTGTCTTCGACCACGTTTTCTCCGGCGCTGTTTCTGTCGCAAACCCACTCGTCTGCCTCCACTCAGTCTCTCCTTGAAGGTCTAGATTTCCTGTCGCGGTCGATCGACCAGAAGTCCGCCTCGTTGAAGGTGTTGGTTGAGGCCAATTTTGAACGCTTCGTACGGGCCAAGGCGACAATCGATAGCGTCTACACGGAGATGAGAAACCAGGGATCGGAGAAGAATGCATCGCGTCCTCGTTCGCGCCCTGCCAGTGGGCAATTCCGATACTCGTTGAATGGAGCTCCCAGTCCGTCGGCGACGGCAACAAATGAGGCTCCGAAAAAGACTGCCCTGACAAAGGAGAGTGAATACGGCGTGAAAGGAATTCGCGCACCGCTGGTCGAGGCTTCAGTAAAGGCCGAAGAGCTATGGGGTCCGGCTCTGGGTGGTCGCGATCGTGAGCAGGGACTGTACATGGTCGCGAATGCTGTCGACAGGAATCGCGCGGTCTACGAGATTGGCGGGAATCTTTCAAGAGCGATCAAACAGAGAGATTACGATTCTATTTTCGAGGAGTACCGACGAGCGAGGACTCTGGCGAATGAAGCGAGAGTCACAGCCGATCGTGCTGTCACCGAACAGAGACAGTTGACAGATGAAGAGGCTTATAATGTGTTGGTAACAGGACGCATGTGGGTTGATGTCGAACAACAGCTTGAAGCGTTCAAGCGAGATCTATGGCAACGTCTGAGCAATGTGCACACGTCCTCGCCATCCCTGACCGCTGCCGGGCCCGTTGAGGAGCACATGGAACTAATCGGGGCTCTCTTGGAACTTGGAGTGGACGATAATCCCGTGTGGGTCTGGCTCCAGAGCCGATACAACCTGCTCAAAACCAAGATCACCTCCTTCTGTGAGCGCTCCAAGGTAGAAATCGAGATCCTGAGGCGGCGACTCGCGGCGGGTGAGAAGCCTTCGCCCCAGGTTGTAACAACGTTTCTACGCCTATCGTCTCGCGAGGGGACAGAAACACAGGAAAGACTGGACACCGATCAAGTCGTGGAGCTCTGGGAATGCATTAATACCTATTTGACGAAACTTCTCTCCTTGCAGAACGGCCTTCTGGGCGAGGTCATCGAATTTTGGGAAACGGCTCACTCCTTTATTGACGGCAGCAAGCAGAAACTTTTGCCTGCTGGCTTCGAAGGGGAGAGTCGCAAGCACCACCGTCTATCTGATGATAGCGTCCGACAGTTAAAGGAGGGAGTTGTCGAGCTCGTAGACTTGATCCGCGAAAGTGTTCTCTCCTTGTTTACTGAGCCTCCGATCGAGGATATCTCCCTTCTGTCATCGCCGCTTCCCCCGCCTAGTCCCAGTACGCCCGTGGGCCACATTACTCCGACGGAATCTCGCTTCAAGCTGGACCCGAAGAATATACCTCCAGTCTCTCCGAAAAAGGGGGAGCCGTGGGAGGACTTTGCATTCTGGCCACCGTACTCCAATTCACTGAGCGGTGTTCATTACCTCAGTAAATTTCTAATTCTCGTGGGTACAGCCGCCAGTGAGATGGCGGCTCTGGGGCCCATATCAGCTGGGGGCAGTTCTTACGATCGCCTGAAGAACCTTGTCAGTGCCGCTCGGGAACGCTGTGTCCGCGTCGCATGTGCCGCATGGAACAAAGATGCGGAGAACTGTAAGATGTTGGAGGACTGGACGCGTGATCCGGAGAGACGAGATCTGACCAAAATGCCCGGGCTCTTCGTCGCCTTTGAAAGCGCCGTACTTGCAGGGATGCAGAAAATCCTCTATATCTCCGAGGCGATGAGCAAGTCGGGCGCCGTGGACGTGGTGACTCCGCCGCCTGCGAAACTGCTGCAGATGGTGCGGACACAGTTTGTGACCAGCGTCTACAAGGCCTTGAGTGGCCTGGTTGAGAACGCGGAACGTCCGATGAAGCCTGAGGAGGATGATGAATGGATTCTTGTAGGACCTGCGGTGTCAGTCAAGAGCGTCGATGCAACTTCAGCAATGATAGCAGCCGACGGTGTTGATGCCAAGAATAGGGTATGTGTGCCATGATCAGTGATCTCAGAAGGCCCTGTCGCTAACTATATGTAGAACATTCGAATGCTCCTTACGTTGTCGAACCTCAAGGCGCTTCAGAATGACTTTGTTCCTCAGCTGGTGTCGAATTTCGAGACTTCGTTCTCCGTGAAATTGACCGAGGAATCGAAAACCATTCGAGACGTCCTCAGCCAGATTGAGGCGCGGCTCTTTCAATCCTACACGAAACCGACGGTCGCGTCTTTGGATTCTACGATTCAAAGTGGCATCAAGGCACCCGATTGGGTTCCATCCACGAATCGTCCAGATCAGGTCCGACCATATGTCTACACGACAATGCTCACGCTGGTGCTTGTTCATACCGAGATATCCACCACCATCCCAGTGACGTCTTCCTCTCAGAATCCAGGCGCGCCGTCGACAACAAACCCTCTGTTGACCAGCGTTCTCACCCATCTTGTTACCCAAATCTCTTCGTCCCTGCTCTCCGCGTTCCAGTCACGGCCCAAGTATTCCTTGCCCGCCCTGATGCAAGCTACCTTGGACACCGAATTCATCGCGCAGACCATGTCACAGTACGTGACAGAGGAAGCCTCGTCGATCCAGAGCCAGATCTACCTGGAGCTGGACCGACGAACCAACAACGAGGCGCGGGCCAAGCTGCAAGCCGAGCTCGGAGAGATGAGAGGCATCCTGAAGCGATTGCGCGAAAGGACCAAGGGCGAATTTGCGTGCTTCCGGAAAGTAAGATCGGGGGCTAGTGGAAAGCCATCTACATCTTCATGAGAAGACATCTTTTGCCTTGATTGTATTTCACGTCTCTCTCTGCCATTAGGGAGAGGAATCTTGTATATACATACATCCACCCATCACTGGCTTTTGGGACCTGCAGGGAAATTGAATATTTGGAAGGGTATCATGACAATAACACACAGTCCGAAGGAACGAAAATAATGTAGAACGAGGAAATAATAATAGTAACAGTCTATCTATGCTTGACCAACCATACGCTGCACCTTGCTAAGGAGCACCTTGCTCTCCCGGCTCAGGTGCTTCCTCCCAAATCGATCCGGTCTTTTGGCCCGGGCCATGGCCTCGCGCTCCTTGGCCTTCAATTCCTTCTCCTTGCGACGAGCTTCGCGTTCCTGCCTTTTCTTCTCGGCGATCGCCATCTCCTTGGCGAACGCGGATGGTTTCTGACGTCGTTTGCGACGTTCCCGTCCCTGGTCATTATTACTATTGTTATTGTTATCATTGGGATTGTCCTTCGTAGCTTTTTGTCTGGGTTCTTGGGATAGCGTATTCAGCATCGCTTGTCGCTCGGGATGCATTTCCATGCTGGCAGGCTCCTTCTCCTCATGATGATTGTCGTTATTACTGCTGCTGTCGTTATTCTCTTTGCTGTCTGAATTTTGCTCAACGTAGGAGTAATAGCTGGGTCTGGCCGGGGCGTTTGCCAGCTCCTGGGCCTTGATCTTCGCGTAGACCTTTTTGACTTTGGCTTTGTGGATCAGGTCTCTCTTGATTTTTTGGACTGGACGCGAGAGAGAAAAGAGCGGTCAGGACGGAATACACCTTCGCTGCGACGGCAGAGAGAGCAGATACAAACCTTTCCGACGATAGGTGCCATCCGGCAGATTGGCGGGGCCAACTTGGAAGCCCTTCTTCTTTTGCTTTTTCGCTGGGGGTTCGGAGGACTTGGTTTCATGGGCGTCGTCGCCGTCTCGAGGCCGCTTGGGGGCCATGGTTGGTGGCGGCCGTTCTGTATTTTTGCTTCTTTTTTTTAAAGGATTTTGGATTTTCCGGGCGATAATTGACCGTCCAGCAGGTTGGGATCGTTTTCAGCAGGTGTCACGAGGGCGTCGCTGCTAGCTAGGTGAAGAGAGGAAAAGAGAAAAAAATATCGATAGCTCCGACAGATAAGCTCCACTGGCCTGGACGCGCGACAGCAGCAATAGATCTTGCCAAGGAGCTATTCTGCGAATTTGATCTGACAGGGGCAGTGACTGGCCACTCAGTAATTTGCGCAGCTCAAGGCGTTCCGACGAGGTCAGTGAGGCAACTGAATCATTTGCTCGGCCGTGATGCTCCGGACGATGATCGACTTGGCGGCGGGGACAAATGACGTGCACGCCCGTGATCAAGGCCGCCGGAGGGGACGTCGGCCTGCCTGGCGGAGGACAAGCATGCGCATCCTCCCTCCCAGTCCACTTCTGCTGCTTTGCTCTGCTATTCATCTTGGCTGCTGTTGCTGCGCTTTCCAACCGTCGAATTACACCACTTCCTGGACGGCCATCTACAGATCCCCTCCTCCGTTCGATCCCGTTCGCTCTCCCGCCACTCCGGCCGTGCCACTTCACACTTTGCTCGTTCCTTTCGTCACTGGCCTCGGATTGCCACGTCGCTGCCCCCTTCAAATGCTGAATTTCCCTTGCTGAACATCCCGCTCTCATGATTTCGCACTGCAGTCCATCATGCCCATCTTCCAGGACCCAGATCGGGTGCTTTCATCCCGCCAGCCCTGGCTCGAAGAGGAGCCCAGCAGCGGTGACGATGACGACCGGGAGTCATCTCTATCACGAAATTGGAAGGAAACAGAGACGATGGACGTGGATATGAGTGGCACTTCTCCGGCAGATCGCGAGACGAGCAACTACAGTCCGTCTCATCGGCAGACCAGTGACCGTGGGGAGCTCATTCAGTCTATCAAGCGGGGGGAGAACCCAACTTGGGTTCCAAATCGATCGGTAAGTTGTTATATACTACATCTCTCTCCTTTTAACACGATTCCACCGAAGTCACTGGGACGTCTTCTCGGGAAAAGAGAAGATGTTCCGTGCCAAAGTATCATGCCTACAAGGTCCTCGACTATCAATCGAATTCACTCTGGCTATTGTCTCAAAAGTTGCTATTTGTTCTGCCATGGCCTATTGCTGATTTGTCCAATAGCTAGGAGGCTATGTCGCCAATCACCGTCGTTCCTCTCAATCATGGGTCCAAGCACTGCAAAAATCGGAGAATTCTCCGCCACAAGACCATGAAGCTGATTTGAAGGCTGAGAAGAAAGAACCCTTAGCCTCCGCGGCAGAGATTGAGCGTCCGCGGTCCGCTCTCCATTCAGGAGACTTCAGAGAGGGCTCATCTCACTCAGACAGTCGAGACACATCCCATCGAGTCTTTGACAGTCAGCACGAGCCTCCAGATTTCAGACGCTTCGGCTCCTCGCCCACGACGCCATGGTATAACCATTCTTTCTCATCTCCTTATTCCATCAAAGGAATCGAGACAAGCCCACTAGCCGGACAATCCGTTGTGCCAGTGTCCCGGTCGCGAGCACCTTCCATGGGGTCATTTTCGTCCAGCTATGTTCTCAAAGCGCCTACGAGTCCGCTCGTCCATCAAGCGAACAACACGGACCTCGATTTCTCGCCCAAGGTTGACAAGATGGATCTCTCGACCAGTCCGGAGAAAAGTAATCGTCGTCGAACCTTGCCCCCAGAGACCTTCCGGCAGTTACAGGGCTCCCCGCCGAGTCACTCTCGAGGTATGACCTTGAGTCGGTCGTACGCATCAGGAAGGCGAGATGATGCTTTCCATTACCAAGCTCATCAGCCACGGAGGTCGTTGACGTCGACGTACAGCCTCCAATTGGCGTCTTCCCCTCAAACGCCGATTCGGCCCCGGTGGCCTTCATTTGCGTCGGATCTATCTCCGCTGCTCCATGCTCCGATGGTTGGCTCCTACGAAGAATCCATTCTCCGTGGCAGAATGTCAACCACACCCTCAAAGCCACTCGATTTCACCGCACAGATCGGCGTCCTGGGCAAGGGGAAGTGTAAACCAAACTTGAGGTGCCCGCCTCATGTTACCGTGCCCTTTCCTGCTGTCTTCTACAGCTATCCGACCTCAGGGAACGGCCGATCTATTTCTGATGACAGCCCTAGCCCTTATGTGGGCTTGATTGACCTGGAGAACTCACTCCCACCGGATGTTTCGAGCGAGGAACGACGCCGTCAGCGGCAGAGCCCGCAAGATGATCGTCTCGATGCTAGCTCGGATGATCCAGCATATCTGCATGCCAGACCCACCGGATCCAATGACCATCGCAAGCGCGAAAAGAAGTCAAGTCGGACAGATTCACCGAAGGCTCCCCCGGGGGGTTGCTACCGAATCCCCCAGAAGGGTCAATTGCAGATTGTGATTAAAAATCCAAACAAGACCGCTGTTAAGCTTTTCCTGGTTCCCTACGACCTCGAAGGCATGGAGCCAGGGACAAAAACGTTCATCCGGCAGAGGAGTTATTCGGCGGGCCCGATCATCGATATGCCGTTGTCGGCGCGAAAGAATCTGGGCACGGACCGCCCCGAAGCGTCGTTGAACGCGTCCGAGGATCCCAAGGACAAACCGGTTCTGAGGTATTTGATACATTTGAACATCTGCTGTCCGGCCAAAGGCCGCTTCTACCTCTATTCGACCATCCGGGTCGTCTTTGCCAACCGGGTTCCCGATGGCAAGGAGAAGCTCCGCAACGAGATTCAGTATCCCGAACCGCGGTACAGCCCTTATAAACCGACGAAGGAGACATCCAGCAGCAGTTCTGCATCCCGGTCGGCGCTCGAAAAGGCATTTCGTAGACGCAGCGGAGGACTCGGCTTCCCTGGAAGTAACCCTCTCGGAGACACCATGACCCATGTGCCGTCTCCGTATCCTCACCATTTTCCGTCTAGCTCCTCCGCCTCCAAGATGGCGGCAATTCCTTTTCCGCTGTCGTCTGGATCGAGTGAAAAAGGAACATCTGCCCTCGAAGACCATAGTTCTGCAAAGGCTGGGGAGCCCTGGCGGAAGGAAAACACCCCGCTGTCTGAAGCATCTCATCCGGAAATTCCTCACTCGGAAAGGACCGGGGAGCTGTACAGCAAACTCAGCAAAGGAGATGCAGGCTACGGTGGAGGCTATCCATTCGGGTCTGCGTCTAGCGGTTTCGAGACAGGAGGAGGAGAAAGCTTGCTGGCCAAGAAATTGAAGGATTGGACATGCAAAAACAAGGACGTATAGTCTAGCATGGACGATTTGGTCATCATCGACTTCTTTTTTTTTCTCTCTGTTCAATGTACCAACGATCTACGGCTGGAGTTTGGGTGGGAACTTTTGCTTTTTTTTTGTTGCAATTCGAAAACGAACGAACGTGTTATATACATAGGCGTGCATGCAAACGAATGCTGGGTCATCGTCGAAATCTATCCATCGGTCCGTCTGTCTATCCTCCCGGGTGGAGTATCGATCGTATCAGTCAGTGAGTGGATTTGGGTTAACGCAAGGCAAGGCAAGGCAAGGCACGGCGCAAAGGATAGCTAACTCTCACATACATAACGTATGGCATACATATATGCATATCCCCCTCAGGTTTTTCTTTTGCTTTTTTTTTCCTTTTTGGCTCGCTGTCCATATATTTGAGTTTTCGGGGCGGGAAAATAAATTAAATTAAATTAGCTAACAGCCATTTACCTACCTATCTAGCTATCTAGCTACCTACTGAACATATTTGGATATAGATACGTATGTATCATCTGTCTGTCTATTTGTCTGTCTGTCTGTCTGTATGTATGTATGATGATGTCAACCTAGCTTAACACTTAGCTATTTATCATTTTTTTATCATCTTTTCTTTCTTCATTGTCATGCTACCGAAGTAATATAATGATGAATTTGGAAAAGAAAAGAATAATATATATAAGAGAATTATGAACTGATACCTGCCTACCCGGTAGGAGATGTACAGTGCCTATGTTAATTTATAGACAACCAGATAGATATATATACGAAGTAGATAGGTTGTTTATTTTTTTCCTGTTATAGCTACAGGTAACTACAGACAGACGGAAAATTTAGATTTAGGGTTATCTTTTAAAGAAGACTAAACCAAACCAAATCAAAAATCAGACAGGCAGGACCTATCTGACAAGATATACAAAGAAAAAAATTTTTTTCTAATCAAGGAGCATTGGCTGCATTGGCTGAAAAAAAAAGATGGCTATTAACCAGCATGCTCGACGATCTCACTGACCAATACACCATCCTTGACGTAGCTCTTGATCTGCTCAGGGACAGGGCACTCCTTGGTGTCCTCGTCCGTGCCCTCCTTCGGCGGGAGCATAATGTTCACGCCCGTGCATTTGCTGGTGAAGGTTTCCAGACCCATGCTCTGCTGGGACAGATACACGGTTGCGCCGTCCACCTGGTCCAGCACCAGGGTCGGGACCACGCCGTCGATCTGCAGCGCGAACTTGGGCGACTTGATCACCTCCAGACTGCTGACCAGGGAGTCGACAATGATCGACAGCCCGTTGCAGTTGTCGATCGAGATGGCGTTGGCCTTGCCGATCACCTTGACGATCGTCTTGTTGCACCGCGAGATCAGAATCGATTGGTTCTGCTGCGCCTGTATCTCGACGATCTCGCTCGAATTGTCATAGTTCTCGACCAGCCACTTGTTGCCTTCCAGATCCTTCCGCCCAGGCTTCTTCACCCGCATGCTCTCAGGCTTGGGCTTCTTGCCCGGAGCAGGCGATTTCCCACGAGAGGTCGGCGACGAAAGACCATTTGGACGATCGGGCACCGTTGAACCTGCGCGAAGACTGGGGTTCTTGTGTGTCATCTCGGATTTGTCGACCTTGCGGAGGCCGGAGGTGATAGCATCCCCCTGGTTTATTTCCGCAAAGACCGCAGACATGTCCGGCGCACCCCCCTTGGAAGCCGACGGCGTGTCTGCAGGTGGGGGTGGAGGAGGCGGCGGCGGCGGCGGTGGTGGTGCAGCTCCTGCCGGACCTGGGGATGGCGCCGCTGCCTTGGAGGAAGAGGGCTCGGATTTAACCTGCTCCAGGGCTTCCAGAGCATCGGTGCCGCTCTGGTTGTTCCACGTCAAGCCTTTCGGGTAGTGTTTGCCGAGATACGCCGCCAAAGACTTGAAGACGCGGTAGTAAGCCTGAATATATTGGACGTGCGCAGGATCCCTGAGGTGCTGTCAGCAACAGGAATCGGAACACACAGTTAAATCGCTGAGTGCATACTTCTCCTTATACTCTTTCAGCACCTTGTTCCCGTAATATTCAATACCTGCCACCATGTCATTCACAAAGGTCGCCGGCTTTGATTCAAAAAACCATCCCAGAGCGACAATTCCTTCTGCAACGGCGCTCAGGTGGTTAAAGAGCGGGGATGCCCGGTTCGATTCACGGAGATTATTGATCGTATCCGACGCCTTGTGGAGCTCTGTCATAAGCTCTGGTGGCAGGGGTTCCGGCTTCTTAGCTTTCGTTGTGACATAGATGAAGGTCCGTTCGGCTTTAAACGCCTCAAGGACTGCTTTGGCCTAGCTCCCAATCAGTTCCTGCAAAACGCTACCGGGAGCAATAAAAATGTTCAGAAATCAAAGGATCGACGATACCTGTTCCGCAACCAGGTCTCCAACGTTTTGAGCATCGTCCACAAATTTCTGTACATCGCCCTTAATCAAGGCGTCGAAATCCTCAATTTGTGGAGGAACTGGATCGGCGGCTGGAGCTGGAGGCGCAGCGGGGGCCGGCTTTAAAGGTTCTGGCGCTACGACCTGAGGAGGAGCTGGGGCATTATTATTGGCATGGTTGACAGAATTGGCTCCTTCGAGGGAGGCTGCCATGTCCTCCAGACGGGATGTCGCGGCCTCAAGCCTATCCGTACGTTAGTCATGAGACATATACAATAGCTGCAGAGTGCGAATTCTCTTCAAGAAGAAGCTCGTCAGAATTTCTATTTGATTCATACTTACCGCTTCATGAGGGTGGCCAAATTATGCATCTGGTTGCCGGTCGCCATTTTGGTAGCCAGGCTGGCGTCGCCGCCTTTCAGGGGACAAACTCAGGGATCAGGCAGCTGGAAGAAGGGGTGCTAATGAAAAGAGAGATCTGTGAATTCCAGGCACAGCGAGCGCAGTCAAGAACCTCCAGAGGTGCTTGACCTGCCCAGTGAACCTGTTGCAAGGAGATGCAAGAGGAGGATGGATTGTTTAAGGCAGAAACGGCCAGCTGGGACTGCCCGAACGGAGCTTGGTCGTCGATGCGGCAGAACGGGCTTCCGCCTTCGAGTCGGAGAACATCCCCTCGATAAGCATGCAGAATGACGTGGGGCATATCGCTCTATGTCGAAAATTCCCAAGTAAGATTATCTTTTCTTTTTCTCTCACGCCCTCTCTCGGTTATGGCAATCTCTTTGAGAGAAAGCAATTGAGATAGTACAACCTCTTCCCAATCTCTACTCCTCACTTGTCCCGCCATGGCAGACTCCGAGTCCGCTATCAATCGGCCCGGAAATGGGGTTGATTTCTGCACACTGGGAATGTTCATTCTGGGTAAGATACAGAATTTATCTGCGCCATTGCGTCCTGCTTAGTCTCGTACATGTACCTGACCGTTAAATTTAGATGACATCGAGTTCGAGGGTCCGACTCCCCCGGTCTATGGCATCCTAGGAGGGGCAGCGTCATACGCGGTCATCGGGGCACGGATGGTAGCTGGGAAAGAGCACGGCAAGGCTATAAGCTGGATCCTCGATGTGGGCTCTGATTTCCCCCAAGGCATGCTGGACGTTATCCATTCATGGGGCACCGGCTGCGTCATTCGCGAAGACAAGAGCAGATTGACTACGAGGGCATGGAATGGCTACGGCCCCAACGAGAAGCGAGGTCGGTAGAATTCCGCTTGAGCAAGCAGGTTGCTGACCAAAAAAAGACTTCAAGTATCTGACACCAAAGTTGCGTCTGGAGCCATACATGCTCTCGGATGCGCAGGTGTTTTCCAGGACATTCCACATGGTCTGTTCAGCCGAGCGCTGCATCCATATCGTGGAAGAAATTCTGCGAAGGAGACAAGAACTACAGCAGAAAGGCGACGTACCCCCGTTGCGGTCTGGAAGACCAATCTTCGTCTGGGAGCCTGTTCCCGACCGCTGTACACCGGAGGAGCAAGACAAGTTCTTCGCCGCCAGCCGTATGGTCGATGTGGTGAGCCCTAACGAACTCGAGTTAGGAATGATGTTTGGTCGTCAGGGATGGAAAGAGACTCGTGTCGAAGATCAAGAGTTGGTCAAAACCATCCTACAATCTGGTATTGGCCCGGAAGGAAATGGAGTGCTAGTCATCAGAGCGGGGAAAGACGGAAGCTACTCCTACTCCAGGAATCATAAAGGACTCTGGCTGCCAGCGTATCACCAGCCCAACCCGGATCAGCGCTCGCCAGTAGTCGATCCCACTGGGGCGGGAAACTCGTTTCTGGGAGCGCTGGCCCAGGGCATGGTAAGCGAAGGCCGGGAGCCGATTCAAGTCATCGAGTCCGTCCTGGAGTCGTCAGATACATGGAAACAAATAATACACACGTGGGGGAACAATGGACAAGTTCCTAAGGCCTTGATATGCGCGACAACAGCGGCCGGGTTTGTTGTGGAACAGATCGGGGTGCCTAGCTTGACAAGAGGAGAAGGTGAAAAGGAACTTTGGAACGGAACCGAGTTCACAGAGCGACTTCGTATCTATACACAGCGACTATGTAGAACGCTTGAAGAGTCTCCACAGACACATGACTGGCTGATTGGCTGATCAAACAATCAAACGATCGATTGATCGAGGCCATCTATTCTTTTCAGGCCGTACCCCAGCACGGCCTTCCAATAGTATATTCAAGGCACTGTCCTTCGAATCTCTCCGCAACCCGCTGCCTTCTCAATTTCCATCTATGACTCGTTCTTTGCCGCACTCTGTCTCTCGTACTCGATTATCTGCTTGCTCCAGCTAGAGAGTAGCAAATGTTAGCGTAGCGTCGCATGGGCGGAGGGAGTCCTGGTGAGCGACTAACTATCGACTGGGAAAGAATCTGCCGGGCTCGGGCATCCTGTCGCGATGCTCACGCTCCGCACTGATGCTCCAGGTCACAGCGGCGATTCCGAGAATGGCTGCGCCCATGATAGCAGTGTTGACTTTCCAGTTGGCTGGCTGAGCGTACCAGCCTCCGGCCGGAGACCAGACTTCTTTGGGGTAACTGCGGCGGGCTCAGTCAGTTCTCAAGTCGCCAATTGACATGCTGCTGGACGGGACAGCCTCGGGGAAACCACGTACGGGATCTTGCCGCCTCCACCCATCTTGAAGAAAGGAATTGGATGACTTGCACGCTGTATCGACGACGGAAGACGAGGGCAGGTGTGCAGCATGGAAGTCGAGCCGACGGGACAGCCCCGGCCCGTGACTCGCCGCTAGCACCCAAACGGCTTAGCGCACTTTCTCACACGACAGCACAGGCCGCAGATCCCGTGACTTCCAGCGAAGCTTGATATTTTCCTCCGAAAGAATACGGCGAAGGCCTCGAGGTTTGTATGGAGTCTTCCTTTCGACCACCCCAATCCTTCCACCACCACGTCCTGGGATCTCCTCTCTATTGCGTTGCTTCCCTCCTGCTGCTAGGTTCCCGTCAAGGCGTGCAGGACCCCAGATGAAACGATTGCAGCTCCAACGATGGAGCGGCTCGGTCCTGTCGCCGCGGGCCAGACCGGCTGGCCGTCTACAGCAGCAATTCTACACTGGACTGCGCCTCCAGTCATCAGCATCCCCTGCTCTCCGAGTTGAAGAAGATCAATTGGTTGAAGAGGCGTTGCCAGCCTCGCAACCTCCGCCGCAACCACGGTCGCGACTGCAATATCCCTCTCCTCCTGTGGAAGCCGCCCGCGAATCCGCAAAATTGGCAGCTCTACATGCTCGACTCTACCTCCCGAAACGATTACCTATCGAGACCCTGGCACGGACGCTCGTTGATGCTTCGGCCGATCCGAACCCCAATTTCAACAATGAATCGCTCGCCACGCTGGGCTATGACCTCCTCACCTACTACGCCTCCGAACACCTCCTCTGCACCTACCCTCGCCTGCCCATGACCGTGTTGTTCGCCGCGATGTATGCGTATGTGGGCCCAAAGACTCTTGCGGCCATGACAAGAGAATGGGGTGTGGAATTCGCTGCCGTGCCTGGTGGTGAGGTGGATCCAGGCTTGCTCCAGTTCAAGCGAGTCACGCCTGGGGAAGACGTGATGCCCGACCCATCAACCACCACGCGGCCACGCGAGCACGTGTGGCGGAAGTCGATCTCATCCAGCATTGTCTACGACGATGAATTTGGCGAGGCAGCCAAGAAAGCGGTGAACCCCAAGAAACTCCCTGACAAGCTCCCGGATCCCGAGAGCATCAAGGGCGTGACTGCCGAACAGGCCAGCGCTACTTTTGTTCGGGCGTTGATGGGTGCCATCTACCTGCATGCCGGCCGTCCAGCGGCCAAGCGCTTCTTCAAGGAGCACTTCCTATCACGACACCTCGATATCTCCAAGTTGTTCAAGTTTGTGCAGCCGACGCGCGATCTGAGCAAACTCTGCAAACGCGAGGGCTTTGAGCCACCGGTGGCCAAGATCATCAGCGAGACGGGTCGACTGAGCCGGCATCCCGTCTTTGTGGTCGGCATTTTCTCGGGCAAGGATAAGTTGGGTGAAGGGGCCGGTGCCAGTCTGGCTGAGGCGCGGAGCCGGGCGGCGGCTGCGGCGCTGAAAGGCTGGTACCTGTACAGCCCGCTGGATGTGCGGGTGCCCAGCTCGATGGAGGAGGAAGGGGCCAAGCCATGGAAGCCGGTGTATGTGGATCTGGGAGAAGTGATTGTGTAGATTATCTCATCTAAAGCCGCGGGGTTCCTCTTCTCTTTCTTAATTTGTTACCCCCTCTCTTCGTCAATGTCTTATTATGGTGCCAATGGTTGAGAAATGGCGCTATACATTTATATTTTGTTACATTTCTTTCAATGTCTTTGTGCTCTCTATCTCTCTCTCTTGGAGTGTGTTCACTTTGGGGACCGAAAGGAAACGGACTTCACCATACCATGCCAAAACCATGTACTGTACAGTATGTTACTCGGGACAGACAAAATGAAATTATTAAAATAGTGCCACATGCTCTTTCAGGTATAGACAGACATTGATATCTCATTACGTGCATATGCTTAAGGACCAGCTACATATTTTCACTGCTAGGACTGCAGCCGCTGGATTTCGTTACCCTCGTCTAGATACCTACCGTATTCTTCCCACAGCTCCAAAACGTCTGCTCCGAAAAGCCCCTTCCAGAAACTGATCCGCTGCTGGTCTTTATCATCACCACCCTCTTCCCCAGTGTAACCCGTCCGCAAGAGACGATCGTTCAGCAGCCCAATGGCACCCCGTCCGATGCGGACGTCTTCGAGCCACGCGAGAAAGTACGCCGTGTGCTGGTACCCTTGGTCCCATCGCGATGCACGGTCCTTGGCTGACGACGGTCGTTTCCAGTGCGGGGGCTCCAGGTCCGCTTTCAGACGGACAAAGTCCGCAATGCCCTCGATGAGGCCTCCTGGGGGATGTGGAGCCGCAGTGCCCTTTGGAGCCGTGTGCTGATAGCAATGGACGAGCTCGTGGGTGAGCACCCCCGTCAACTCTTTCACCGGATCCGGATTCCCGCGGCAGGTGCTGTGGATGTAGGACAGGGAGAAGTGAATCTCCTTGTGATCGTCATCGAGCTCTGTTCCTGTCGTATACGCTACGCCCTCAAAGTCGCGCAGCACGAGCGTCACAGACCGGGTGGGCGGCACGGTGGGGGTAAAAGGAGACAGTGGGGTATTCGTCACTGGCTTGGAAACGGCTGTGGAAGTGTAGAGATGCTCGATGATTGCGGCCAGCGCGGTATCCAGCACGGATTCGACATTGGGGAGCAGGGAGAGAAAGGCGCTCGAGGCCGGATGGCGGAGATCCTGAACATGCAGGCGCAGTTTGGGATGTGGCAGCGTAGCCGACTCTCCTGCCTTTGTCGTTGGGCTGTTGGATGGAGAAGACTGTCTTTCGTCATTTCTGTCATGTTGCGGCTGATCCTGTTGCCCAGCTGGGCAATCTTGTCCCTGCTGATGAGGGCTTTGCCCGTGGATCGAGGGGATCGAAGATGGGGCAGCAGGGGAGGAGGTCATTGTGTGACAAGCACTGTGCCAATGACGTAGATGGTTTAGGTGTTTTATATAAACTTGGAATAGTAAATAGAGGACAGTCCTCGAACAGCTATAGACTTCGCTTCAATGCCCTGTCTTTTTGGCGACTATCTGTGAGAAAATGACATTATATTACAGGCGATTCCGCTAATAGAATAATTGGCCAACCTGGCTGATTATTGACTGACGCCTCCTGCATCACTGATTGATCGAGGATGGGCAGGAATTGTGATAAGTGCCAGCGTCGGCAGGGATCCACAAGGCTGCAGGATCGTATCGTGCACTGTCCTCGCTCTGTTGCATGGGAAACCAGCACTAAAAGACATGGGCCGAACTGACGGGACGAAATAATTTCTTGACATCACACCCATAAACCTACCAGAGACGATGCACCGTGAATGACGCTTCAGCCGAGATAGCGAAACAGCCTTTTGGGTTCGTATCTGCCAGTCTGGCGGTTGGAGGGAAGGGAATCCACGGGCCGCTTCTCCAGGCGTTCGTTGGGCAGACAAAGCCAATTTGCCAATTGCCAGAACCATCCGCAGCATCAACAAACACTGACCAGCATCATCAACACCGCGCTGTCTTTCCTCGCTGCCATCATCGCCGTCTCTGACTGCGACATCCATTGCCATCCATCCTGATCACAAGACAGCAGAGCATCCCACTGTCGCCCGTTGCCATTGCGTCAGCGTGGAGGTGCCATCGTTGCGGCGTCTAACCACCAACGCTAATTGCTGTGATCCATCCGCTGTCGTCCACTTTCTCTCCGCCTGCGACTCCTGACAAAACCTCTCCTCCTCCGCGTGCCTTTTGTGCGCTCTGCGACTGCCTGCCAGCAACCCCCTTCTCTCGGCAGCTTCCTTCTCAGCGGGCCTGCTCCTTCTCCATCCTGCACCTTCGTGATACCCCTGGTAAGTGCAACCCTCCGTCTTCATGCGTCACCAAGCCCTCTGCGGTGCGGTTTCTATGCCATGGGAAGCAGCACCACGGTTTCCCCTCTTGATCTGGAGGATGAGGACATTGTTTACCCAGCTCAAATGCTGGATCTCTGCGTCTGTTTGTTGTTATTTACCTCTTACTCCTGCATCTCACACTTGTATCGTACAACTTGCATCCTCTCAAATCCGTCTCAAAGTTCTCATAGTTTCACACTAACACCTTCATCATGTCTAACAGTTCCTTGACCCCGCTCGAGTTCGCCCTCCTGGTCTGCAGCGCTGCCCTCTCGATTGAGCCTCTGAGGTTTCTTACTACCTTTTCGACCATCATCACCAGCTACATCATCGCCCATGTGTGTCTCAGTGCGCTGACACCCGCGCCTACTACTGTTACTCCTGCTCCTGCTGCTCCTGCTCCCGTCCCTGCTCCTGCTCCTGTTCCGGCTCCTGCTCTTACTCCTACTCCCGCTCCCGCTTGTGCTCCCACTCGTCCTCGTCCTCCTGCTCCTGTTCTTCCTCCTACTCCTGCTCGTACTCCTACTCCCGATCCTGCTCCTACGATGGAGTCCAAAGCGACGGACCTCTTGGCCGTCCTGAAGAACGCCAATCTCTCGATCGATTCCAAAGTCGCATCTCTCACGAGTATCAAATCCGACATCAAACAAAAGAATGTCCCCGAAGGAGCCATAGCACCAATCTTTGAAAGTCTGCGCCTGGCCATCGGCGCACAGCATTCGTCTCTCTCTGCCGCTGGCTTTTCCGCCCTCGGCCACCTTCTTAAGCGGCTTTACATTCAAGAACACCACCATGCTGTTTCTGTCCACGCGCGCCAGCTCTATTCACTGTTGCTAGAGCGTCTGGGAGACCACAAGGAGCGTGTTCGCTCCCAGGCCGCACAGGCCTTTACCGACCTCTGGCCAGCCTCTTCGGCAGAAGTCGAGCATCATGTTCTGGAAGTGGCCTTAGTGGGCAAGAACCCGCGAGCCAAAGAGATGAGCATGCTTTGGCTGTCTAATGTGCGAAGACCTTCCTTTCCCCATCGCTGAAGTAATCAACTGACAGATGCCGCTGGTAGATGACTAAAGAACACGGTCTTCTCTTCCGTGCGTATGTGCCTAGTCTGGTCGCATGTCTCGAAGATGCCGACAGCGGCGTTCGGGAGACGGCCAAGTCAACTGTCATTGAGCTATTCCAGTATGCGTCACCTATTTCTTATCGCACTGCGCTTATTAATGCCTAAAAACTAGAAATGCCCCGTCGCGAGCGAAATCCGATCTCAAGAAACAACTTGCCCTCCATAATGTGAGGAAGTCCATTGCTACCGTTATTCTTTCCAGTCTTGGTCTTGCCGACCATGATATGTCATCGACGCTGTCCAGCTCTCGATCAGAGACCCGTCGCCCGGCGAGCAGCCTCTCTCACCACCGCGTTCGGGATGATCCCCCTCGTCCCAATTCTGTCCTTTCCTCGCGCTCGCAAGGTCATGGTGAAGGAAAAGATGGTATTCCCCACCTTTATTTTAACTATTCTTGTTTACATGAGCTAAATCTTTGTTTTTTTTTTTCGCAGACTCTGAACAGCCAAAACGACCAGGAACGTCCAAGGGCGAACCAGGACACCCTGGCGGGCTGTCTCACAGTGACAGTGTCGACTCTCTCGCCGCTACTGCTGCTGAAACGGCAGAAGGTGAGAAGATCGAACCTTTATATGTGAACTCGAACCGTGAGATCGACGAGATGGTGCGAAACATGCTCCCCCATTTCGAAGGAAGGGAGACGGAGCAGAACTGGATTCACCGTGACAAGTCAATCTTGACCCTGCGGAGACTCACCCGCGGCAATGCACCCCAGGAATACTCGCAGCATTATATCGCTGGGATTAAGAGTCTGCTTGATGGTATCCTGAAAGTTGTCAACTCTTTGCGAACTACCCTCTCCACCAGTGGCTGTCTCTTGATCCAGGACATAGCCAGAACCTGTGGACCGGCGATCGATAATATGGTGGAAATCCTTATGCAGAATCTGATCAAACTCTGCGCTGGAATGAAGAAGATCAGTGCTCAGAATGGCAATGTCACCGTCGATGTTGTCATTGGAAACGTCACCTACACTCCGCGTATTATGCAACACCTCTGGTTCGCCTGTCAGGATAAGAATGTCCAACCACGTCTTTATGTTACCGGCTGGCTGAAAACATTGATCAAGAAGCAAGCGCGACACAAGAGCGCTGTAGAGCACGGCGGAGGGCTCGAATTGCTTGAAAAATGTATCAAAAAGGGACTCTCCGATGCCAACCCTGGCGTTCGAGAGGGCATGCGCGGCACGTTCTGGACCTTCCACCAGGTTTGGCCAGATCGAGCTGCTGAAATCATGTCTAGCCTCGACAGTAAATCCAAAGCGCTGCTAGAAAAGGACCCGGCCAATCCTAACGCGAATTCCTCCGTCGATGACGCCGCGCGGCCGCGATCAGGGTTCTCCAACAGCGTGTCCGCAACGACCGCTCGTCAGACCCTCAAGGAAACTATTGCAGCTCAGAAGAAGCAGCTGGCGGCGACGAACGATCTCCCCCCTCGCCCTGAATCTGCCCAGTCCTCGTTTGCGGACAGCAAACCAACACGTCCGGCCGCTCATCGTACTCCAGCATCAAAGACCACGTCCAGCGTTCGTACTGTCCCAACTGGCGCCCATCTTTCATCTCTATCCTCTGCTCCGATGCGGCCGGCAATCAAACCTCGCCGACCGGAGATGGCTCGGCCGGCGACGGCGGATCCATATGCGGATCGAAGACCACCGAGCGCTGCTTCGCACAATAAGACTCTGAGCCCCGATAGTAGTCCTGCAAAGGCGAAACCTAAAGCGGCTGCAACACCTGGTGTGAAATCATCCAGCCCTACACGGCCGAAGTCGAGACTGGATGCGGCACCAGTGAGCGCAGCCAAGAGTAAGCCAAAGAGACTTGATATTTCCAGCCTGAAAGGTAGTGAGGCGCGTACCCCTTCGAACCGTCTCCGCAGCAACTCCAGTGACGTTCCACGACCGAACCACCATACCGAGGACGACTTCAGCATGGCTGTGCCTCCTCAGGTAGATGTTCCGGAAATCGATCTTACTTCTGGAGAGGACGCCGGTGTTCCTACCGAAGCTGCCCCGGTAGCTCACCAGGATGCCACTGTGGCTGCCCCTGATATGTCAGTGGAGGTTCCATTACCAGACAAACAGAGCACACCCGTCCGCCATGCACGACTCAGCAGTGGCGGCTCCGCGTCCCGGATCCCAACCTCCACTCGCCGACATTCACAAACGAATAGCGAGGAATCGAAGGTGGCATCTCCCACCCTGCTTTCTCCCAACCGACGTCTTAACACCGACGATCAGTCGTCCGCCATGCCTAGTCCCATTGCACGTCGATCTATCCCTCCTTCGGAGGAAGTCCCTAATGGGGACAGCGTAAAAGTTTACGAAGACCCTGAGCCTCTCGCTTCAACCGATGCGGGGATTGCTATGGGTGGAAGTCGGTCACCAAATGCCAACTTTGCACCTGCAAAACCTGTCCTAGAAGAACTACCAGTGAATGAACCAACGACACCGGGTCACCGGGACAACAAACCCCTGTCAGCCCCTGATAGGACCCCTCTCAATGCCCTCACTCCTGGAGGTGCGGAGAATACTCATCGTCGATGGGGCAAGGTTGAGAATGCTGAGAATAAAAGAAAGAGCATCAGTCCCAGGTCGAAAGACCCTGCAAAAGCAAGGGAAATGATTGACAAAGGGATCACAAGGATCAGGGCTAAAGCACTCGATGTCCATGGGTATCGGAAGTTGCAAGGCCTGATCAAGTATCACGACTCTATTTTTGCCGACGAAAGCAAGTATGATGAGATGCTCTTGGCCCTCCTCGATGCATTGGAGGCTCCTGGCGATGAGAAGAAGTCGAGATCGCTGGATCTCAAGACGCAGGTCCTTGTCACGATCCGCCTCATGTTCAACTATAACCGAACATATTTCTCCGCTTACTATCCCCGCGCCATGACCGCTCTCGTCAACGCCCGAAAACAATATGAGCTCACCAATCACATCGTGAGCGGTCTGGAGGAAACGGCAGAAGATATCGTCGCGGCGTGTCGGCCGCCAGACGTGATTGACGCGGTATTAGACTTGATTGAGACAGAAGAACAGGACGATAAGGGTTACAGGGCCATTACAATGGGCATCTACGTTCTAACCGGCTTGTTACGCCGGTTGAATAAGAATCGTGTCTACTTAAGCCGGCCTGAACTGGAGCGGCTTGGAAAGTTTGCCAATAAAAGCCTCATGCAGCCACAACCCGACGTTCGGCGCGCCATTACGGAATTTTGCGTTGAGTTGCATGAGATGGTGAATGACGACGACGTATTCTGGCGGATGATCAACTCTCCTGTGGGCGATCACCGCAACCTCTTGACTTATTTCATTGCGAAGAAGAAGTCGACTCAAGCAGTTCGCTAGTGATATCCTGAGTTGGATATTATTTCGATTTCTTTTTTTTTCTCTTCTCTTCTCGTTCTTCTTCTCTTTTCTCTTCTTTCTTCTTCTCTTCTCTTCTCTTCCCTTTTCTTGTGCATCATTGGCAAAATCTTTCGGTTGTGTTTTTTTTTTGGGCTGTATTATTGTTACTATTTTTGTAATTATCTTTATTTCGTGACCGTTTATTAGCCCGGAGTTTTGGTTGTGAGTCCGGATTTCTCCCAAAGAAGGAACCTGGAGTAGTTCATGGCGCCATTGGGAGCAAGTTTGATACCACTGTTGTTTTTTGGAATTCACTGTTTTGGTTTCGGCATGCTGTGTTTGTGATTCTTGTACTTTGTGCTTTCATAGTTTTTGAATTCAAGGGTCAATTATAAACAAAACTGTATCTTGCATTTTGCTTTTGAAGTAAATACATTATCGGTGAAAAAAAAAAGACGTCACCGTGATAGAGAGCAGAACCTTGACCATGGAAAAAAAATCATACAAAATCCAGCCTCAACAGGAATAATTCAACAAATTGATATATTACATTTTTTTAATGCGTAGATCCTATCTTGTCACATACATACCCGTTCCATTCTGCTCCATCTCAATACTTCACATTATATCAACGAGGCATCATCCTCCGACAAAATCCTGACCATCCCCTCAATCTCAGCTACTATCTTGCCGATGAACGCCCGTGTTTCATCCTCGTCCATGACCCCGCCCTCGACGCGGACGCCGAATCCGAGCGTATCACTCGAGGGGTCGGGGCCGATGTCGATGAAGACGTTTTGGTCCGGGAGGTATGATGTATCGAGGCTGGAGACGGATGTCTTCTTATCTTTTTCATCTTGTTCGGTGCGGTTGTTCTCCGGGATGAAGTCTGTTGGGACGCCGATGGGGAGAGGGGTGAAGAGAGGAGGTGGTGACGATCCGTCATCATCTTCTTGAGGATGGTCTTGTTTGCTGGTCCTCCCCCAGAGTAAGTTGACCCATGTGTTGAACAGATGGCGTTCATGGATGTTGTTTTCGTTGTTGCTATCGGCGCCTGTGGTGGCTGCTATCTCCCGCCATCGTCGGAGGATTCCTTGTAGCGAGCTCTGCTCGTACGTTGCGCGGTCTGCAAGCGCCGACTGGATCGATCGCGCTGAATTGATGATTGTGTCAGCAGTAGTAGTGCCAGCATCAGCAGTGGTATTGGGTTGGCTATGAGAGATCTGGGCTGATGATGATGACGACGAAGAGAGGACATTTGGGACCGTGAACGGGGTCACGTTGAGACACGGGCCCGAGAGATACTCGACTCCCGGGAAGGAGGCTGATCTCCCCGTTTGATAGAGACCAAAGGTCGGACTGTCGACGTGCGTTTTGCGGGCAAGAGCCCGAGCAGCCGCGAGGAGAACGACGGTCTGGAGACTGAGACCGTGGGCCCGGCAGGTCTTTTCTGCTTGAGACATGTTCCTGACAGTCTGCCATGCGCCGACAAACAGTTGCTGGTTCTTCTTTGGGCTATTTTGACGTGCTTTGATTATGGTTGGGCTGCTTGACTGGAGAACCGCATCCCAGTACCTTGCCTCGTCGAGCTGATGAAGAGAGCTCAGGGAATAATTGACAAATGCTGGGAAATCCGGATTCGAGGAGACTTTTGCCAGTTCTGCATCACGGTATAATGCCTCCAGCTCGGTGACGAACATTGGCATTGTCCATGCGTCATAGGCAGCGTGATTGATCAAGACGAGGATACCATCACCGTCGCTCGCTCTCAAATGGCGAAGACGTACAGGCGGACGGAAGAGGGAAGAAGGATTGCGAGCTTCTTCTCTGGCTTGTACTTTGGCCGCTTCCGCAATTGTCTCTGATGAGTAGTCAATAAACTTGAAGGTACCGTCATCATCCGGGTCTACCCGCTTGAGCACCACCTGAACCGCTTCAGAAGCCGAGATGGCCGCAAAGCAGGTCCTTAGAATAGGGTGTCTTTGGCGCAGCCTAGTCCAGGAGTCCTGGAGCCGTTGCGGATCTAATCTTCTTTCTTCGCCGGAGACGTAATAACTCCAGGCTGGTTCGAACAGCGTTCGGCCGGATTTCAGCCAGCTGACGAGGTGGTACATCTGCCCGCTCAGACACGGAATGATCGTCTCGACATCGTCTTCGGAAAGACGGAGCTGTTCAAGTGCTGTCTGTCGCACTCTCGCATCCTCGTGTATCAGGGGCTTTGTCGGAAGGCTTCCTTGCGGTGCAGCAGCAGCAGCATCTGAGACACGTGTGCTGATCCCTCGCAATGTGTGACCTTGTAGAATATCAGCAACACCGATTTTCAGACCCTTGGATCTGCATACGGCGGCGATGCGGATTGCGGCAATTGAATCCAGGCCGATGTTGTATATGCTAGTATGCGGCTTGACCATGTCAATAGACACATTGGCAATCTCCGCGAGGACTTGTTGGACAATCCCTTCGTGAACGGGAGCTTCAGCATCAGCATCTGGAGAGGGTAACTTTTCAATGGGTAGCTCTTTGGTGAGCTGAAGTGGAAGCCGTTGCAGTCGCTCGGGGACGATTGTAGCGCATCTCGTCGGATGCTCGATGATATCTTGGAAGGCGCTCTCGAAGTCCTTCAGGACAGTGTGGAGTCCATCAAATGTCAAGTATTGGCCTTTGCATGAGGATCTGATGATAATGCCCTCATGAGCGTGTTCGACCTCAACGTTCAGCGTGTGCTCGGCATTGGAGACGAAGTCTTGCGTTTCATACAACTCCCAGATGGACTGTTTGTCTTGGGCACTTGCATTTTGATCCAAATCCGCCGTTTTCTGGAACACAAAAAGAGTATCAAATATCGATGCTGAGTCGAAGTTGTTCTGCTGCCTCAACGTGTTTTGAATCGCTCTCAGGGGCGCATGCTGATATTCCTGGGCATCCGCATTCGCCCGCTGAATACGAGCCGCCATCGCCTTGTTGCTGATGACCGTCGAGTCGAAACAGATCCGCTCCGGCACGGTGTTGAACAAGGGTCCAATCGTCCTTTCTATCCCGGAGATGGGGAGAGAGCGGCCGGCAACGACATGTCCAAATGTGACGTCGCGTTTGCCAATCAGGCAGGACAGAACTTTGGCAAATGCCAACAAGGACACTGTTTGGACGGTGACTTCCATGTCTTTGCATCTTTCCAGTATTCTCGAAATGTCTAAGCTGATCTTTCGCTCAGCGACAAACATTCTGTCTGAGGACTCGTCGTCCTGTAGGGGCGGGATGTGGGCAATTTGGTATCCTTGTAATTTCCGAGTCCAAAACTGTGCCGCTTTCTCTTGCCCTTTGAAGATGTCATCGACTATTTCAGAGAAATTGGGCCTGTGAGGAGGTACGACTCCCCTGTAAATCGCCGCAGCGTCTTCAAAAACAAATGGCAATGAGACTCCATCATAAAGAGCATGATGCATCACGACGACTAGGAACTTCCCTTCCGAGCTATGGACCACATAGAACCGTAGAGGAGGGGACTGGAACGCTGCCTCATCGTGCAACCTAAGCAATTCTTTCACATTTACAGAAAAACCGGTGGTTGATTGATCAAGCTCATGCCACTCGAAAGGCGGATTCGAGTGAACTGTTCCGATCCAAGAAAAGCCCAGCTCGCTAATTGAGTGGAACGAGGTGCGCAAGATATCGTTTGCACGGACGACTTGGAGAAAGGCAGATTTGAGGGCCGCGATATCGACTGATTCGGCCAGTCGAACGGTGTGGGGATGCACGTACATATCACCAGCCGCTCCAAGGGTCTGGGTGATCATCCCCGATTGTAGCGGGGTGCATCTGAAGAGTCTTGAGATGGAATCACCAGGGCCGAGAAGAGGTATCTTGGATCGGTACGCTTCAAATGTGTCTTTTTCATTTGCTTCGACCAAGCCATTCCTTTGCGGTCCTTGTTTGGTAGAAATCTCATCGATTCGAGCTGACAGTGCCCCGACACAGGAGAAACGCATGACATCCGATGATGAGACATAAAGTCCAGCTTCGCGAAGTTTACGCGCGAATTGGATTGCCGTCACTGAATCAATACCCAGGCCGATGAAAGACGCGGACTTGGAAACGTCATCAATTTGCAGGCCACAAAAGCTGGCGACAAGCTGGCGAACTTTCTTCTCCGTTTCTGACCAAGATGCAGACGAATCGTTCCATGGAGATACATTCGCCTCTCCCCTGACCTTCGCAGATGTGGAAAGGTTGAAGCTATCCAGAGAAATGTCTTCACCCATGACCACGCTCGATAGGACAACGTCCATCTTTTCGAAAAAGTTCTCAACATCATGGGTGTTGCCAAAAGAGGGCGTGTATCCACAATGTATGTATAGCAAATTCCTGTCATAGTCTGCCTCTGCTTCAACAGAAAATGGGTAGTCTGCCGGCATGTGACTGTCTACTTCTTTCCATAGATCGTCTGTCTGAGCCTTTGTGGTTCGAATATAAGAGAACAGGCAATCGAATAGCGGCGCCTCTGATTTCAGCCATCGCTGGATGTGTCTCAGGGGCGTATGTTGAAATTCGAGAGATTTGACAGAATTATCTCTGACCGCGTTTATAACGTCTCTGACCGTTGTGAGACCATTGGTATTCAACCGGGAAGGCACAGTGGTGATACATGGTAGGAGGACAGAATCCGCTCCCGGTACGGGAATGGCTCTTCCTGAAAGTACACTGCCGTATGTGACATCCGACGTGTCTGTCATGTCAGCCAAGAGTAGTGCAAATATCGCCAATACCAGCGACGGTGCGGTTGTTTGAAGATTCGCGGAGCGGTACTCTAGATCAGAGAGCTTGGTTGACAGTGTTCTGTGCACAACGATTGCCTGTTCGGCCAGGTCATTCTCGCCGCGTCTGAATAGCGTTGGCTGATAGCCTTCGAAAAGCTGGGTCCAGAACTCCTTCGATTTTTCCATGCTCTGAGAGTAGATATACTCCAAGAAAGCGGAAGGTGAGCCCCTTTGTGGAACACTTTCACCCCTGTAACGATTTGCAACTTCTTCCAGAAGCTGGTACAGAGACTCGCCATCATACAGAGAATGATGAATCGCGATGGTGAGGGTCTGACGACGAGTGCCTTCTGCTGGGGCGATCAGGAATCGTACTGGAGGAACTGTGGCTATATCTTTGATGATCTGTTGTGCCACCTCTGTTCGGTATGAGCTGGAGCTGTGAAGTGACGTGCCTGAGTCCGAACTGCTGGGATCATATTCCTCCCACCTAATACGATACGAGTCTGGATGAAACACGACTTGCACTATCTGGTCGCCCAGCGATGCAAAGGCGGTCCTCAGGATCTCGTTCTGTCGTGCTGTCTCTTCCCAAGCAGTTCGTAAACGCGCGACATCAATGTCTGCACCAAGCTCCAGGACAATGTGGTTAACATAGAGCTGTCCTCCTTCCGCGTTGATAGAGCGGGCTACCAGGCCCTCTTGAAGAGGGAGACATGGCCGTACTGTCGACACTGATGAAATGTCGATCCCCGTCGGTGGTTCTTCGCGGAATCTAGCATTCAATCTCTCCAGCATACGGTGAACTTCCGCTGTCCTATTATTATCCACTTCTGAGTTTCGTGGCAAGCGTGCCAGTTGCTCAATAACAGGGTTGTTCATAACCGATGCCACAGTTGCATCATAGCCCAGGTTCTTGAGTTGCACTGACAGGTTTATTGCACTCAAGCTGTCCAGACCGATCTCAAATATATTCGTTGCATGACCCAAGATAGATCGATCGGTGGGAAGAATAGTGAGAATGGCTTCAACGACAGCTTCCTCTTCCGAAGTGAGTGGACGGTTGCTGCGAGCAGCAGCAGCGCTTCGTTCGCTGCTTTGAACGAGTGTCGACAGCGGGATGCTGACGAACACGGATTGAAGCTGCTTAATATCTGCTTTGCCAGACATCGGAGCCAGTGGCACATAGGAGATGGGGAGGACAACCTCTGGAACCATGTATGCAGGGAGTTTCTTCCTGCAGGCTTCTTGGAGCTCTCTTCCCAGGGTCCAGAAATCCGCCTCTAAGAAAGAGACGCTGCTGTCTTTCTTGCCCTCCGAACGAGCATTTGAACGGGCAACAAAAGAGACAAGCTGAACTCTAGCAATGTTTGGATGCTTGGCGATCATGGTAACGACATCAATTTCCAGGCTGGAAGATGAACGGATGACTTCAGAGACTTCTCCAAGTTCAAGACGCTGACCTCTGATTTTGGTTTGGTCATCACCGCGCCCGAGATATTCGAGAGTATCGTCAGCCATCAAACGGACAATATCGCCTGTGCGATACATCCGTCTGCCGAAGAATCCGTCGACGAAGCCTTTCGCATCTGGCCTATTATGATATCCCTTTGCAACAAGATCGCCGGTGAAGCAGAGCTCCCCTGCTTGGCCGCGAATGGTATACATCTCGGTCCCTGGGATGAGGACGTGGGCCACACACGAGCCCAGGGGTCGACCGATGTTTCTCAGGTTGGTCTCGCTGCCAACGAGAGCAGAGCTGCACCCGATAGTCACCTCTGTTGGACCATAGGCGTTCACAAGAGCAACATTCTGTGACGCGCCCCAAGTGTCCAAGACTCTCTGAGAGATCTTTTCTCCTCCGACACTGAGATATCTTAGTCGAGGACATTGCTCCGGAATAATGTTTGCTTGGTCCAGCAAAGACGGCACAAAACTTGCATGAGTGATCTCTAACTTGGTCAAGACCAGATGCAGGTCATCCAAGAGCATCGTTCGAGGCCCCGTCACAGTGGCGAGGCCATGTCGCCAGGCCAAAAATATCTCTGCTAGGTGGACATCGAATGCCCGGCTGGCGAGTGCCAAGTATCTCCCGGTCCCTCCAAGCTGTTTTGTCGCAGGAGCAACACGACAGATGAATTCCGATTGCGCTTCAACGAAGGCAGACAGGTTGCCTCTGGTTACCAGCACACCTTTTGGTTTACCGGTGGAGCCAGAGGTATAAAGGAGGTAGGAGATGTCGTCTGGCGTTGGCAAACTATTTGGCTTCGTGGATGACATCTTTGTCAAGGATTCCTGAAATTCAGGACTGTCAATAAGGACAAGCTTGCAGCTGTCCGGGACATCACGGAACGTGCTGGCCAAGCTGGCTTCAGTGAAAATGAGCGGACAGTTTCCATCCGCAACCAAGAACGCTTTCCTATCGTTAGGAAGAGCCTCATCGATCGGTAGATAGGTGTTCCCGGACTTGAATATTCCTGCTATTACGGGATAAGAAGCGAGGGTGCGGCCGGCGCAGAGCGCGATTATTCGCTTCTCTATACCGAGAGACGCAATATACGCCGCGACTTGATTCGCTGCTGCATCCAATGAGCCGTAGCTCATAGATTCTTTCTCAACACCGTCAACATGTATAGCGTTCACGATCTCAACAGCAGTCCACTCTGGGTGGCTTTCTGCATAGTGCTCCAACCAGAATGTTGGGCTCTTGCAGACCGCATCTGCAACTTCTTGACTCACATTCGGGGTGGAGATAGATGTTAATTCCCTTGGAAAGTATCTTACAAGTTCCGTAACCGGTTCGTCTGGATGTTCCAACATGGCTGTCACAAAAGCATCTATCTGGCGGACGAAGAGAGACAGATGCTTCTGGTCCATAACACTTTGCTCACAAGAGACATTCAGGGTCAAAGTGTCCCCTGACTTTTGAAAAACGTTGAGTGCCACCAAATGCTCCACGTTCAGACCGATAAGGTCATCGAGCTCTGACCACAACTTCGGGCAGGACTGTTGACCTGTTTCTCCGCTGAGCGGGTGGAAGGTAAACAGTCCTGGATATAGGGCTTGGCCTCGAGGTCGCTTGAGGATTTTTCGGATCTGGCGTGGATGGATATGTCGATGCTTCCACGACTCGGCAGACAACTGCTGTTGTTTCTCAATTAACTCTCGAGCGGTTCCTTTTAATTTGAAAGGAACAGGAACAACAGATATCAATGGTCCTATCACGTCTTCTAGTGTCGAATCCAGTACACGATCTGAAAGAGTTTCCCCAAACACAGCAGCTGGAGCTCCCATATAGCTCAACGAAACACAGGCCCAGGCAGTTCGAAGCAAAGAGGTAAATGATGACATGCCAAGCCGAGATGCTGTCGACTGCAGCCGTGTCACAGGAACCGTCAAGACAAGTTCCTCGGATATAAACCCGCGCTTAGAGTCAGTTCCTGGTCCTTGTCGTCTGTTGGTAAGGTCGGGCCAAGAAGGAGGGTCCAGGGCAGAGAATTCTCGAAGCTCTGTCTCCCAAAACTCAACGGTCTTGCTGTCCTCTTCAGCGGTTGGAATAATCAGGGAGAGCGCATCCTGAATCTGCTTTCTCTGGGGCAGGTTCAAACTATTATAGGTTGATTGAACGTCATTGAAGATGAAACTAAGCGAGGGCCCGTCATGGATGACGTGATGTATGGTGACAACCATCACCTTTTGATGATCCTGCCCCTTATCAAATATCGAGACAGCCCAGGGCGGATGACGGAAATAGCTGTTTTGGCGATTCTCCATGATGCGCGAGATCCTCGATTGCAACACTTCTGTGAACTCTCCTTCTTGGCATTGATAGACCTCCCAATCGAGACTCGGCTGGACGTATATCAACTGCAGAACTGAAAAGTTGAGATTTCCAGCATTATCGCCATCTTTAAGGATCTCAGCGACGGGCAGAAACCCAGCCCGGAGCGCCTCGTTGCTTTCCGCCACGCTCCGCCATGCCATTTGTAATCGTTCCAAGTCAACGGTGCTGTCAAGGGAAAAGAAATGGTTGCTCCAGTACAGATTTCTAGTCCCCATGGTTTCACTAAGAAGGCTCTCTTGGATTGGAGTCGTCCGAGTCACAGTAAAGGGTTCCTTAACCTTGGAAGCAACGGCTTCGTGCCACTCTTGATCAAACTGCTCCAACAAAGATCGGTTTGTCAGGGGAACCTTCTTCTTCCTGGAGGAAATCGCTATGGACAGAAGATCCTGAACGCTCTGGCAGTGAAGGACATCAATCACAGATACCTGGTGACCAGACTCGTTGAGTCTGGACGCAAGTCTGATGGCGCGAATAGAGTCCAGGCCCAGAGAAGCAAGCTTATTCGACCTCTTAATCGCGGATAGAGGAAGTCCAACTAGTGCTGAAACCGTTTCCATAACGAAGCCCTCCTCTGGATCACTTGGCGAACCCAGCTCCGTTGTGAAATCTGAAGGGCTGACCTCACTCTCCCATTTTTCAATATCAACAGAAGCATACGCTTTGCGGAGTGCCACACGATCCGTCTTCGCAGATTGAGTCTTGGGGATTTCTCTGACAACCAGATATACCGATGGGAGCATATGGTCTGGCAAGGTCGTGCGTGCCTTCTGCATTGCGGCACGGACAATCTCAACGGCACTGTCGTTGAAGAGCACCAATTTATACGGCTCCTTGTCTGATGCTGCTGCTGCGCTGGGAGCCGCCAGAAAAGCAACAACGACATCTGCGGGCCGGTCTGGGCGGTTAAGAATCACGGTCTCGACCTGCTCAACAAGACTATGACAGCTTTTAATGGAAAAGCTTATTTCGCTCAGTTCAACTCTAATGCTACCAAGCTTCACAAGATCATCGGTGCGGTTAAGATACTCTAGAGAGCCGTCCGAGAGCATTCGAACTAGGTCTCCTGTGTAATAGAGCACCTGAGAGGCCTCTTCATTCCAAACGAATTTAGATCGAGTCGTTTCTTCCTGATTGAGATAACCATCCGAAAGTTGTGGTCCACCCAATGCGAGCTCTCCAACAGCATTCTTCATGACGACTTTCCTATTATGATCGGTGACAAAGATAGAGACACTATCGAGCGGCCACCCAATGTTGGCGCTTTTGGTATTTCTGTGCTCTTTCCCAAACTCTCTGACGGTCGAGACCACAGTCACTTCAGCCGGACCATACGTGTTGAACGCTTGCATATCAACGCCCCAGTCATCAGCGACCGATGGCGTCAGTTTCTCACCGATCATCGTGACAACCTTCAATGTCTCACAAGATTGCCTTGGGATCCCCGCGGCAAAAGCAGGCGTCAAGTGCGCATGTGTCGCACGTGTCGAATTGGCAAGCTGTGCGAACGATCCAAGCATGATCTCGCGGGTAGCAGATATCAACGTGCCACCTAACCCCCAAGTATAGAAAATGTCTTGAACAGATACGTCGAAGGTATATTGCGAGAATTGCAAGCAGCGAACAACGCCGCCGGGTACATCTGCGGGAATGGTCCTCTGAAGCGATAGCATACTCGACACCGCTGCAGAGTGCTTTATTGGCACGCCTTTCGGCGCGCCAGTCGTTCCGCTTGTCCAGATCAGATACGCGGTATCATGAGGAGTTGCTCTGTTGCAAGATTGGCCTCTCTTCTGGGAGGGTTCTTTACTAGACCAGACGTTCACCAACTTGGTAACATCGAGGATGTCAACATCCTCTGGAACTGCGTTGGCATGTTGGACAGAGTCTGCACCGGACACCAATAGCACTCGTGCTCCAGTTCTGGCAATTAGGTCATGGCGGCGCTGCGGAGGGGAGAATGTATCTATCGGACACCATGCAGCGCCCGCCTTCAGGATACCTAGAATGGCGACGTACATTGCCGGTGATTTCTCGATGCAAATGGGAACCGTCGAATTCTGCAAAGACCCGTAGCGCTCAATGAGTTTGTCTGCAAGAGAATCGGCTTTCGCGTTCAGTGTACCGTAGGTCCACTCGATGTTGCCAGGGTTAGTAGGAACTTCGAGGTCGGCCTTGAAGATCAGAGCCACATCCTCTGGCCTGGCTTCTGCATGTCTTTCAAATTGAGTATGCAGGAGATATCCCTGCGCGCACTCTTCTGGAGACTTAGAAACTGGGTTTGCAACAGATTTCAGGCTTCCATCGGTTCTGCACGGAGCGTCTTGGAAATCCGCGTCTGGATGTTTGAGAATGAAATCGACAATGTTGCTCATCTGGCGAAGCATCAACTGCGCCGAGTCCCTGTCGAGCTTTGACCCGTTGAATGTTGCTCTTAAGGTCAGCGACCCATCATCAGCAACAGGCCACACTTCAATCATGACAGCAAAGTCATTCGCCATGGGCGGATGCTCGATGGCGCTCCAAAGCGTGCTGGAGTTACTACCAGCGTTAAAATCTTGGAATGCCAGAAGAGTGTCGTAGGGCAGCTGCCCGTTCTCAGTTACCAGGGAACCGAGACGTGGCTGAAGATATGCCAGCGACTTTGCGTTTAGCGAGGCAAGGTGCCGTGCCACCGATGTATTGGACAAAATACCACTGTGATCCCTTCCGATCTTGTTCAGGGCAAGTCGCAGAGGAACAGTAGTGAACGTAGGTCCAATACACGTTTCTGAATCGATATCAAATCGCCCAGACACCACATTGCCAATTAAAACATCCTGATCAGGAGTTCCAGTGTAGGAAAGAAGGACAGAACCCCAAGCCGCCTGGAGCACGGAGAGTGGAGTACAACCAATGCTCCTGGACTTCTTCTTCAGCATCTCGTAACTCGTATCAGCTGCTATTTCTACGGCATCGAAGACGTTTTCTGCTTCGGACGATCTGTAAGGTGTAACAGAAGGAAACGAGACAGGAGAGTATTCTCTTAAGTGGTCTTGCCAGAATCTTAAAGTGGCTTCCTGATCAGCAATGAAGTGATGCTTGACGATATGATCAAGAGACGTCCGGTGTCCACGAGGCCGGCCATAGTACTCTGCAGAAACGTCCTCGAGAAGGAGCTGCAGGGAACCACCGTCAAAGATACCGTGGAACATGCTCAAAATCAAAGCTGAGCCACTGCCGAAATCCACAAGAGACATCCTCCACGGTGGTGTATTCAAAGTTATCGAGTCCTCTGCTTCAGAGAGGGCTAGATTAATAAGATCCTCTTTTGACAGGAGACCACTGCTGGACTCGCTGGAGTATAATTTCCATTCTCGGTCAGGAATGGCATTCTGCGCGAGGATGCACTGAGCAAATGGCGCCATGTCGTCATCCAACCAGCAGAAGACTGTGCGGAAAGAATCGTAATCAGCTATCACTGTTTCCCAGGATCGCCTCAGGCGCTCCGCGTCCACGTCTTTCCCAAGATGGATAACAGAATGATAGATGTACGAAGACTTAGAGTGATTTGTTCTGGTGGATGAACGTCGGAGGAAGCTTGCCAGCATGCCAGATTGGGTCGCTGTGGTTGGGAGGACGTTTTGTATTGCACCTGCATCGATGTGCAGTCTCTGAGCACAGATCTCACGATTCCGGCGATCAAACTCGCGCAATTCACCTTGTAATGCTAGTAATGATTGTTTCCCTTGAAAGTCATTGGGGGAAGGATCAAGGTTCTTGTCTTTACCCTGAATGATCGCCGATAACAGTCCACTCGGTGTCCCCGCGATGAGTACGTCGCTCACAGAGAGGTGGTTCACGCCATTCTCTCTTAGGTGCTGAAGCAGACGCATTGCTCCCAGACTGTCTATACCAAGGGAGAACAGACTGGTAAAGGGTTGGATTGCTGTTGCGTCCTGGTCTGTAGTCTTAGCTAGGGCTTCCAACAGACGCTGCCGCAATGAGGGATCAATATTCTCCACAGTGTCCCAATCTGTGGGTGCGTCTTGTGGATTCGCGCCGCCATTTTCAACTGTGGATATGATCTCATCCTTCTGAGCCGTCTTCAGCCTTGCTGTTATCGCTCTCCGATCGACTTTCCCGGAGCTAGAGCGAGGGAGAGACTCTAAGAAAACAAAGGAAGACGGACACATATAGGATGGCAGGTGTCGTGCTGCAACTTCGCGACATTCCTTAACCAGTTTCTCTCTGGTGGCCTCGTGGCTGTGGTCTGCAACGATGCAAGCAATAAGCTGCTCACTACCTTCCTTGCCCTGGTCTCGCTGTAATACAATTGCCACGATTTCTATGATTCCCCTCACCGTGGCAAGAACGGACTCTATTTCTCCCAGTTCCAGTCTTTTGCCGCTGATCTTGACTTGGTCGGAAGTAATTCGGCCTAGAAATTCCAGGACCTGGTTTCCTTTCTCATCCCAGACGATCCGTGCCATATCTCCAGTCCGATAGACATAACCATATTCGGGACTAAAGACAAATGCTCGTGTGGTCTCCTCTGGCCGATTCAGATACCCCTTGCTCACTTGAGGACCTCCAATGGCAAGTTCGCCAGACATTGCAGCAGGGACAGCCTGCGGAGTTCTCCGGTCTGGATCTAGAACAAACATAGAACAAGTTGGTAGCGGTCTCCCGATAATCGAGCCTCTGGTAGACTGATCAACTGGTGAATTGAATGTGCAATTTATAGCCCCCTCGGTAGGTCCATAAGCGTTGACTAACGTGGTGGAATGCGCCGATGGTGATGCGAAATTCTCTATCACTGTACGATTGAGCTTTTCGCCCATCGTCCAAAGATGACGGAGTGTATGAAGCCGAGATGGTCGCAATAATGCCGCTAGACTTGGCGTTGCCATCATGATCGTCGCTCTTGTTTCGTTTATGGTTGCCTCCAGATCTGTCATCGTTAAATCTCGATTTGCAGAGCAGAGTGTTGCTCCACAGCTGAGGGTAACAAAAATCTCCATAATTGATGGATCAAAGGTAGGAGAAGCAAACTGAAACCAGCGAAAGGAGCCGTCAGAGTCACGCGGCAGAGGAATTGAGGTGGCATGGGAGTTGATTGAACAGGTAGCAGCCAAGTGGTTGACCTGCACGCCTTTTGGCTTGCCCGTAGAGCCACTTGTAAAAAGCAAATATGCAATATCATCTTCGAGTCTGGAGTGATGCATGGAGCTGTAGTCGAGTTCATCTTGATCTGTGGCATGACTCCCGCTGAGGGATTTCCATTTCGATATCTCTGCAACATTCAACCACGCGGGGGTTGTCGACTGACTCTTGTACCAAGGTTCTATTGAGGATTCGGGGGTTCGACCCAGAATAACAGGCGAATCGATATCGTCGAGGATTTCCTGTATCCTTCGCTGCGGTGCATCCTGAGGAATTGGACAGAATGCATAGCCAGCCTTGAGTACACCAAGATACGAGATGTACAGCTCCGGTGAAGTGGACATGTGAACCGGAATGATCCGCGACCAATTTGTTGGACCTTTCCTTTCCCCCAGCATAGCTCTCAAATGAGAAGCTACACGTGTGGCTGCAGCATTCAAATCAGCATAAGTGAGAATGCTGCGTTCTGCTGGCTTGTTCGTAGACGGTAGATTGTGGACAAAATCCAATGCCACAGCATCAGGTTTTTCGTGAGCCCAGAATTCAAATGCGGCATGGAGAAGAGACTGTCCCAATGGCTTGTTTGGAGATACTTGGCCGAACACCTCTAGTGAAGGTGGCTTCATCAGAGGCGGGAAATTCAGAATAGAAAGCTGGGGTATCTTCTCTCCTCCATCTTCGTCAATGGACCTCAAATCTGCAGACTCTTTTACCAACAGAGCTGCTGTTCTCGATATTTGATCCAAAGCCGCTTCTGGGATCAATCGGCTTGAGCAACCAATGGATATTTTCAGCGTGCGTGTTGCCGAGTTAATCTGGACTCTCAACAGAAAGCCCTAGGTAAGTTACCTGTTAGCAATGAAGCAGAATCTCGTGCATTCCATGCTACTTACATCCACTCCCACGATCGAGATGCAAGAGTGCTCGCCATCTTCAAACGGAGTATCTATGCTCAATTCAAGAGCAAACTGAGTGTCCACCCCGTGGGACTTGATATCACATTCGCGGATATTGCAGGGATGTGGAGTTCTCAAAGAACCCTCTTCTTCCCTCTCGAACTTTGAGATAGACGCGCAAACGATTTTATGCCGTGTTTCCGACGTGTGAAATGAATTCGCAGTCTGAAAGAGTGCAAAAGCAACATCTTCGAGGCCTGTGAACGCGGAAATGAAGCGCGCATATCCTTGAATAATCTTATTCGAGAGGGTTGGTAGATCTGCCTCGTACGTGAATTCCAGTACTTTGCTTAAGTGGTAACCACTGCCGGGAAGAGCTTCAGCTGCATAGTGGTTGACTGTGTCTAGCGACGGTACTTTCGTCACCGGTATATTATCATCGTGCGTGAGCTTGTGGTCGCCGTTTGTCTGCAATCCCGTGACTTGGTCATGGATGACGGCTTTTTGAGGCGCGTTACTCGACGAAATTGTCTCCGCCATCGCAGAATAGTTCTATTGAAAAGGAATGAAAGGTCCGTTAATTAAATATTAAAGATTGATAAAACCTCTCAAGATGCAGAGCACAGTCATGAATACAAGCAAAAGAATAAGATGCGACGTGGGTGTGCCTGAAGCTTAGAGCTCAGCGCCTGCATCGGAGCTGGATTGCCCGATCTCTGCTTGGGAACCGTGATCAACGGCGCATGCCAGAGTGCTAGAAGCCTAGAACCGGCAGTCGCCGAACTTGCTGCCCGTTGTGACTCACGCCAGGGGCATTCCCCGCTCCTACGGAAGGTATCTGTCCACATGGCTTGCATTTTCATTGTGTTCACCTTTCACCCTCTAGCTTGACCAGAGGACCGGCACAGCAGTAACAGCAATCAGTACAACTACAGAGCAGAGGTCTGGTGGGGAAGAACCTCCACCAGCATAGGAGTACGCCACGAACATTACTGTCTCCAAGAGCGGCAGAACGGAAAAGGACAAGAAAAAGCAATGATGACGAAGGTCTTTTAGCGTACGTTTCTCATGGCGACATGGCGGGGTGGACAGAGCGTGGGATGTGGAGGATTGCCAAGCGACGAGGGGGGTTGGCGTGTCTCGCTGCTTTAACGGCGTGCACGCCGATCATCGGCGACTGCCAACGGGCTTTGAGCTTCCCATCTGATTAGATGATCTGATTAGATTACGCTGTGACTAGGGCCGGATGGACTCCGACATGGACATCCTCCATTTCCTTTTTTTTTTCTCTCGCAATTTTAGTGTCTCCACAGGCTAATTGCTCCTTTGATCGCATGGACCGGGAGTCGAATATCCGAGAAAATGTCTCAGAATTTAAAGCTCGGAATTTAGGTACGGAGTATTTCGGTACATGCGTGTACTATTAACCCTTTTCTTTTTTTTCCCACCAAGCCTCCGCTTTGCTGGATTTTTTTAAATGATTGCGTAAAGGAAAAGCATGGCGTCGCCGAAGTTAATGACTAGTTTCCTAGGTAGCTCTTCGTCGACAGGGATCTCGCAAGATCCACTGGAATGTCATGTCGTCGTATTCGTACGTAACTTAGCTATCACAGCCGGATAATAGTGAATAATACCAAGTCAGTTGACAGTCATATCCGCACTAATGTAAGATCCAATGTGATCCAATCGACGCTAGAAGATGGTATCGGGTGCCGTTGAACCGTATCTAGCGGTTCACGGAGTATGCCTCGTAGATGAGCCTGGAATTCGTGCAGACAATACAGTACAATTAGGCAATTCTATCAGTTGAACCTAAACTGATAGTCTACGCTACGAGATATGCTATTATATTCTATGTGTGCATAGATTCAGCCTTGGTTCTGTCAGATCCAGATACCACAGAAAAAAAAACAAAACGCAGATCTCGACCGTCGATCTCAGTGATGATCACGCCGCAAACTCCCCTGGAGCGTCTCCAACAGACGCTGCAGCATGTCCATCATCAAAGCGCGCCGCCAGCATCAAAACAACTCTCGATCGTCCATGGGCCGACGGAGCCGGAATTGCTTGACATCACCCTGGGAGAACTCCTGACCTTGCAAAGCCTGCAGTACCGACATCAGGAATGCCTGGTGGTGCCCTGGACAGGGACAAGATGGACATACGGAGACCTGGACCATGAGAGCCAGCTCGTCGCGAGAGGTCTGTTGGCGATGGGCGTTCAAAGAGGAGATCGCATAGGGATCATGGCTGGGAATTGCGAGCAGTATGTCTCCATGTTTTTCGCTGCAGCGCGTGTTGGAGTCATCCTCGTGGTCCTCAACAACACCTATACTCCGTCAGAGGTATACTATGCGTTGAACCATACAGGTGAGTCGTAGCATTCAAGTATATCTGCAGAAGAGGCGAGGAATTTTGTGTGTTAATAATCATGATACAGAATGCAAATTCCTCTTCATAACACCCAAAATTGGCCGCCACTCCATTGTCGAGGTTCTCGAGACACTGGGCCCTCTTCCCAAAACGAATGGAAAATCCGAATCGCTGGAAGAGATATTGATTCTCAGGGGAGAGTATTCCGGTTTCAAAACCTACAACGATGTGATCAAGAGGGGGCTTGAAATGCCTGCAGACGCACTGCTAAACCGAGAAGACGAACTGAATCCCCATGATGTCTGCAATCTGCAATTCACGAGCGGCTCGACAGGAAATCCCAAGGCTGCGATGTTGACGCATCAGTATGCAATCAATCCATTCACAAGCTTCTAAAAACATAATACCAGGGACTGACTAAATGATGATGGCTGCTAGCAACCTCGTGAACAATTCTCGATTCATCGGCGACCGCATGAACTTCACGCAATTCGATATTCTGTGCTGCCCGCCGCCGCTCTTCCACTGCTTCGGGCTTGTCCTCGGCCTGTTGGCTGTCATCACCCACGGAGCCAAAATCGTCTATCCGGGCGAGACGTTCGACCCAAAGGCAGTACTTCACGCCATATCAGACGAGCGATGTACCGCTCTCCACGGCGTGCCCACCATGTTTGAGGCCATCCTGAGTCTTCCCCGGCCGGACAATTTTGACTGCTCGAACCTGCGGACCGGGATCATCGCGGGCGCACCCGTGCCACGACCGCTGATGAAGCGGCTCCTGGAGGAGCTCAACATGACGGAATTTACCAGCAGCTACGGTGTGTCTTTTTGCAATTAATTTTTTTATTTTATTCAAGCTAATCTTAAGTTTTACTTGATTTAGGCCTCACAGAAGCCTCACCCACCTGCTTCAACGCCGTGACCACCGACACCATCCACACGCGCCTCACGACAGTGGGCAAAGTCATGCCGCACGCGCACGCGAAAATCGTCGATTCAAAGGGAAACATCGTCCCCGTTGGCCAGCGCGGCGAGCTCTGCATGGCCGGCTACCAATTGACAAAGGGATACTGGAAGAATCCAGAAAAGACGGCCGAAGCGCTGGTCACGGACGAGAACGGCGTGACCTGGCTGCGCACGGGAGACGAGGCATGCTTTGATTCGCAGGGTCGGTGCACCATCACGGGGCGGTTCAAGGATATCATCATTCGAGGTATGTACTGTACATACATACATGAAACTACACTGCATAAGTAATAAAAACTAAGTATTGATATGCTGATGATGATGATGCCAGGCGGTGAAAACATCTACCCCCTCGAGATCGAAGAACGACTGGCCGCCCACCCAGCCGTGTCCCTGGCATCCGTGATCGGAATCCCCGACCCGAAATACGGCGAAGTCGTCGGGGCCTTCATCCAGCTGGAGCAGCAGCACGCACGGCCATCAGACGAGGAACTCCGGGCCTGGACTCGTCAGAAGCTGGGCTACCACAAGGCGCCGCAGTACATCTTCGTCTTTGGCGAGGAGGGCGTCAGCAGCACGGTGCCTGTCACGGGCAGTGGGAAGGTGCGGAAAGTGGATCTGAGGGAGATGGCAGCGAAGGTGCTAGAGGATCGGAAGCGGAAGATGAAGGAGGGATCGGGCATGTAAATTCCGTGTAGTTACGGAGTGTAGTACTTGGCATTCAACTTTTTCCATACAGGATATGAATACGAATGATACGAGGTACATACATTGTAGATACAGGCTACAGCAGTGTAAAGTCTTTCGCTTCTGCCATCTTGGTAATGGATTTACATGTCTTAATGGTGGGACAGGAGCCCTGGAACCTTGGAATGCTACTCTGGGCCGTTACAAAGTCCATCTTACGCCATTATTAATCGTTTCATGATGCAGGCTGCAGAAATGGGGCTTGGGGGAGAACATCGGGATTTTTTTATCTCAATAAATAGATTATCAATCAGATTAGATGGAACCGCACAGACTCGGCAGTTTTTGTGGTCTTGGCGGGCGGGTGATCTTTCCCTTTCTGTGCTTAGCGTGTTTCCCTACGTTCTTCTTGCCGAGGATGCCCCGTCAACTCGCATGCGGTGGACACGGTAAATTGTTTCCTGCGTTAACCCTTCTACGGCTCTTCCTGAATCCTACCTAGGTAATTCATAACCCCAACTTACGTGATTTTTTTTACTCTTAAAAAAAAAGGGACATCTTATCTGATATTAGAAAAATTCTCCAATACAACATACATTAGAGTACATGTTTGCTCAGCATGCCAATTACTATCAGTAACTGCTGAGATTGCCTAAATCAAATGACACGACTTCACAGCTCAGTAAACGAGAATGCTACATGTACAACTACAGCTACAGCTTCAATGCACGGTCCGGATTCCTCTTGATAGTGCCGCCCCCATTGAACCCGAACGGTGAGATCTGGAAGAACTTCTCTCGACTGCACTTGACAAAGGCAGACCGTTTGTGCGGTAGATCGACCAGCTTCTCGACGTTGAATCCATGGGCGTGGTCGTATGCCAGCACGGTGGCGTTAGTGACTTTGGGCTCTCCTACCACATACGAAGTCCGTGGATCGTCCAGGAAGATGTAGTGCATCAGACTGCACCACCAGGCCATGACCCGGTGCGGTCCACGGAATCGGGCGTCCCCGACGAGAGAGTGACGGCCGCGGTCGTAGTCTCCTGCACCGTAGTATGCGCCTAGGTGGTCCTCCTTCTTGTTGTCAGTAAAGAGAAACAAAAAAGAAGACGAAAAAGTAAAGAAGAAATTTAAGGGAAAGAAACGAAGAACAAGGTTGTTTCTGTTGGATAATACCTTCGCCCAGTAAATCTCAAAATATGCAAAGTAAGTGTCGTCAAACTTGGCCAGGACAGCCAGCTGATGCGGATCTTCGTGCAACTGACGCAGATACTCGCGGTGTTCCTCCAGCGTGCCGGTCTGGTTCCAGCCCTGCGCCACCCGCGGGTCATTCTGCCACTTGTGAAAGAGCTGGAGGTGTTCATCGTTCGTATAATCGAGAGCGACCATCGAGAAGTATTCTTTCAGATGGGGGATGTAGCGGCTGTAGATACGCGACCCGGGCGTAGGCTTGGGCGGCCGGACCGGATGGTGAGCGTGTACACGGACATCGGGAAATTTGGTCGTGAGGGTATATTCGAGAGGATACTGGGGGAAATCGCTGAGAGGACGACGAAGATCAGAATGAAGACCCGGATCCGCTACCCATGCTGCGCGCGACCCGAACGGAGAGCCAGCGCCCTGCCAGAAGCAGCCTCGAAGGATCACCAGTTGATCGACGTGGTCGCGAGATTCAGGAATAGGCTGACCTGGAGGAGCAGACGGTTCAGGATGCTTGATGGCCAGCCCAACAGCTTGTAGTTCCTTTGCGATCTGCTCCTTTCCAGGTCCAGACAATACGAACCGGAAGATTTCCGGGTCGGGGCGCAGAGACAGAATCGCATAGATCACATTCCACATCTGCGCGACAGTAGGAGTATTTGCTCCATCCCAGGTCAGATACGAGACTGGAGACCTCTTCGCCCGTGCCCAGGGTGAATTGTTACTGTCTGGAGGGACACTCGCTGGATCGGGCTGGGAGAGCTCGCTGAAGATCAGCGAGGCATGGTGGAGAGGTTCAGGCGGAGGAAGGCCATCGTCTTGGTTTTTGGACAGGCAAAGACGAAATATCCTGCATGTCTCTTCTCGTGAGACAATCTCCAGCTCGTAGGTGGTCTTGTACGGTTCAGGGAGCCGCACAAGAGGCAGCTCTTCTTCACGATCATCTGTAGACGCCATTTGTGGCAGCTCTAGGAGAGAAAAGAGAAAGGTTAGACAAAAAAGGAAGCAAACCAGTGAGAAGGGCAAAATCAGGATGCTGAGGTGAGGCTCGATATGGGAGAAAAACAGATGCTGCTCCCAGCTTGAGAGACAAGCCGTCTTGCGGATGAATCCGCGTCACACCGGCTACCGGGCTGGAATCCATGGATGTCGGATTCAGTCTTGACCTCGGTCTGGCAGGTCTGGGCGAAAATGCCAGCAGTGACTACACATCTTACGTACAGTACAATTGGGTTCTTAAGGAACCTTTGCAGTGGCGCACTAATGACTCTATTGCACTCAGCCAAAAGAAGTAGTTCTAGACAGTTCAAGACACTTGAGATCAATTGGATCTCAGGAGTGGAACCTACAACCCCTTCTCCATCATCTTTGGCAGACACTTTGACTGGCAAAGAAACCTCCGTCTGTTTACCAAGGACCTGGCCAAGTGGAGAAGTGCTGACAGAGTTATCTGATGAACGCCAAGCGGGGCCATCATCAGCCGGCTCTTGCCGCCTTAAGACTCTTTTCTCCTTGGCATTATTTCACTTTGCACAATGCTGTCTCCGACAGTCGGCCAGTTCCACTCATCGCCATGTTCGGCGCTCCAGTTCGTGGGCCTAGTGCTGCTATGACTTCGACACGAGAATAAATGGGCGGCAGTTGGCGGTCTCCGATATGCCCCCGAGTGCAACTCCGACCGGACTGAGTTTGTGTCCTCGATGGAGCACCAAATAGTGCTGTAAATTATCTGATCAACTGTGGAGTCTTGCTCTTGGCCGCTTCTAGGCGCTGCGAAACAGGTTTCGAGTGACTAAGAGGTTAGTTCTCAGCAATGTCATTCACCAGGGATCGGTCCTTCCTCCCAGGGCCCAAGCCTGCTTCACCGTGTCACAAGCACTTTCACGCTTCGTGTGAGTTGAACAGCAGTGTCAATCCCACACTCGCTCCTTGCAAGCTGAAATTAATGCGCTGAATATTATCTATCTGTCTCTTAACCTATCCATGTCAAGAGTGCCGTCAAGAAGCCAATATCCAGTATCCATTCATTTGTACAGACCTGCCGCATGAAAACATCCGATGACTGAAAAGCAACACGGCAATTCTCCGGCCGACGAGCACAAAATCCAAGATGAGAGCAAAGTCTCTTCGAGGTTTCCAGCTGTATGTGGAAGGCCCTGTTTTATTGCCTTTTTGCATCGTTGGTACGAGATACCCCAGCTAACTTTGGCTCGCTGCTGGAGCAGTGGCTGTCGCCATGGAAGTATCTGCCAACAAAAAAGAACCTGCAGCAAGCCTTTGCGTATCTGCGCCTTCTCTTCTCGTCTGATCCGTCGATCCTCGATGTATTCCTCATAATCGGCGGAGTGGTCTTCGCCATTGCCGCTGGCATTCCGTTTCCTTTACTGGGCATCTTGTTCGGTCAGCTGGTGAACGACCTGAACTCGTCCACATGCGATCCCACACAGAACAACATCGAAGCCTTTCAGTCGAGTGTTCGCACCAAAGTGCTTTATATCATCTACATTACAATCGCCAATTTCGGGTTCATCTACCTCCACGCTGGATGTTGGAGTCTGGTCGGCGAACGGCTCGTCCGTCGCTTGCGCAAACGTTACTTCCAAAGCCTCCTGAAACAGGAAGCTTCCTTCTTCGATACCCTGCCTCCGGGCGATGTTGTATCCCGGCTGGTCACCGACATCGAGGTGGTCCAGTCAGGCACTTCGGAGAAGGTGGGAATCTACATTTCGACCATCTCGTATTTTGTGGCCTCGTATGTGGTCGCATTTACCAAAGTAGCCGCAATCGCCGGCATGCTCGTATCCGTCGTTCCATGTTATTTCCTCATGGCCTTTGTGGGAGGTCACTACATCCAAAAGTACGCCAGTCGGATTGCGGAGCATGCCAATGCTGCAACTTCGGTGGCATCATCTAGTCTGTCTCATTTACCTCTCGTCCATGCTTTTAATGCAAACCAACGTCTAGAGGCGATCTTCTCTCGCCATCTGAGCCTGGCTAGAATGGATGCCCTCAAAAAGGCCCTCACTCACGCCATCCAGTTGGGCCTGTTGTATTTCATCGCCTACTCATCCAACGCGCTCGCTTTCTGGCAGGGGAGCAGAATGATTGCAGATAGAGTGGCCCATAACGCCTCGGGAGTTTCTGTCGGCGCAGTTTATACCGTGATCTTTGTCCTCCTAGACGGTACGCTATCCCTGAAATCACTAAATGCGCCTCGCTAACGATCACAGCGTCCTTTATTCTCAGCCAAGTTGCACCTTTTATTCACATCTTCTCCGCCGCGACGGATGCGTCAGATCGGCTCAGGAAAATAATTGAAAGACCGTCCGCAATCGATGGCACGTCATCTCGCGGAGACCGCTCTGTCAAGTTCGAAGCGGACGACATCGAGTTTCGGGACGTGTTTTTCTCCTATCCTAGCCGTCCTGAGGCTCCTGTCCTCCAAGGTGTCAACTTCAAGATTCCTCCGAACAAACACACTGCTATCGTCGGAGCATCTGGGGGTGGCAAATCCACCATTGTGGCGCTTCTCGAGCGTTTTTACGACCCGACCGGGGGGGATATCATCATTGGTGACCGGAACTTCAAGGACATCAACGTTCAACACCTACGAGGTAACATCGGTTACGTGCCGCAGGAGCCCAATCTGCTCGACCGATCAATCCTGGAGAATATCGCACACGGCCTGGTGAGCTCTGCCGCTGAAAAACACAGACATCTTGCCCCTGTTCTTCTGGATGCCAGTCTTCCCGATCTGGTAAATAAGATTCGCAGGGGAATTCCTGAGAGTGAAGCAGTTGCTTCCTGCGATCCTCGAGTCTCCGAGATTCTTCGACTGGTGAGAGATGCAGCAGCAACGGCAAATGCACTGTCGTTTATTGAAGCCCTTCCACAGGGGTTTGCAACCAGCGTTGGAGCAGCAGGTAATCAGCTGAGCGGTGGCCAGAAACAACGAATTGCCCTGGCACGCGCCCTCGTTCGTGAGCCTCGCATCCTTCTCCTCGACGAGGCTACCGCGGCGCTCGACTCAACTAGCGAGCAGCTGATCCAATCGGCTCTTAAGAGCATAGCTGAGAAGATCACCATCGTTTCCATTGCACACCGTCTAGCGACGGCTAAAGACGCCCACAATATTGTTGTTGTCCAGAAAGGACGCGTGGTTGAACAAGGCACGCACTCGGAACTGATTGCAAGAGACGGGGTTTATGCTGGTATGGTAAAGCTACAGAGTCTCCAGAAAATAAGCATCCCAGATCTTGCAATGGAAGATTCTATCAGTTGCTCTTCTGTCGACAAGGGACACGCTCAGGTGCGGTCCTCTGACAAGGATACCACCTCGGATGCGTCAGATGAGAAGCCCGCTGCAAACGAGGAAATCCAACCCAAGGGCACGATAGAGAAGAGCACCGAAGATAACAAAAAGAATAAACCAAAAAAGCGGTCTTTATGGTCAACCCTAAAGCACACCTTTCCTCTGATTCGGCCGAATATGGGTTTCATTTTTCTTGGTATCGCCTCAGCGGCTGTAGTAGGGGGCAGTTACTCAGGAGAGGCCATTCTCTTCGGCCACACTGTAGGAAGTCTCCGTCCCTGCAAAGGAGTTTCCAGTATACGACACAGTGGTCATCTCTACGGTCTCCTGTTTTTCATCCTGGCGCTGATCGAGTTTACAGCTGTGGTCGTTAGTGGCTCCGCATTTGGATGGGCGGCTGACAAGATCCTCTATCGCGTTCGAGTCTTGTCGTTGCGGTCTCTCCTTCGCAAGTCCCTCAAGTGGCATAACTCCGAAGGTCGCAAACCAGGGACACTGGTTTCACACATCACCAGCGATGCCGCGGCCTTGAGTGGGTTGACTGGAAGCACGATCGGTCTGCTGTTTTCGACTGCAGTGAACCTGATCGCCGGCATCGCCATCTCGCATGCCATTGCGTGGAAAATCTCGATCGTCCTGCTTGCTACTGTTCCGGTACTTCTTTCTGCCGGTATGATGAAGCTCCGAGTGCAGGCGCAGTTCGCAGAGAGACACCAAAAAGCTTTTGCTGAAGCGACGGCAATCACGGTTGAGGCCGTCGACGGGATCAAGACGGTTGCCGCGTTTTCTTTAGAGAACGAAGTGTACCAAGTCTACAGTCGCTCCCTGCAAGGTCCGTACCAAGCAACCCTCAGGGCCATTGCCTGGGGAAACCTGTGGCTCTCGCTGTCGTTCAGTATCAGCAACCTTGTCTATGCGCTGGCATACTGGTGGGGGTCCAGACAAATCGCATCGGGCATGTATTCTCAGACACAATTCTTCATCGTTCTGCCTGCTCTGCTGTTCAGCGCGCAATCTTGCGGACAGATGTTTGCTTTGGCGCCTGACGTCTCCAAAGCCCGCGTCGCGGCAACCAACATTGTCAATCTGCTGACTGATCGCTCGGAGGATGAAGAACCTGGCAAGGTTGTCGGTCCTGGTGAAAACGATGTTCTACATGAGAAGGTGCAGGATATCGAAGCGTATCCACAGGGCCACAAAGCCGAACAAGAAGCATGTTCAGGCCGTGGGGGGATTGGCGTGGAGCTGCGGGACGTCCATTTCGCATACGCATCTCGACAGGATCGGCCTGTCTTGAGGGGTCTTAGTCTTCAGATTCCGGCGGGCCAATTCTGCGCTTTGGTCGGTCCCAGTGGATCAGGAAAATCGACCACATTCGCCATGCTGGAGCGATTCTACCGCCCGTCATCCGGGTCCGTCATCATTGACGGCGTCGACGTCGTCGCCCAGGCAGGGACGTCCTTCCGGGATGACATCGCACTCGTGCCGCAGGAAAACGTCCTGTTTGAAGGCACGGTGGCCTTCAACATCGCACTGGGGGCGCGTCCGGACCACGAACCCACGCAGGCGGAGATCGAGGAGGCGTGTCGACTGGCCAACATCCATGACACGATCATGGCGCTGCCCCAGGGCTATGAGACAATGTGCAGCCAGGACGGCAAGCAGTTTTCCGGGGGGCAGCGGCAACGATTGTCGATTGCGCGGGCGCTCGTGCGCAAGCCGCGGCTGCTGCTGCTGGACGAGTCGACGAGCGCGCTGGACGTTGAGTCGGAGAAGCGGATCCAGGAGGCGTTGGCGACGGTGGCGAAGCAGACTACCATCGTGGCGATCGCGCACCGGCTAAACACGATCTACCGGGCGGACCGGATCTTCTTGATCGAGGAGGGGCGATGTGTCGATCAGGGCACGCACGCGGAGCTGGTGGAACGGAGCGAGACGTATCGAAAGAGCGTGATCCATCAGTCGTTAGAGTAGTCTAGAGTAGGTAGGGCTACAGGAACTTTCGAGTCGATAATATCGTAATGTCTATTTTTGCATTTGTTGATAGAATAGGAATCGAGGAAACTATGCGGCTGATATATTGCATTAATTAATCCCGGTAGTAATTACAGAGCAATTATCGCTTGACCAGCTTGACCAGCCTGATCGAGCCAGTCTACTAATACACAAGCTAATATGTTCCTCTCTTAACTCTTGCTGGTCCAGCTTTCATAGCAGATTTTTGTCTATTCATTAGAATGCGCTTTGTTTTTTCTTTTTTTTTCTATCCGGAGGATTCGTTCGCTCCAAAATCACAAATAATAAAATAAATATACAGTTCTCTGACTAAAAAAGAAATAATTCATTTGTCAATTATTCAATGACAATAAAATATTCCGTAATTACTGACCAATTAATTATTTTTTTTTCAAACCCAAGTCGATCATCTTGAGAGTACGCCGGTTGTTGAGTTCCCGAACGAAGATCCATCCATGCGCTTAAGTGTTTTTTTTTCTCGTTTTGGCCCCCTCCTTAATGACTAGAGACTATGTCTAAGTTTACTTTCTATGTGAAGTAGTACTCCGTACGGGGTAGTAATACACGCAGTATATGGAGTAGCGCTGCGTAAGAGTCTAAAAGAAGAGACAGGACAGATCGTCAGATCAGATCCTTTCGACCTGATATATTACTCCATATATATGTACTCCGTACAAATAATTTTTTTTTACCCAGGAAACAGGACATGCATGACATGCGGAGGGATTTTTTTTCACTTTCACGAAGCGGGATTGCGGGATTATTAGCAGATAGATTCGGAGTAGTTAGATAGATACTGTAGATCTAGGTACAGTACTAATTAACTAGCCCCTGGCCCCCTCCCCTGCCCTCTTTGCAGATCGCGACATTTGTTTGTTTGTTTGGTCGAGTTTTCGAGAAGGTATGTACGGAGTACTACTACTGTGTAGTAACACTCCGTAAGCGAGTCATCCACATAAAAGGATTCGTTTGTTTATTCGCGCAGTTTGAGTTGTATCAAAGTACAGTAAAATAGTCTGTGTGCAAGTGCCTTAGGCAGGTAGGTATGTACATACAGTATGTAGAGATGAAATAAATAAAACTGCCAATGTCCTTACTAGCATTCACACATAGCTGTATAGGTAGGTAGGTTCTCGTGCTTATACAGCTCGATATAATCTATATAACAATCGATATGATATGATAATCCACCAAAAAAAAAAGAAAACACTGAATCTGAATCTGAAACCGATAGGACACTACTCCATAGAAATTAGAATATATATTAATACTCCGTATTGTGTATCATTAATCATCAATATCCTACAGTAATCTTAGCAATTAGTTACTACTTATAGTTACTACTTACTCCGTAGGTGCAGAGTACAGTACATATTATTTTATACTCCGTACCTACTCTATACTCCGTATTGGAACGATAATCTGGCGGTGAGTAAGCCAGCATCCTTTCAAATAAAATATCCTCACAAATAAAATAATATTCCGTGATTAAATACTCCGTGAGAATAATGAAAACCAAGAAAAGAAAAAAGGGGACCCACGGGAACTGTGCCACTGACTTGGGGCATTTCAATCACGTGACGTCTTGTCCATGTTTCATGTTCCTGGACTAAAATTTAGTTGACTAGGAAAAAATAGGCGTTGAGCTTTCTGATTTGTCGACAGTCGCCAGCGTGGCGTATTCCGGGTTTTGCTAAAATTAGTTTTGCTTGCTCTTGCTCTTGCCCCTGGATCTTTGCTGTCTCAGGTATCAATCAGGTATCAATCAGGTATCTCGTGTACGGAGTACAGATTACTAGAACTGTTCCCTCGTTAAAATATTAAATATTATCAGTCTGCTTGCTATGTATGTGCGGGTTATGTGCTGAGTCTTCTTCCTCTTTTTTATCTTTATTTTTTCTAGAAAGGCGACAAGTCAAATCACGTCAAGTTCGAGTCAGTCGGATCCTTGCCGATGCATGTCCAGACTCGATACTGCGAGTCAGCAATAATAACTAAAATGAATAATAATAGACGCCATTCTCCCCAATAATTGCGATTATACGCATACTATGCCATAGTATATGAGAAATAAATTAAAAATAAGTAAATCAATAAAGGAAACCAGAAAAAGAGAAGCAAGGAAGGATGGATGGATGGACGGATGTGGATGGTTGCAACGTAGCATCGCTCGCTAACTTAACTACTCCATACGGAGTAGCTATTACTACCCCATACTCCATAAAAGACATCAAGCATGCTGATCCTCTTTCCCCTTTTTTAAAAAAACTTTCTTCTTCTTTTCTTCCTTTTTTTTGACAGGGATTAATATTTACGAAGTACCAGCCAACCGACCAATTAACAAAAGAACCGATCGATCGATCGACTATAGCAGTAGTATTTAATAGCAATAATAGCAGTGGCAATTATTAGCAGGGAGAGAAGGTTAACTAGGTTCTAACTAGCTAAGGCTGAGCTCAGCCTCAGCCTTCTTTTAGAGTCCTAGATAGACATGGGGATGCCAGCCTACCTAATGTAGTTTACGGAGTACCTAAAGTAGGGGTACCAGGTATTAAGGACTTAGGTAAGGACCAGGACCAGGGCTAGGACAGGACCAGGGTCCTCCATATTCCATTTTGAGGAAAAGGAGAACAATAGGAATGCGGAATAAGAAAAGCAAAATAGGAATAATATAATATCTCCTTTTCTCTGGAGGATTGATAATGAACTCCGCACCTGTTATCTGTACTCGGTTCGGTATACAGGTAGCATTATTATCCGTACCCATCATAATAAATCAATTAATCTCTAAAATAGTCGTGCATTTATTTATAGCCTACTAGTGATATGCAGACTTAGCACTCACGTCTCTTCCATTCTGATACTAGCCAACTATTAACTATGGAGTACTAGTACTACTGGACTACTCCTTACTCCGTCTGACTACTAATTAAAGACAATAATAGTGCAGAGATAAAAATACATCTCACTACTCCGTAAATAATATCAAACTCAGGGGCAATGAATCGGCAGATGAGTAACTCCTAGCACGGCCCGCCAAGCGCCACTCATCACGGGCCATCCGCGTCGTCACCTGGGCCCACTGCCGCAAGCCGTTCTGGCCAGCAGAATACAGCGAGAGTGTATGCACACAGGATATGAATACGGAGTATATGCTGGAATATGATTGCGAGAGAAGCCGAATACTGCTGTCTGCACACGCGGTCCATTTCCGCTCATCGGCATAATATAATCAGACGGAGGCGAACCATGGAATGCCTGCCTGGTGTTGCGCAGGCCTTTTTCCATAATTAGCTCCCGTTAATAATCGATTAACATGCTGAGGATTATTCGATGAGTAATAATCCACTGGATAGCCGCGAATTCGACTATCCAGATCGTTCCCGCGAAAAGATTTTCTGTTGCCTCTGAACGCTCTGCCGCACCCCTTTTGCTTATCGCCTCCTCCTACTCCGTAGATATCGACATGATCGACTGACTCTGCGCCATTGGCTCTCCGCTGCAATCCCAGATCTGCCGCTCGGCCAGGGTGGCCCCATAGTCTGACACCGGCCGGGGTCGACGACGAATTCGGTCGGAACCTAATTAATGAATCGTGCCTAGCGCCTCAGGACTTGCATTCCTCTGGCGGTGGCATCCTCCACAGCCCTCCACCGGGTCCCTCGCTGAGTTAATTCCAGGCGAAACTTGCCCCTGGCGTCGGCACGGCAGTGTCGCCCGCCCGCCCCTGCAACTGTAGGTAGTAGAGGCACGTTGCTTGCTGCGACAGAACAGACGCAGGAAAGCCCGCTGCATGCGCACTGTCCTGCGCTTGTCCTCCCCGTGCGTCTGGCCGGCTGTGTCTTAGACCGCCAGCAGAGGCCAGTCGTCCCTCTGCTGGGCCGCAGCCGCAGCCGCAGCACTCTCCCACTCCGTCGACAGGGAGTCCAGACTTCGAACCGCACGTTGCCAGTTCATCTCATCTCCTCTGTCTCCTTTCCGACTCTCCCCACTGTCCTATCTCTCCGCCCACGCTGGGCGACGGCCGTCATCCGGACGCCTCTGTCTTTCTGCTGGCCTGGCCTCGACTGGTTTCAGCCTCTCCGCCGGCTGCTCTCGCTGTCAGCACCAGCCGCTGCGCTTCGGACGAGACGACTTATCTCCAAACACCCCGGTCAGCAAGCTGCTAGAGCTACGTGGTGCGTCCGCTTCGCTCGGCGGCTTCTTCATGTCCGGCTGAGGCTACCTCCTGAGTAAGTTCTGTCTAGCCATGCACTTGTGCAGTTCAGATCCACGGAACGTGTGCCAGTGATGCGTGGTTCTTGAACTGCCCTCCGCTCAAACAAGCTTTTCAGGTTGATGTGATGCGGAGTTCTGACTGTGATTCCTCCAGATTCACACTTCCTTCCTCCTCCTCACCACGGCGAGAAGCTCTGTGAATCTCCCTTCTTGACCCACACGACCTGCCCTCCGTTCACCTCCATGCGCTGTCTCCAACAGAGTCTGTCGGTTTTGGCACATCTTGATACGGAGCATCAGCAAGACACTGCTTTGGAACCACGTACCTGCATAGACTAGGCAACACTTGCATATTGCATCCGGCTTTTGTTTGGCCTCCTGTAGGAACACAGAGCCGCTTTTGGATGCTCAGCAGCTGCAACCCACGGCACTGTGACTTGGATTGGTCACGTCCACAGGGTGTGTTCTCGGCGATTGACTGGTGAAGTCACACACCCTGTTTGTCTGAACCTTCAGGCATACCTGGCACAGACACAACGGTTTCAAATCCAAAATGGAGTCTCCGGCAGCCTATCCTGAGTCGCCGATGGACCAGGATGACATTCCTTACCCCTGTAAAGGATGTGGAGAGGTAGGTGACGCGAAAAAATAACAAGATCACGGTCTGTTGGTGCCTTTGTGCTGACCGTGTCTGATGCCTGCAGATCCTCGAGGAGGGCAAAGCCTTCGAACTAGGTGAGTCCATTCCCTCCCAACATGTATTCGTACCTCGGCGGCGCCTAATTTTTGTTTTCAGCGGGAAATCGCTGGCATATCGATTGTTTCCGATGCAACACTTGTGGCACCCTCCTTGACTCCGATGCGCACCTCCTTCTCCTCGGCGACGGATCCTTAATTTGCAATAACTGCACGTACAGCTGCAGCTCCTGTGGAAACAAAATCGAAGATCTGGCCATCCTCACCGGTGACCAGGCCTTCTGCGCCAACTGCTTCAAATGTCGGAACTGCAAGAGGCGAATTGAGAACCTCCGCTATGCGAGGACGTCGCAGGGGATTTTCTGCATGGACTGCCACGAGTCACTCATGCAGCGGCGTCGCAAGAAAAAGACGGCCGCGAAGAAACCCAACATTCAGTTGGACAAATCTCTACCATCGCTCCCGCCGAACGCCGAAGCTGAGGACCATTTCGCGCGCGAGGCCGACAAACCGGCGCCGAAGCCCCATGCTGACGTCTCTCCCGATCCGTCGTCGCGTAATCGTTCAGCAGACCATCGAGCTCCGAGCAGAGGACGTGTTGAAGGTTCGCCCGTTCGGCAGCAGGATCCCCAAGGTAAGGAGTTCAATGGCCTGGTCCGGATCGCGTAACCGAGGGCTGACGCGATGCATCAGACAATCTCATTCTTCCCTCCAGCACCTATCGCAACAACCGTCACTCGATAATATCGACTAAATCCGATGCCGACGGAGGTGAAGAATTCTTGATCCCAGTCGCATTCGATCCGTCTGGGGAAGAACGTCCGTCTTCGCGGGGAGTGGCTCAGGACAGCGCTCCCCCGGTGCAACAACGGGACTTGCTCGATAGTACCAGGTCGGCCGCGTCGTCGCGTCAGGTGTCATCATCAGAGAGGCATGAGAGCCCGTCGCAGAATCCATCCCCCCACATTGCATACCAAGAAAAGGGCCGTCAGCCTGGGAATATCGACCCGACGCGCTGGCGACAGGACTCCAAAGGCTCTCAAGGCAAGGCGGAGAATAATGATGCCTTCAAGCTGCAGGATGCACCGAAGAGCAGGAAGGCGAGCGTTCAAGACAAGGAAGGCGCGTCTGCGTCGGCAACGAGCTCGCCTAAGGCGAATGATCCATCGAAGACGCCTCAAGCTTCCTCTCAGAAGTCTGCTGCCCCGGTTGCCGGTGCGACGCCGTCGCGACCATCCCATGAGCTTCAGAGGCTCCATGAGAATGGGTCGACCGACTCGGCGCGGTCCTTGTCGTCTGCTCCCACGATGCAGTTTCCTCCCAAGCGGGGAGACTCCCTTGAGCACTACAACCAGATCCAGCGGAAGGAGGTTGGGTCTGCCGCGAAGTCTTCGTCTGCGAGTCCCAGCGATGGCAGCAAGGACAAGTCTGCGGGCAAAGGCTCTGACTCCAAGGCCGCGGGTGACGCGACTTCCTCATCTGCGAGTCACGCGGATGCCGGCTCAGAGCAGCCCAAGGACGCCGTGCAAGACTCATCATCACGGCCTCGACCATCCACCGAACAGAGCGACCATACTCGCAATGGGTCCGTAAGCACTATGCAGTCCGAGTCCCAGCGACCGGCAGACCTGGGTTCATCTCCATCCTTGCTGCGGTTCAGCGGCGGCGGGGACTTCTCGATGGACGAGGATATGGCTCGAATCTGGGGAGAGCTCTCTTCGAACAACAAGGAGGGCAGCGAGTCGTTTTTGAAACGCGTGTCGAACTCGGTGCGCCATGGGCGGAGCTTCAGTGACAAAGGCACGCGTCTTTCCAAGGATTCCAAATGGCCGAAGTCTCCTGTCAACGATATCAGCAGCCCAAGCACGAGCTCGCCCGAACAGCACGAGGATATCAGCTGGCTCCGGAGCGAGCTGCGGAGGGAGCGGCAGCGAGTTATCGAGCGAGACCAGAAGATCGCGGAGCTGGAGGCGGCGCTCAATGCGACGGCGGCAGTGCAGCAGGCCAACAGCGAGCTGCGCGAGAAGCGGTCGACGATGGTCGTGCTGGACACGCGGAAGGAGATTGTGCTGCGCGAGTTGAGCGTGCTGACGGAGCATCTGGAGGCAGAGAAGCAGGGGGGCGAGCCGCTGGACCTGAACAAGCTGACCAGCAACGTGCTGCGCGAGTTTGCCCAGTCGCTGCAGAAGCTCAAAGACGAGTTCCAGCCCCAAATTGAGGAGCTTATGCAGAAACGGCATGAACTGGTCGAGGAGATCGCCAACCTGTCGCGCATGAAAGACAAGAGCTTCCAGGAGTTCGAGCAGCTGTCGTCCAAGAACGCGCAGCTGGCCGAGCTGAACAACCAGCTCGTCCACCAGATCCAGGAGCTCTACAAAGCAAACTCGGGCGCGCCAGAGGCTGCTCGAGCTGCGAACGGACTTGGCATCTTCCACAACAAAGAAAAGTCGGCCGGCTCGGTCGAAGCCATCAAAGCCTCAACCAACGACCTTGCCACTTCCATCTCAACCATGACCATCCAGCAGGACGAGGCAGAACCGGCCACGATCGTGCCCGGCCCCCAGGTCGTCAGCATCCGCAAGGGTCAGCCTCGCAAGTTCAACTGGAAGAAAGGCGGACAGAACGTGGCCAAGGGTGTCACCAAAGGCCTCAAGGGCGCTTTCTCAACCAGTGAATCCAAGGAATCCGTGCCCCATAGCTCGAGTGCCTCCCAGGACAACGGCTCCTCGATGCCACGATCTCAGACTCAGGACCCAAGCCGTCAAGGATTCGGGTTTTTCGGAAATCAGAAGAAACAGGCGGCCTGGAAAACGCAGCAGAATGGCAGCTCTCCTGCTCCGGCTGAGTCTGCGGCCCCAGCAGCTGCTGCAGCAGCTGCTGCTCCGGCTGCTGATGGTACGTTCTGACCCCGCAGCAGCTGCTGGTGATTTGACTAACTTTTGTGCCTTTGCAGGTCTCTTTGGCGTCGAGCTCGAACAACGTTTGGAACAGGAGAAATGCATCATTCCTGCCATCGTCACGCGTTGCATCCAGGAAGTTGAACTACGAGGTAAGCCGACTATGCGGGAATTAGCCGTCGCTTTTCCTCTAACATGCTGGTTTTCTCTTCAGGCATGGACGTGGAAGGTATCTACCGTAAGTCTGGTGCGAGCTCGGTCACCCAGGCGATTCGAGACGGGTTTGAACGTTCCTCTCATGACTTTGACATCTCCGACCCCGATCTCGATATTCATGCCGTGACATCGGCTCTGAAGCAGTATTTCCGCAAGTTGCCAACCCCGTTGATCACCTACGACGTCTATGAGAAACTTCTCGACACCATTGAAATAACCCCTCATTCTGCTCGCATCGAAGCCGTGCGTCGCAGTTTGGAGGGACTGCCGCGTGTGCATCGCGACGTGCTTGAATTCTTGGTGTTCCATCTCAAGCGTGTTGTTGAACACGAGAAGGAAAACCTCATGAGCAGCCAGAATATTGCAGTGGTCTTCGCGCCTACCATTATGAGACCTGAAAGCATCGCGCGTGAAATGACTGACGTCCAGAAGAAGAATGAAGCTTTGAAGTTCATCGTGGAGAACTGTCAGGAAGTTTTCATGTGAACTTCGTCATGGATTCCTATGAGCATCGTCGGGTTTTCATGTGAGCTTCATCGGGTTTTTCATATGAGCTTCACTTTAGGGAGGTCTCGTCGTTCAATCTCGGCTTGGTTTCTATTTATTACTCGACGAATCATCAGATTCAGACTTGGCTCGGCGTTTCGGATTATTCGATGACACCATTTCTTCGTTTCTTGAGCGGGTGTTTCCTTTTGAGTGTGTATGGGAATCGCTACGCGCAGTCTTGACCGAGCATGTCCTGAAGGCGATGTCAGCGTCTTTGATCTCATTCCTTTCCAGTTCAGCTATGCTCTGCTCTGACAGCAATTTGAGTCTTCCAGCACTTTGCTGGACAGTGGAGCCGCGGGTTTCAAGTTGATGACCTCACTCACTCTTCCTGAGCGTTTCTTCACGGTGTCCATCTCCTTTTCTCCAGTCCTAGGATTCCCTTCCGGTGTGTCACGATTATACCCCTTGCTCCTTTTTTTTTTCTCTCTCCTATGTTCGATGTTAATTGTTTTTTCGATTCCTTTGCGTTTTAATCAATTACTATGTACTGTAGTAATTGGCATGTTGTATGTTGAGTAAAGCGTGTATGTATGTACATATTTTTATCAGATGAACGTTCGCCACATTTCTTTTTTTTAAAAAAAAAAAGAACGGAAATCCCCCTCGTAAGATATTTAATAAGCCGTCAAGTGTCGACAGTTGAGCAATCCCTTCAAACTTCTTCGTCTTTTGCCAGTACACCAGCAAATAAAAAAAAAGTAAATAAAATAAATGCTCCCGTTTAAAGACTACCAGTAAGTAACAAACCAACCATTATGATGCTATCGATAGATAGGCTGGACCATTACATTAGCCAGCATTTTCGACTGGACAAGAGATGCTACAATAATAATAGAATACAGGTAGATAGATCGATCCATATATAGATAGACATTCTCCCCCCTCCCTTTTTCTTTCCTCTCTTTGTCCTTTGTCCTTAACGTTTAACATGGTTTCACGCAAAATTAGGTTAAAAAAGTATTTATAGAGCAAGACGGAGAAGGTAAGAGGAAGAGCAGGAAGAGAGAAGAAACAAAGAAAGGAGTAAGTCAGTCCTACGATAGGAACCTATGTAGGCGCTGTGGATATATATTTTTATTCTTTCTTTGGGTTGAAATTATTATGTAGGATAGAATGGATAGAGAATAATAGCTACTAGTTAGCTGGCCAAGTACTCCGGAGTAAGCTAAGATTGCTTTGCTTTCTTCAGAAGAAGCAGTAATTAGCTATTATTAGCTCTTCGGTTGGATATGTTGTGTTGGTATATACAGTACCTAGGGTAATCTATCTATCTCATCTTTCTCATCATGCCACTCTTGTCTTGCCTTGTGCTAGCGATAGATATAACTCTTGCAGAACTACAGAGTAACTCTGTCTGATGCGTTAAATATAGGGTTGATTTATTTACTGCTTGACCGTCAGGAAATTACAAGAAATAATTACAGGTCCATTCAAAAAGTTTCATCTGCCAAGTCCCTTGAGCGTTGGATAACGGTCGGGCTGTGTTCCTCCTCTTCTCGCTGACGTCCTTCTAAACCGTACCCGTACTCGTCCGTGAGGTCTGTGCCGCCGGCCGTAGCAAGGATATCCGACACGATGCGCTTGGATGCTTCCTTTGCTGGTATCACAAGTCGGGTTAGCTGGCCATGTCAATGTAAGTAACGAACGCTGTGGAACGAGGTAAAACTCACCTGGTGTTTTCATGAGCCGGCTGTGAGGGATATGGAATTGCATCGTCTTCGGAGGGCTGGTGCCGAAATCCTCATTGTCCAGGTCGTCCAAGTCGTCGTCGCTGTCCCAGGCACTGCCCTTTCGTGTCTTTGCTGGCGTGAGCACACTAATGCCAGGCTTCGGCGTGACGCGCGTCTTGCTGGGCCGGCGTTTTCGGCTCGTGCCCGGCGTCTGGCCCTTGAGCGGAGAGGAAAAGATCTCTTCGTGCAGCTTCGGAGCTTCCATTTCAGGACTGGAGATGGGCGAATCGTCGAATGCATACCGCGACGTAGGCTTGTCTTTTGGGGTCACCGTGAATTTCGTCCGGCCCGTTCCTTTGGTCAGCGGCGTCGCTTGGACGCGATAAGTCTTGTCGAGCACCCGATGAAGAACGGGATCTGTCGGTTTCTGGTTGTTATTGTTGTTCCTGCTCTTCCTGGCTGTTGATTCTGGAGGAATAAACGGAGATGACAGTGGCGTTTCGGACTGATCCTGCCGTTGCCTGCCAGCAGACCTTCCGGGGGTCACTGGTGTATCGCCCGGAAGAGCCGAAGTATCTTCGTTTCCGGTGCCTTCCTCACGGAGAGTCTCGTATGGCGAGGGGTATGGAATGGACAACGTGGTCGGTTCGTCTTGTCCACTCTGACGCACTGGGGGCCGCGGCGTACTGTGAGACGGGGAGATCGTGAGTGAGGAGAGATCCAGATCTTCACCGCGATGATCGATATCCAGGTGCTCTGATGACGGCGTCTCGTAAGACGCGGCGTCGTCGAGCGTGGTATGAGTGGTGTTGGTCGATTCCTCGGTTACCGTCTGGTCCTGGACGGTGTCTTCGTTCGGCTGCTCTTCATACCCCGAAAGAGAGACATTGGCGCTAGCCTCGAAAAATTGTTTCCAGAACTGTTGACCGGGATAATCATTAGCCTAATAATCCGCTACAATCGACTTGATAAATGTCGTGTCCCACCTTAGCCCCCTCCCAGACATTCTTCGAGTGCTCCGCGTATTGTTCGACAAGAGGCAGAATGCTGGTCGTGACGATCCGATGGGCCCGTGAGAAATTGCTGTCGATTTCTGCACCCATGATTTAGTATGGTGTCTTCTTGTTTATCCCAGGGCAAATGCAGGGACGAGTCATTGTTTACCTTGCAGTGTTAGGGTGATGGACTGCTCCAGCTTCTCCAACTCCTCCGTCAGAGTGAGATTTCGCTGTGCAGGAGGCGCCGGACGCGACATTGTGCATCAATGGAATCTCTTGCAGCCAAACAATTGAGCAGACGGGGATTGCGAGGTTATGGCTGTTGATGATGTTGTTGTCAGTTCATGACCGCGTCTTGGTGGAGAACGGAATTCCCAAAGGGGACACGTTCTAGGGCTGGCGGATAAGGGCTGCTGTCAATCACGTGGAGGGGCGGAGGGGCGGGGTTCGGGACTGCCGGCGATTATCTCATTGACTGCTGACTCGTGCCAATCCGCATCCGCCGTGGCGCAGGTCCGAGGCGAATCAAGGCTGCCTTGTTTCGTCCAAAGGAGTCTCTCTCTTGGTCTCTCTCCTCGTGCAGGCAGCTCTTTCACCTCTGCAGAGCTTCTCTGTTCAGCAGAGTCCAGCTTCAGATCGTCTGTCATCAGGAATAATGCCGGCTCCAATAGCAAAAGGTTAGTCAGACCCTCTTGAAGCTATCTCTGTTATCTATCTATCTATCTATCTAGGCGGTCGGGGCGATAACGAGACCGTTGGTATCCTGCTGGACCGCTGTCGTAGCTATCATAACCGTCGAGCACTGCTCTATGGCCAACCTTTTTTACCTTTCTTTCGACCCTCTCTTTTTAACATTAGTGTTTGTTTTACGATCCATTTGCTGATTACTCCAGGCATTATCATCACCGTCTCCGTTCTCGTTGCAGCCGGGATCGCCATCTACGAAAGCCCCCAGTTTCGAAGATGGGTGAACAACTCCCGCCGGAAGGTAGCATTTGCCCTCTACAACTTGGGAGATGAAATCCACCCCCGTGATGTCTCGCCCGAGGATATTTCCATGACAGAGGAGGTGGGCGAAGCAGCGGAGGAACGCAGGCGGAAAGCTCGTGAGGAGATCATGCAGCGGCGTGCACTGCTGGAGGCTCGTCGGAGGAGGCAGTCTTCCGGTGCAATGGTTAGCTTTGATTCTCTTGTGGATAAAGACGGCCGCTTGCGATCAGATCTCGGGGATCTCGAGCCAACCGCTCAATCTACAGCGTTGGACACGGGAGACTCCAAGGCAGTGTTGAGACACAGCGGGCAGCCAGGACCCAATGCCCTCACGGAAGGACGCCTGCAAGCACAGCGGGAACTCCTCGAGCCCACGGGCCGCGATCGGCTTCATCTCACACTGCCATCGGAGACATCATCCCATTATCCATCCGAGTCTTTGGTGGATTTGACTCCAACCTCCGAAGTTCCCGATGCGGACGCATTTGCCTCAGTCCACTCCGCTCGGTCGCCGCACGAGCCGCTTGCTCAATCAGAGTACTTTTCGACAGTTTCATCAAACCATTCTGAAGCGGACACCTTGGAATACTATTATGCCCATCCAAATCAGCCTGCCCAGGCTCCGTCGAATCCATTTGACCATCCTCAGGACCACGACATATCTACCGCATCATCCATGCCAGGAAGTCTCAGTCACATCGGCCGGGAGTTGACGGACGCTTCGTCCGATGGCACGTTGAGCGAATGGGGACATGCGACCGAAGGCATTGCTACTCCGGCCAGCTGGTCTGAAGTTGGCAGTGTAGTCAGCAGCGATGATGCTCACCATCACCAAGCATGAATCAGATACAATCTCGCATGTCGATGATGGGTGAAGGATATGTTCTGGATGACGTCAATTGAGCTCAGGAATGTGGAGTTCCGCCGGCTCGTGCGGCAGCCGTCTGGAATGTTGGAGGTCCATCATGATTTCAACAGGAGCGCTGCAAGCTCATTAACTCGCGAAGTCGCTAAAGGAAAGCTTATTTGGTATCAGGTCAGGGTAAGAATTGAGGGAACACAGGGACGGCGTAATTGGGTCTATGATTTATGGTCGTGATATTTTTTTTTTCTTGCTTCTTTTCATTTCAAGAATGGCGCATAGACATCGGATAGTGTTATATTTGCTGTAGCTGCTCGATCGATCGATCAATAATACATGGATTCACTGGCATCTTTTCGATTTCAGAATCAACTACGTCATCAGATCAGACCAGTCGTCGGTACGATTATTTACGTAAATTGAATCTCGATGCAGAGGGAAGGGAAGAAAATCCCTGCAGGTCTTCTCCGTGCAGTTGATCGATCGATCGATCGATCGAAAATAGATCCTAGAGTACAGAGCGCATATACTTATCTGCACTGATTGACTCTGCATGTGCACGAGCTTAATGTCACTGGTGGACCTTTGGAGCTGGGAATCCTCCACTCAGAGAGGCTTTCCTACGTGGCCATCTGCATCAGCGGCAGCTTACCGCGCATGGGCCCAGTTGTACTGGAGCAGTGGGTAGTGTACATACATATGATATCAGTACAGTACCTAAGGTACAGATTACCTAGCATCTACATTATGTATGCACAAGAGGCATTGCAACTTCAGAGGAGCCAACCAGCTGATTGACCTGAACATCAACATTGCACTACCATGGCTGGTACGTGCAGAGATGTGACGATCTCTGTGCGGGGAAGTCACGCGACCGCAACATCGCCGAAAGAGAGGGGATCCCTGGCAGATTACGTACGCACCGTCCAGACAGAATCATTATCAATCAGACTACCAATCGATCAGTTCAGCCGATAATATAATATCATGCCATCGTGGTCGTACAGTATTGTACGAAGATACATGGGTTTCGTTGAGATGGTCTTTTGCAGCATCTTACACCTCTAATTCATTCAACGACCTTACGCATAATGTAACTTCGGCAGAATTGCGGGGGAGCATCTGCTGGGTCGTCCTCGTGTACATTACTCCGTACGTGAACGGAGACTCCGTGCAATTAGTTAACTAATCATACTTTGGCTTACGTATACGCTTCCAGAACTCGGCACTGCATCGCAGCATTGTCTCTCTCCGGCTAGTCTGTGGGGTGACTGGGGTGGTTATTGAAATCTCTGCCGGAACTATCGGATATCTCTACCAGCCCGCCAAGCCGCCAACGAGTGCAGCGTCTCGGATCTCGGGAGGCCGTCGCCCGTATGCCAGCACTATGCATGTACTCCGTATGTGCAGTCGTCATCGGGCGGCAGCTAGCGATCTCTGGCGCGCAAGCGAGGCGCTGGGCGGGCACAGCTGACGCCACCGCAGTTGTCAAGATTCCAGTCACGATCCGCCATGCCGCTTAGGGAAGGCGCGCACGCGTCCTGGCTGCCCGCCGGACCCATCATCGCCAGCACTCTCCAGCAAAGAGCCCACTCGGCACGTTGGGAGACTGGATCGGATAGACCGAAAGACCGGCTTGCGTGCCTGATGCCGGCTCCTTCTTATCTTCTTCTCTCCGGCTCCTGGGCCGGGACCCGGGATAAAGATGCCTATCCCGCCGCCATCCAGCATCAGGCACTGCACGACTTGCTGGGACGGTGGCTGGTGCGTTAACACGTCAAGCCAGACTGCTGCTAGAGGGCTTCTGGGGCACGTTCATCAGCATCAAGTCGATAGAAGCGAGATACTCGATTGGCTGCGCGCTCTGCCTATCCAATTCCGGCCTAATCCCTTCCACCCTGGTGTATCTTGGCACATCTTGGCTCAGTGGACATTAGCATCTATCCTGCTGGGCTGGCGGTGTGTCGGCCCATAGGCGACTGGGCAGTGACTAGTTTCGATTTCGAATCTAGCCGTCTTTCCGATGGAGACGAGGGGGGATTAATATCGAGAGTCGATCAATCCCCACGCACGTCGTACTGTATAATATAGCGAGCGAGAGGTAAGGTTGGCGAGAATGCGATCAACCCGGTGACACACGTCGAAGCTCTGAGATGATCCTCCTGGGCCTATTGGCAGTTCTGGCCATTGTTTCAACGCTGGTCTCCACTGCCGCCGTGCCGGCTCCGACTCTCAAACCGCCAGTCGTCCTTCCTGGTGTCGAGCACATCACTCTGAACCGGTCCCAGGAGGCCAAATATTTTCACGAACCGGGTGGCGATGATATCCTGGGCCATTACGACACGCGATTCTACCATGGTGTCGTGTCGGACGCAGAACGGGTCGACACACTTCGGCACATGATCCGAGCCTATCTCAATTTCTTTCGGGAAAATGATCTGGAGACCTGGATCGCGCATGGCTCATTGTTGGGCTGGTGGTGGAACGGCAAGGTAGGACAACCACAATATATCTCAGGATATTTTTGTGGTACATGAACTGACTTGTCTCGGATCTTCAGATGCTTCCATGGGACTGGGATCTCGATACACAAGTGCTCGACACCACCCTGGCTCGCATGGCCGTCCATTTCAACCATACGATCGTGACGTACGTCTCCGACGATGACAAGGTCAACCGCAAATACCTCCTGGACGTCAATCCGTGGGCCTATTGGCGAGATCAAGGGCCGGGGCATAACATCATTGACGCGCGGTGGATCGACCTTCAGAATGGGCTGTACATCGACATCACGGGGTTGAGCCAGCTCGACCGGGAAGAGGAGCCCGGGATCTGGCAGTCCAAGAACTTCCACCGCTACCGCACCCAGGATCTGTATCCGCTGCGGGAGAGTGTCTATGAAGGCGTTCCGGTGAAGATCCCGTACAAGTATCAGAAGATCCTGGTTGAGGAATATTCCGCAAGAGCGTTGACAAGAACCAGATTCCAGAAGTAAGGATGCCTATGAAACCCCGACAATGGACATCAGCTGATTTGTATTCTCTTCAGTCACACCTGGTTTCCAGAGCTAGAAGAGTGGGTTCCAGACGATGTTGAGCTCCCGTTCGCGTAAAGCACGGGAGACGGGTCATTTCAACATACGCTCGACATCGCCTGCCTCAGTCTCCTGCCCTCTCATCCGTCATTTATTTCACTCATTCCATATCTGTGTCTGGTTCGACACTTCTATGCATCGTCGGCGCCATTCCATAAATTTTCAGTGACATTTTTTGCTGCGGTGGGTCTTGAATTTTGTTAGCGATGAAACATATGACTGGCTATATTACTGTGGTCATATGTGTGCACGATATGTTTGGTTTATTGATACCCTGTTGATTGATTTAATTTCTAATATCGCCTGATGATGATTTATTGGCGATGAGCATATACTCTGTAGTGAGTATATATACTCATGAGACGTATATCACGTATATACAAGCGTCGTGTATATATGATATTAATACATTTATATATTTATTTTCTCTCATTATGCTTTCCTATGCAGTATTTATCCCAGAATGAATGCCAAATTCTCGAAAATGACAATGTATTGGCAAACTGAGATACAAATCAGGCAAGATGTCTAAGGGTTTAATCAGTCACGTGCATGCTGACAAATCACATGCCAGCAGCTTCTAGAAGGGCGGTGGTTGATTACGTGATCGCATTCCTGATTAGATAGACAAACCAGGCAAACTGGTCCAATGCTCTGTACGACAACCATCCTCACCTCCTTATAATTCCAGCCTACAGGGAGAGTATTGATCTTCTTTTCGGGGCCATAATTATTTTCTGCTGGTTTCTCTTCTTTCTAGTTGCCTGAACTGCCCCGATTTCGTTTCTGTCATGTCCGATAACAGCTCCGCCGGCGCAGCTGCCGCTGCGGAGAACGACAACGGCAGCAGCATCACCCTCACCGTCCACCACCACGGCTCTCCCCACTCCTTTACGCTCCCCGCAAATGCCACCCTCCAGGACCTCTCCTCTGCCATCGCGTCGACCCTGCAAGTCCCGCCGGAGAATCAAAAGTTGCTCATCGTGCCCAAGCCAGGACTCCAGAAACCTCCGTTCGCCGCCACGCCCCCGCTCTCCGAGCTGCTGCCCCTGTCGTCGCCCAAGTTCAAAATCACCCTACTAGGGAGCAAAACGCAGGAGATTGACAGCCTCAATGACAGCATTTCCAGCAACCGGCAGCGACTCGAGGCGCGTGCCCGAGCACGTGCGACACAGCCGGCCATCACCCGTCGTCCGCCGCAAGGCATCCACACGTTGTCGTCGCCCTCGTCCTCCACATACACTTTCCACCGTCTCGTCCCGCTGCCCTACCTGCCCAACCCAGAACGCAGCCTGAAATTCCTGGAGCGGCTGCGCGACGACCCGGGGATCCGGTTCGCGATGGCGAAGCACCGGTTCTCAGTGCCCGTGCTGACGGAGATGAACCCGGTAGAGCACACGACCCACGAGTCGCGCACGCTGGGGCTGAACCGCAACAAGGGCGAGGTGATCGAGCTGCGGCTGCGGACGGACGCGTACGACGGGTACCGCGACTACCGCACGATCCGCAAGACGCTGTGCCACGAGCTGGCGCACTGCGTGCACAGCGAGCACGACCGCGCCTTCTGGGAGCTGACCAAGCAGATCGAGACCGAGGTCGAGCGCGCCGACTGGACGCGCGGCGGCCACCGGCTGTCCGACGAGGACTTCTACAACCCGGCCGAGTGGGAGCAGGAGGGGCGGCGACAGGACGAGTTTGTCGACCATGGCGGGTGGACCGGTGGTGAGTTTGTCTTGGGCTCGTCGTCATCAGCTACCACCGGTAATAGTGCCGCTGCTGGTGCAGAGGCCAGCGGTCTGAGTCGGAGAGAGCTCCTGGCGCGAGCAGCGGAGGAGAGGATCAAAAGGGAGCAGCAAAGAGGGAGAGGTTCTAGTTCAGAGAAATCGTGACGTTTGCAACGGATACAGATATAATGTACAAACACATATACATATCTGATATGGTATGATATATGTATATATTTATATGTATTTCATGGATGATAATGTGCGTATAGCTTAGCGTTATGTATATAGCTGAGACGCTACTAATGATTGACGACTGACTGATGGACTTTTTGCTTATATGGAGATACTTATGTATGTAGTATGTATGTGTGTACAGCATGCAGCATGAAATGACAGTATAGTAGCTGAATGAATGAATGAGACCACTCTCTTCTCGACTCATCAATCATCATTCGAAATAATCAACAAGATACAGAGACAAAAAATGAACATTGACATACCCTCACCAATTGTTGGTTATTTATTTAAAGCTGCTCATTGACAAACAACCCCGCCATCCCCTGCCCCGTACCAATACACATGCTCGTAACGAGAATCTTCTTCTTCGTGCGCCGCGCCTCGCTGAGGATGGTGCAGATCTGGCGCGCGCCCGTCGCTCCCAGCGGATGGCCCAGGGCGATCGCGCCGCCGCGCGGGTTGACCTTCTCGTGGTCCAGGCCCAGCGTGTTGAGGCAGTACACGGCCATGGAGGCGAACGCCTCGTTGATCTCGTAGATGTCGACGTCTTCCTTGCTGAGGTTGAACTGCTGCAGCAGTTTCGGGATCGCGGCCGTCGGGCCGATGCCCATGATCCGTGGTGGCACGCCAGCGACGGTCGCGCCGCAGAATTTGGCCAGGATGGGCTGGTTCAGCTCGATGGCTTTGGAGCGGCGCATGAGGAGGATTGCGGCGGCTGCATTTGTATGTATTCGTCAGTATTCAGCCACGGTTTGGACCTGTTGATAGTTTATGTGTATACGCACCTCCGTCAGTCACCTGGCTGGCATTTCCACCCGTCGTCTTGGTCCCGAATTGCGGAAAGGCCGGGCGGATCTTGCTCAGCGCCTCGAACGTCGTTCCGTACCGCGGCCCCTCGTCGCGGGTGAGGGTGACGGTCTTCTCCTCGCCCGTCTTGGGATCCTTGACCTTGGTCGTGATGGGGACGATCTCGTCGTCGAACCAGCCGGCCTTCTGGGCTACCTCTGCGCGGCGGAAGGACTCGACCGCGTATCTGTCCTGCATCTCGCGGGTGATGTTGAAGTCGTCGCCGACGTTCTCCGACGTCTGGCCCATCGGCTGCATACAGTCGGCGGCTTCTTGGTTCTTCATGATCTCTTCGTGGAACGGGTTGGGGCCGCGGTTTCCGCTCGTCATCGATTCAGCACCCACGGCAATACCGATGTCGATCGCCCCCAGGCGGATCTGGTTGGCGATGTCCTGGACCGCTTTCAGACCGGATGAGCAGAACCGATTCACCGAGTTGGCGCCCGCCGTGTGAGGGATTCCAGCCGCGAGGGCTGCAGCGCGGACAATGTAGGCAGCCTTGCCGTCGCCGACCTGAGCGCTATTTAGCAGCAATCCAATGCAGGAAGCACTTAAGGCAGTCCAACATTCCCAAGACAGACGTCCTCGATGAGGGCAGGATCCAGCTTGGAGCGCGCAACGACCTCCTTCAGCAGCGCATAGACCATGTAGTCGAGACTGGTGTCTTTGAATCCGCCCTTGTTCGCCTTGGCCATGGGAGTCCGTATCGCCAGCGTGATGACCACATCGTCGGGGTTTTTCTGGGTGCTGGAACAGACGGCTAATGTCAGCAACTACTCCGTTGACAACAATTCATCTCCATTGAATAGAGAGACCATGGGCCCCTTACATAGCGGACACCCCCGAGCTACCTACGGGCTTCAGCTGGTTGAAGATGGAGGACAACCGTTCGACGGCCATGATGTGGAGTCCCGAATAAGGCAATCGAGACGATAATTCTCGATATATGAATTTAAGGCGCTGTTCTCAGAAGCGGCTTGTCAGAAGGGTATGTAAGGAGTCGGGAATAGAAGGTTGATGAACATGCGGGGAAGAAGAAATCGGCAGACTTTCCAAAGAAGCACTCACCTAGGGAGAACACGGGAAATAAAAAGAAAACTTTCAAGAGAAGAAAAAGCTCACTAGAAATATACAAGAGCCTCCAATTGAAAGGAAAAATAAGAAGAAGAGGAAGCGCAAGGCGAATTGGTTACAGTCCTGGTCCGCGACCCAGCCGACAGAGATGATGCCGAGGTAAGTTCCCAACGGCGGGAAGACCGATCTAGCCGATCGATCGTCGACGACATCTATAACCTAGGCATAGCATCTACATGTACGGAATATGGACATCTATAACTCACTCGAAGGGAGTCCGCTGTCTCATTATAATAAGATTTCTCATTTGTATTCTAAGGAAAGAAGTCTACCCTGCTAATTAGGCAAATTAACCCATGGCTATACCATCTATCGCCATTCCAATCACCATCACCGTCACCTCCTCTCCTGGTCTCGCATTGGACTCGTCCTGGACAGCAACGATTAGATGAACAAATTAAAGGAAAGACGGAGGAACTTCTAATGAATCACATGAAATAAAAGGCACTCTACATCATGATCTGTCATGACAGGGAAGGAAACATCTAGCGCCACCCGCCCGGACCAACGTCGTAAGAAGCACACACGCACCTCGAGCAAACGTCGAGCATGCGAAACACTTTTAGCATCGCGTCATGTCTAATCCGTTCACTCCTTCTGCTGCTCAGCCTCTCCGTTCTCGTTCTTCGCCTCGTCTTCCTCGGTCGCCGGTGGCGCATCCTTCATCTCCGTGTCACCACCTTCTTCAGCCTTCTTCTGCTCCTCCTCGGCCTTCTTGGCTTCTTCCTCAGCCTTCCGCTTGGCCTCTTCTTCCGCCCGCTTTCTGGCCTCCTCCTCTTCCTTGGCCTTCAGGGCGGCCTGGCGTTCCTCCTCGAGCTTGTCCAGGTAGCGTTGGATGATCGGTCCGGCGATGGAACGGATCTCTTCCAACTTGGCCATGTAGACCGCCTTGGTGGTGTCTTCACCCTCCTCGTAGAGCCAGTCCTACGGTCGCTGTTAGCAACACATCCAAGCCAAATGGCTGGAATGCAAATTACTCACCTCGGTCTCGGTAAGCTTCGCGCGCAGCTTCTCCTTCTCCTCCTCACTGGCAAACTCGGCGTAGGTGGTGTCGATCTTGTCACGCAGCTCGTAGATGTGAGACTCAAGTTCGTTCTTCTTCTCGTCCGTCTCCGCCACCAGTCTGTCTTCAAAAGCCATGGCGTTTTCTCTCTCGGTCCAGGCTTGCTTGGTCGCCGGGTCGAGAGAAGTCGTGCCCGTAGAGATAGGCAGTTCACCTTTGCGGACCTGTTTCTTGACCTTGCGGGTCTTCTTTGGCTGCTCCACGGTGCCGTTGGGAGCATCGGTATCCATGGGCTGGTAGAGCTGTCAGCAATGCTTCACTAGCAGTCATCTGTGGGGGAATACATACATCACCATCCTTCTTCTCACCCTCTTGCTGCTGTTGCTGCTGGTCTTGCTGCTGCTGCTGCTGTTGCTGGTCTTGCTGCTGCTGCTGTTGCTGGTCTTGCTGCTGTTGCTGTTGCTGGTCTTGCTGCTGCTGCTGCTGCTGCTGCTGCTGCTGCTGCTGTTGCTGTTGCTGCTGTTGCTGCTGTTGCTGCTGCTGCTGCGGTTCTTCCGGAACCGGCTCTTCCACCTCCACGTCCTCAACGTAGTATCCGGATTCCACATTGAGGATGCCGTGCAGGTTGAGTCGGGCCTTGAGCTTGCAGATCATAAAGTCGTTGTTCGCATCGGCCTTGACACCCTTGATCGAGAAGCGTCCGATCCAGGGGTTCACCTTGCCGGGCAGCATCTCGGGCTTGGCGTAGCGAGCCTCCAAGTCAAACGGCTGCTTGCGATAGAAGGTCAGGATCTTGGTCGAGGGCAGAACATTGCCCTTGTTGAACACGGTCAGGCTGGTGTCTTCGTCCGGGATGTCCGGCGACTGTTCCCAGGTAAATTCAATCGGGTAGTTGACGATGTCGTGGACCGAGAAGTCGCGCACGCGGAAGACCGGGGACAGGATAGCACAGCTGAAGGTGCAACCACGGGCCACAGCCTCATCCTGGTTCAGAGTGAAGGAGAGCGGCTTTCCGAAGAACTTGCTGATGGTCTCCTTGATGATGGGCACACGCGTGCAGCCACCCACCATTTCAATGCTGTCGATATCCTCGGGCTTGAGCTTCGCTTCGGCGAGGGCCTGCTCGAGGGGCACGGTCAGGCGGTTCAGAAGAGGCCGGACCATCTCTTCCAACTCCTCCCGCTTCACAAAGGCGTGCACGTCCGTGTCCTCCATGAGCGACTCAATGTTCATGGGAGCGGCCGGGTTCGCCGAGAGAACCTTCTTCAACCGTTCCGCCGCGGCGAGCGTACGCGCCCAGGCCTTGGGGCTGGTACGGATGTCGATCTTGAATTTCTCCTTGAACTCATCGGCGAGATGGTCGACGAGCGCCTTGTCGAAGTTACGGCCACCGAAATGGCGGTCATAGGTCGTCGCCTTGACGTTGAGTTCCCCTTTGCGGAATTCCACCACGGAGGCCGTGTAGTTGCTGTGTCCAATGTCCACAAACACCACTCTCCGGGGCTTCTCCTCGGCGCTGGGGAGATCCAGCTTGGTGATACCGTAGCCGAGGGCAATGGCAGTGGTATCATTGATCAGACGGAGGGTCTTCAGACCGGCAATGTCGGAGGCATCCAGGAGGGCTCTCCGCTGGACGTCGGTGAACCAGGCAGGAACGCTGATGACGACGTCGGAGGTGGGCAGCTTCGTTTCCCGCTCGGCGATCTGCTTGATCTTGTTCAAGTACATGGCGACCAGCTGGGTCGCCGAGAATTGCTCCCTTTTGCCCAGGTAGGACACATCGACACCGACCTGGCCGTTCACATCACAGAACGTGGCGGTGTTGAATTCCTTCTCGATCTGCACATCGGGGTCTGAAAGAGTACGGCCAATGAGGCGCTTGAGGCCACTGACGGTGTTTTTGAGGTTGGAGATCTCTTGCGTCTTGGCGGCCTCGCCGAGGTATCTGTTCTTGGGACCGAATCCAACGAGGGTTCTGTTGTGTAAGAGCGATCCATGTCAGCAACCAGCCTTCGCCGAATCACCTCCGGAAACCAAAGGAAAGACTTACGGAGTAGATCGGTTGGAGACCTCGTTTGTAATCTGTAGGATACGAAATTCATGTCAGTCACATCCACGCCCTGTTCAAGTGTAGTCTGGAGAGGATTCCAAGTTTGCAAGCCTCAGGCGGAGGAAGGAGGGGCGGGGAGGGGCAAGATACGTACGATATCGATACCCTTATTCCGGGCTACACCGATTTTGGTGCTCTGAGCACCCAGGTCGATACCGATAACGCTCATCGTGCCAAGGGGATCTGTGCGATTAACGGTGATCCGGGACGGTCTGCGATGAGAGGAAGAGAAAAGATCTGGCGTGGGAGGGAGAAAGAGGGGAGGAAGGCCTGGTGGAGGGGAGGAATTTGCACAGCGCGGCCCAGGCTGGTGGAGTTAGTGAGGTCGGTCGAGGGTCTGGCGTGGATGGCTCCCGTTCGTCGAGCGGACACCCTTGGATCCGGGCACTAGCTGGTGGGCAGAATTGGGCAAAAAAAAAGTTACAGCACGACGCTGAGAGTGTTGCACAGAGGCAATGACGGCGAGAGGGCTGCGAGGAAACGGAGCGATGATATTTCAACGGCTCAACAAGGCACTTGGTGAATGACGGCCGGGGACCTGGTGCACCTCAGCCAAGCTCCCTGCAGCCTCTCTTCTTCTGGCGATCGAACCTTCTGGCTCCTCCTGGATCTTTCCCTCGCGCCCGCTGCTCACCGCCCGTTGCGTTGCGGCGGCAGAATGCACGTGCCGCCCTCACCGCTCTCCGGGCCTGGCCAATGCCACGCAGGACGGATTGGGAATTGGGCACACACCGCGAATGCCCTGGGTTGCCAACGAAGGAACGAGTCAGTCGAAGGAGAGCAGAGAATGCATTGCCTCCTTTGCCCAACGCCCAGGATACACAGTGGGAGGCCATGGTGGAAAGCATGCCCTCACCGCAACGATTCGCCAGGATCTGCCCGGAGCGGGCCCCGCTGACGCCAAGCTCAGGTTCTAATTATGCTCCCCTCGACGGCATGACGTTGCACGGCTGGCAGCCTTCTCTACATGTGCTTCTTGAGGTATACTCTTCTTCGCCATTGCATTTACACAATTCAGTCAAGTCAGGTCCTATGCTTCAAATATTTCCACTGGACGCTTCTAATTGCGTTCGTTGTAGAGAAAAGGATGAAGGCATAACGCTGGTGCGGTACATGCGGATAAAAATGAACCAAATGCACCACAAAGAGAGTATGCTTTAAAGGGGGGCTAGGTGGTCAAGAAGGATAAACAAGAACATTGTCAGCGACCAAGCAAACAAGAAAGAAAACGGAATAACAGATCCTACCGCCCGTCATAACCATTAGCCAACTAGACATGAATGATTTCTGCCTCCCTTCTCAGCAACTATCCTCCTCCATCGACTGACGTAGCCAATTATCGACTAGTATGGTCTCCTTCCTGCTATATCCCTCCCGGCTTCATGATTGGTGGCCTAGACCTGATCTTCTGGCCGCCTGCTTCTCTTCATCAACCGCCGACGCTTTTTCTCGGGTTTATTGGGCGGGCTGCTTGGACCTTCAGAACCCGTGGCCCCAGTCAGAGGCATTCTAGGGTTGACCTCCTCTTCTTCATCCTCCCAGTATGCATGTTGAGGGATGCTTCTTCCGAGCGGGCTCCGCGTGGGTTGCAATGGCTGTAGCTGTTTCAACGGATCCAAGAAGACATCCGAGATTCGAGAAGGGGCCGCCATCACTTCAGCCGGTCGAATCGCAGCCAACGTTGGCGATATCTGCGGGCTCGAGCTCAGCCTCTCCGTCGAGCTGAGGCTGCTTTTCCGCGATGATGCGATCCACGGCATGCTCTTAGCACTGTCTGCCTCACCGGACTCGTTGAAGACACTGGATGACCGTTGTGCCTGACGGGCGAAGAATAGTTTTCGCTGTTCTTCCTCGCTCATGAGGCTCTCCACGCGGCGTGGCATGCTGATCGAGTGGGCGCCGGACCCGGCCGTGACGACAGAGTCAAATGAGGCTCGAGGATGGAGCGGAAGCCGGGGCACTTGAAGTCCTGGCGGGATGAGGGGGACCAAGGTGATGCCTGACTCATTTGGTCCCATGTAGTAGCCCTCTGACGAGTGTCCCATCCGAGCGAAACGACCTTCGATGCTTTCAGCGGGGTGGATGGGCACTGGCGCCGCCGTATCATACTCGGCTCTGAATGTCTCAACGTCTACGTTTAGCTCGTCTCCTTGAGCCTCAGCTTGCTCCACGGCTTCTCGAGGCGTGGTATGCTCATCAGCCTTCGCGGCGTCCGCCCTGGGTCCGCCCCAGGTACGCTGTCCTGCGGTAAAGATGCCATAAACCATGTACACCCAATTGAAGAAAGGGTTGAGCAGAAACATCATCGGGTAAAGCCATGCCTTGAACCTCCTCAATACCAGGCCAAAGTAGAGCATCAGCAGGTAATTCAGTCCCAGCGAGACCGCAATGAAGCCGACAGGCAGGTTCTGGATCCTGTTGGAGGTCGTGAGGACTGAAATGACCATGATAAAAAAGAGGAGAGCCGTCGTTCGAATGGTGTTCTGCATGAAACGAATCATGCACAGGATAGGGTAGCGCCTCCAAAGTCGGATATCGGTCAGCATGCATACTTCGTTGGTGATGAAGCCGAGAAACCACCGACGGCGTTGCTTCAGCAGGCTTCGGAACGTCTGGACAGCTTCCGTTTTGCAGAAGGCGCTTGTGCACATCTGGATCTGGTATCTCTTTGGGGCGCCAATCATGAAGAGGTGCGTGAGCCAACGATCTTCGCCCAGATGACACTTGCCGTAGTCGAAAAGGTCTTCGCACTGCTCTGCCTTGTCTGCAAAGTAATATTTGGCCATCTTGCGAAACGCTGAGAACCGCAGGATCGTCAAGGCTCCAGGAAGACAGGTGACTGCGCCACAACCGGACTCCACGGAGCGCTCGAACAGCTGTCCATGAATATACTCCATGTCTTGCAGGATTGTTATCAGGGAATTCTTCTCGGTCGTGGACGTGATGACCCCCGTCATCGCAAGCATATCGTGCTTGCTCCCCGGTTTCAGCTCCATATCGTACATGAAATTCTGGAGGCATACTCTGTCCAGAATGCAGTCCGAATCGATGAAGAGAACGAAGAGGTTGTCATGCCGCCTGAGGTACTCAGCATAGATCTTGTCAATTAGCTTGAAGGTCTGCTTCTGACAGTGTCGCTTTCCTCCGTGTTTGAAACGACTGACCGTGATTCGGGCTGATTTGTAGACGACGTCGATACTCTGAGGATATTGGCGTTCTTCCAAGTCATCTGGAATCCCAAGGTGCCTAGCGACCTTGAGAAACAACTCGTCAACTTGCTTTCCGTCAAAGGACAGGAAGACATGGATGCAAGATGGAGGATAATCACAGTCGACAACTGAATTGATCGCCTTGATCAAAACAGCTGGTTCTTCCTTGTAAACAGGCATGACAATGACCGTCTTTGGAGCCTTTCTATCGTCGAGAACTTCTTTAATTCGTTTTGTCCGCCCCATGGTCGTAGTGACCACTCTGAACACGCAAAAGAGCCATGGCACAACCAGGAGGATGGCGAAGGTATAGAAGGCAAACCACTGCAGAAACCAAACCATCCGATCCGGAAAATACTGTGTGATTCTTGCAGGCAAGGGAAGCGTGACGACCATAACTGGCAGAAAGATTCCTCTGGATGGCCTATCAGCATTTGTAGCACAGATGATCTTCTCAATCTTACCGGAGAGCTGTGAAGAGGACCATCATCACAACTGAGAGGACTCGGATGCTCCAGTGTTCAGCTTTTTGGAAAACTTTGACAAGACAGTAGAGGAATGCAGCAAGCCAGAGGAACCACTCGAGGAAGGCAGCCAGCATGACTGGAGCGATGACGGCAACGTAGATAATCTGGAGGAGCTGTTAGAGAGAAGTTGCCCACACTGCCATGTCGACTCACATCTGCTGCAGGCCATGGTGCTGTGATCGGCGGCACCCCGTTGTCATACTCTCCCATGATGGTTATAAATTCCAGTCTCTAATCTCCTTAAAGAGGCTCGAGAGACATGTCACTTAAAGCGTTATAAAGCTTAAATGACCCTCGATGATTTTTTTTCACTATCCCACCTTCAAAAGCCCTTGGTATCAGTAAGGAAGTTCACATAAGAAGATGATCCAGTGATTACAATCAAACTGACTTGGAAATCCAACAACGCGAGGGTTATGGATTGCAAGCAGAGGGAGACACTGAGACGAAAATGAAGACAGCGAGCTTGTGGAGCAGAATGATGAAGATGCTAAGGGATCAAGATAATTAATTAGCTTATAAATCTGACGCGGATGAGGTTGTTGTGCGTATCGAAGGAGTTAAGGAGGCCTCGGCAGGCGACAACGCGCCTGAGACAGAGAATGGAAGCAACGAATGTCTGCAGTCTGTGAGCATTTTGGCAAGTGTTCACGGGTTCCTGGAACAGAAGTGGCTGGCCTAACGAGTGAGATGGCCTGAGGAGATACTGCCTTCTATACGCTTTCTTCTCTTTGTTCAGCTTCCAAAATGGAAAGCAGCACGGAGGTCCCATGGAAGACATCATGTTTGGACTCTAGGACCATCGTGCAAATGCCTCCACTATACTGTGACCTTTGTGAGAGAAGGGCACAGTATCAGACTATACAATTATGCTAGTAAAATATTATCAAGTCACATTTTCCACGTCTAAAATATACAAAAAATTCCGGAATTGGTCGATGTTGTCACCAAATCAGAGACATCGCAAGGGAGAAACAACTACAATATGGCTTGAAAACAACTCCATTTAATCGTCCCAAAAGAAAATATAAGTGAATAATATAAATGAATATGATTTTGTTAGCATCAGATCTTGTTGTTCTCAGTTCGAAGCATACGTCAGATGTAGATGTAGAAATCTTGTTAGAACAACTCGTTTGTGCAATTAACACTACAATGTGTCACCCACAAATTTGCCAGTGAGTCAAACATTGGTTAAATTCCACGAAATTTATTGATCTTTATTTTAGACAATGTCATCCTCTCTTCAGTCCATGGATTTCCTCGACATTCAGGCGCTATCAACACTATCAGACGTAGGGTCAGACCCTAATCAGCAGCGGACTAGCTCTTTTTAGGCAGGTCCGATAAGGGTCCACTCCACCCACGGGGGCAAGGAATACGAGGATGCATCCTCCAAAAGATTGGGGGCAAACTTGGTATAGAAAGCCCGCTGTCCATTTCGCGATCAGCTGAAAGAAATCTTCTTTACGTCCGAGTCAACATGGCATATTCGTCCGCATAGCCTTGTTCGGTCTATTGTCGTGCCGCCTGGCAGCGGGAGCTTGGTTGGAGCTAGTCTGGTCGGGCGAACGTGATTGGCAGCTGAGGAGTTCCGCCTTCTTTGAAAATTTCCCCCGCCACGCCGTGATTGTCCTGTCTTCCTCCGACCGAGCAACAAAATTTCCCCTCCCACGATCCTCGCGTCGTGAGCAAGCCTCACTGCTTCTAGATTCGAGGGAATCTTCTCGAGACCAAGATACCCCGTCTTGTTGAATTTTCCCATTGAAGGCCGATCTGACTAGAGCTCAATCCCTTGTCAAGTCGACTTTGCCTCCCTCCTTTCTCATCTCCGCCAACGCCGCATTCGACTTCACGTCGCAACCACCCTTCAGCTTTCTAGTCACGCGACTCGCATGACTATACTCCTAATCTCTTGATATTAATTCCCACGAGTTTCTCTCTTACGGTCTCAGTCGAAACTCACGTGCCATTTCGGCTTGCGGCGATTTGGTGGGGCTTGCGCAAAACGCGTATTTTCACCGTCCGATTCAGTCTGATTTTCTTCCTGCATAACTCAACGCGTTAATCAGCCATGTCTGAAGAAGTGAAAACGGCCAGCGCAGGTGCTGGTCCTAACGCAGAGGCGGAAAAGGACGTGCAGAACGTCCTGGCCGAATTGAAGGCGGAGGAGCAGAAAGCGGGTGAGTCCGCCAACGGCGCTTCTGCAGATGAGGCTGCAGAGGAAGCAAGAATCGTTGCGGAAGCCGCCAAACTGGGGAAAGAATCGGAGAAGAAGGACGAGTCGAAGACCGATTCGAAGAGCCAGAAAGAGTCCCGTCCCAAGGGCCGCCCCGATTATCGCAAAAACATCAAATCCGACTTGACTTCTCAACAGGAATCCAGTGACCCCGTTGCCATCAGAAAGCAGGTGAGTTTGACTGCAACGGAAGCCGGCGAGGCCAGACTAACAGACCGTTTCCCAGGTGGAATTCTACTTCTCGGATTCCAACCTTCCTATGGACAGGTTTCTGCTCTCTAAAGTTGGAGGCAGCAAAAACCGCCCGGTCGATCTCACTCTTATTCACTCTTTCAAACGCATGCGCCACTTCCAGCCGTTCAGTGCCATCGTCGAGGCTCTGAAATCCTCCGAGACCCTTGAACTTACCGACAACGACACCAAAGTGCGCCGCAAGGTTCCCCTGCCGGAATCCGTCGACGAAAATCTCGATCCCAATGTTATCAAGGTTTTCGAGGACAAGGCAATGAGCAGGAGCATTTATGCCAAAGGTTTTGGTCCTGAAGAACCCAGCACCCAGTTCGACATCGAGGCTTTCTTTGCTGCCTACGGCCCGACCAATGCCGTCCGCCTGCGCCGTACGCCCGATAAGATCTTCAAGGGCAGCGTTTTCGTGGAGTTTGACTCGGAAGAGACGCAGAAGAAATTCCTTGCCCTGGACCCCAAACCCAAGTGGAAGGGACAGGAGTTGATCATCAAGAGCAAGAAGGAATACTGTGACGAAAAGGTCAAGGAGATCGAGGCGGGTAAGATTAAGCCGTCCAAGTCTTACCGAGGTCGAGGTCGTGGTGGCCGCCAGAACGACGACCGCGACTGGAGAGAGCGACGGGCAGAGGATCAGAAGAAAGGATTCCAGAATGGAGGCCGAGACAGTCAGGGTAACAACAAGGAGCGCAAGGAGATTCAGAAGGATGCTCGGTATGTCTTCCAGTGTGGCTTCTGCAATTACGCTTATCGGTTATCTGTTATGCATACTAACCTGCTTGTAGGGGCGTTCCGGTTGTTCAGAGCACTGCCAATGATGATAGCACAGCTTCCGCGGGACAGAAGCGAGCTCGTGAAGAGGACGGCGAGCAGACGACCACCAATGGTGCTACGAACGAACCTCCGGCCAAGAAGGTGGATGTGAAGGAGGGATAGACTTCATAAGAAAAGTTTTGACATTTGAGAACTCGACCTTTTTTTCTTTTGCATCTCTCAGGGCTACATACATCTCACGGCGTTACGTTTTGCTGGTTGATTTGTCGTGTTTTTTCTGCTGGTACTACGTGTTGGTGATTGGTCCGTCACAGCTGTACGGTCTTGAAGGACTTATCTCCCGCTTGGCCAGTCGGCATCTGTCCGTGTACAACTGCATAGGATGGAAATCGGGCGACCGATAGTTGTTGCCAGCGATTGTTTTCTGACGTCGGAAACCATGTCGATACTCCTTTTGGGCGGTTTCCCCTGTGGTTCTGCTTTGCTTGACTGTGATATCAGAACTGGTAATTTCGACACCGTGTGAAATTTCGCAGTCGCGTACTAAACTACCCCAGGATCTTACTTGTTTATTTCTTGTCATTTGAGTTTGGGTTGAATGGGGTCACTGTACTTTTACCTCCAAGCCCTCAGATAGTGTTAGTTTAGTGTGGTCGAAATAGTCAAATCGACCTCGATCTTGAGTGCAGAGGTTGATTGATCTAATTCAATGGAATTAGGGTCTCTAGACAGATTCCGATATCCCAGTCCCTCTGTCCATAACTGTAACTATAACACTGTATCCACTCCATCCTTATTACTAGAGACAAACCTCCTTCCCTTTCCTCCCTGAGATCCTCTCCTCAAAACTCCAAATCATAAGCCAGGGTATCTTCACACAGCTCTTCGCGAATTTTATGGACCCTACCAACACAAACAAATAATCAGCCTATCATCTCGGAGAAACATGACATAAAAAAACAATACAGCAACAAACTTAAAAAAAAAATGAAATACGGTGGTAATGTGATGATGATAGACATACTCCAAATGCGCCGGATGCGTCGCATAGCCAGCCAAATGCTCCGGAGACTCCAGCACAGCGACAAGGCCCATATCGAAGCCTTTTGCTCTCGGCACGGAGATGGGTAGTGGGGGGTTTGTATGGAGGGAGGTCAGGCCTGTAGGGCATGGACATTAGCCAATTTGCAGAAAGCCAGCAAGCATATCGTATATCTATCTTGTGATATATATGTGTATGTGGGAGACATACCAGGGATCTTCCCAACCATGGCCTTGCTCATCTGTGACCAGTGCGCCAGTTGCGCTTGAGTCACGCCTGGTTTGAGGCGGAAGAGGACTGGGAGAGAGAAATCGAATATCAGCAAGCTATATATATAGGGATAGGGATATTTCATCGGATTATGCGTGCTTGCTTACCAATGTGATAGACGGGCATTTCTTGCCGTAAGTAAGTAAGATGGATATACAGTAGTAGTATGCAGGAGGTAGTACTTTAACTTCGACGAATGCTCAGAGCAAGCAAGCAAGCAACAGACAAAGGACAGTAACAGAAACTAAAATATACGACAGACAAAGAATAAAATTGATAGATTTGGATGAATACTTACTGATATTTATTTATTTATTCGAGGGGACTAATAATCTCATGCGGGGCGCCCCATAACATCCATCCATACTACATCCAGACGGAGAACGCGGAGATACCCCGCTGTGGGTTCGGAGGGTTTGCCGATATAATTAATGTCAATCTGGACAGAGTATGTATGCATATTGGATATGTATGTACATTACATAAATAGGTAATGTACTCTGTGCTCTGTACAGGGTACAAGGTAGTGTCTGCACTCTGTGACACGGACAGTCTTCGATGTTACAGATTAATGCTGCTGCATCGTGTAGGATAGATGGTTAGGTGCTGCTGTCGATATGCAGGAATTTTTAGGGTTAGGATGGATTCTTCTCGTCTTGTCTTGTCTTGTCCTGACTAGTCTCCAGCAAGGTTATATTGTATTAGGTAGAGAAACTTGCTTCATTTAGCCTATCTGGCTGTATAAATATGACGCCAACGTACTGTACCTATAAAGTCGGAGAAACTTGACGCCGTGCAATAAGCCAAATAATAAAGCCTAAACTGTAGCTGAAGATCTTAAGCCGGAAATAAATCTAGTCTAGTTGCCAATTTTGGGATATAGACAATGCACTTAAGTATATACATACATCTAATCTACCAAATCTGGTCGAAGATGACCTCTTTACTCCTACTCCCACAGATTATGTACTTGGTTTGGACTTGCAATGTCACAGCTTCGACTTAGAACTGGCTTTGTTATATACAGATATGCACAGGACAGTGTAGACATCCCTGAGTATGGCAGGTGATTGCATTAAAAGTTACTGATATTTGAAGCTTTCATCAATACATAACAGTATTGATCTTCCTCAGAAATCATGGTTATAATCATCCTTGTGACATTCAATACCATAGGCAGTCATCTGCTGTCCAACTCGGCCAAGAATAAGAGTAATTACCACACAATAGAGGCAAGTCAAGGTATATACATGTACATCTCAATGACCGCTGGCTCACTTTTTCTTCTTCGCCTTATCCACAACATCGATCCATTGCGGTCGCACTCCTCGTCTTCCCAGGGCCGTCTCCACCGCGCTTCGCTGATCTCCCTGGACGAGGATCTCCATCACACCCTTGGCCGCTCCAACGGCCTGCGCCACACTCGTGCTCGACGCGCATTTCTTTTGCAGCTCGTCGGCCAGAAAGGTGGGAATTATCCCGAAAACCTCCACTCCAGTAACTTTGGTCACTGTCTTGTTGGATGCGCGCCGCTCGATGGTCACCGTAACTTTGGGAGCAGCCCCTGCTTTGGGTTTGACGTCCGCCAGAGTCTGATTGGGTTTCAGGATGACATGGAATGGTGCGCACAGTGACGGATCCGAGATGATGCGTTTGAGAAGGCCATCGCGGGTCACCTCGCCTCGGGCTAGAGTGGCTGTATCTTCTGGAGAAGAAGACGTAAAAATCGTATTGGCGAGAAAAGGATTGAGTTTGATGATACGACGGTTCTCTTCAGACACGATTGGAGGGTCCTGAGATTCGAGATAGATGTCCAATTGACTCGATACCTCCGAATACTTGTAATAATTCTTCGGGTCCGAGTGCGAGAGTGCCGGGAACAGGGTTGGTGTCAGTTTCCCCGTCGGCCGGTAGAGGACTTGGACCGTGAGTGTCTGGCCAACGGACGGGTCAACTCCATCCTCTGCCGGTTTCTGTTTGCCAGAGGCAGGTTTTCCAGCATTTTCAACGGCGTTCTTCGATGGAAGCTTGTATGGGACGAACTGCTCGACCATTGGGTGCTTAAAATCGACGTCCACTATGACAGTTTCCTGTCCACTGCGATCTTTCGACTTGACTAGCCGTTCTTTATCCAGATGCTTGATAAATTTCTTCACGTTTTTCCAACCCGTCTTCTTGATCTGGTAGTATTGAGCTTGTTGCGGTGAGTAGATTGGAAGATATGGCGTGATGAGGTTAGAAATTAAGGCAGATGGCTGGACGGGAAGGGACAAGCCGTGGTTCGGTGAGGATGGATTCTCCTTTTTGTGTTGGTACAGGGAATACAAAAAGGCTTTCACAAATGCCTCTTCAATCTCTAAAAAGGTGTGAGCCTGAGTATTAACTCTGAACCAGGGATATGATCATACCTTTCGTTGTAGGCTCTTTCTCCGGCTCAATAGGCACGCTTTCTTCCTGTTTTTCAGTACTCTCACTCAGAGATACTCCTCCTTCCTCCTCGATCTCCCCATTCTGCTTCTCTTCCAATGTCAGCTCCTCGACACCCTCTTCGATGTCGTTAACCTCCGCATCCCATCCCTCCAGGAACTCCGGGGACGGCTGTCCAGGCCTTGATGACGAGCTCCAAGCCCAAAGTTCATCTCCTTCCCAGTGCACGCCTCGCACCGCATGGCCCTTCGCTCCCTGGACCTCACCTAGCCCAGCCACGTCGATCTCGCAGACCCCAACAAACACCGGTACTGTCGGTTTTTCCAAGCTGGCCACGGCCACAGTAGATCCCTTGACAGCTCCAGCAGGAAATGGCGGTCCGTTCGCAAGGCCTGGCGTCATCAAATCTGCGCCGCTGAAGAGCTTCCGCATGACCAGCCCCGGTGTGTGCAAAAGAGGCACAAGACGCGGGTTATGCCATAGAGAATAGACTGTTGGATAAATCCTCCCATCTGCTCCAGGACCATGCTCTAATTTGAACCACAAAATGCGTTCTTCCCCGCCGGTTTCAGGATGCGCTCCGACATAGACCGTGCCCTGGACTTCACGGAGTTCTGGACCGACTGTCGTCGTAAACCGCGCGGACAATGAGTTTTCAGGGAGGAGCGAGTTGCGAATCGCGGTCAGATTCCCAGATGTTGAGCTCTGTGCTGTGTTGTCGTCTGTCGGTGGCGCTGTAGCTACATTGATCTTGTAATCTTGGATGATCTGATCGGCAATTTTACGACGGTCGGACGATCGGAGAGGCGAGAGAGTTTTGATCTGGCCAGATGATAGTTAGAAACTGCCTGCTTATCTGCATCGCCAGAAAATAAGGACTTCTTCGTAGGTGAGGGGCAGTGCGGGGCACAAGTCGTACGTACAGTCGGTTTCTTCTTGAACATGCTTGGAGATGTTCACAAAAAAGACGGATAGATACTGGAGATGAGAGCACTGGAAAGATTCAACACTGGATAAGTCAGCAGTGTTGAGTCTGTCATTCGACATGCAGAGATGAGGCACGATCCTGGCGGCTGTTCTGCGCTGAGATATTCTGCCAAGGCGGTGAAGACAGGCATGATGTTAATGCCGCCTCAAGGGCCAATCATTGGCAAAGTCCCTTGTTATCAGATCATCCTTCTTCTACGTACTCCAGCGTAGACTAATATCTGCGTTACTGCTGACCTAAGGTAACTTGGTGTGTACAGTACATTGGTTATGGAAGGAGCAAAGGAGTCTCCAATTATGAGGAACCTCCGGGTTCCTTCCTTAAAGGTGGGAATACAAACACAACTAGCAAACAATGCTTGTACTTCAAGAAGGAACGAGGGCCAGGCAGGAAGCTTTCGGACTGCTAATTCTCTGTCTTCGTCCTTTCTCCTAATAACCGCCTGAATAATGCTCCCTCTATTCATAATTGCCTTGCTAGCTCTCGTCAATGTCTGGTAGGGACCGTCCTTCGTGTTCGCCCATGTCTATCGGAGTATTTTATGTGAGTCTTTACGATGGACCTGCTATTCCTAGTGTTTCTGCTTTCTCTTTCGTTCCATTATGTTTCAAGTGCTCCGTCATATTACTCGAATTTCAGCAAAAGCTCTTGCCGTGGACAGCCAGTTTTAGAATCGGAGATGCTCGATCCGATAAGCCTGAAAAGACTCAAAGCACCGTTTTGGAACTTGGCATGGACAGAGAACACTGAGGGAAACTCAGGGGGCACATTCGGTTACGTTCCAGAACATATCCCATTTAGCAGGGACGGCCGCCTCAAACCGTGGTCGGCAATTGGAGCAAAGAACCTATCTTTGGCCAATCCAAACCGTACCGGATTATACTTTCGCGACGAGATCCTGAACACCAATGCCTACCCCTGGAGCACCATTGGCCGTGTCGATTTTAAAAGATTTCAAGGCGATAATGGCGGGTGGTGCACTGCTTCCTTAGTTGGGAGCAACCTCATCCTCACAGCGAGCCACTGCTTTCCCTGGGGATTCAACCGGACCCGATGGATGCGATTCGTACCGGGGTACAGATTCGGCAACGAGCCTTATGGCGGATCATTTGTTTCCCGATGCCGAGGGGTTAAGAACACGTCGAATGTCACAGGGATCGACTACATCGTTTGCCGTCTCTGCGAGCCTTTGGGGAAGATCGCCGGCTGGATGGGTACATCGTGGTGGGAAGAGCCTGGGCAGTACATGGTACGGACATGGCGAAGTTCGGGTTACCCAGCCGACTCCCTAGGTGGCCTTACACAAATGCTTCGCTCAGATATCCATCTCAATAACGTTGACTTGCACTTCGACAAGGGGAATGAGCTGGAGTCCGATATCTATGCATCTGCAGGTTGGTCTGGTGGTCCAATGTGGGGATATATCGCGGGAGCCCCAAAGATCGTGGGCGTCTGCAGTGGCAGCGAGAAGGACTGCAGCGAAAGGGTGGAAGGATGTAATAGAATCGAGGACTTCGACGACGATAACGGACACGATGTCTCTGCAGGTGGTAGATTGATGAGTGACCTGATTGCCTATGCCATGGCCCACTGGGCAGATAAATAACCGTATTTCTTCGAGGTTCCTATCAATTAGCACCTAATGACTTCAATGGCCCCTTAAGCCTCCAAGTAACTGCCAAGCTCAACGGGAGCTTCTCTGCAGAAAATTCTTAGCCTGAGTCTTGGTGATTTCCTGCAGAAGAAAACCCTGTTAGACATCCTCTCGCCACCACAAAAGGCAGCTTTTCGCGGGTCCTGCATTATCTAGCCAGCGGCAGTATCCACAAGCTTCTCGACGCTGACAGCGGCTGCGAGCACGGCAGTTCCGGTGCCAGCGTCGTTCAGTGCCATTGCACAGCAGTCGAACGTCCGTATTTCGACGGCTCGATTACCGCTACTTGTGGGCCTCAGAAAGCTGTTCCTCGCTTCATGCCCTGCACGGAGTAAACATTAAGCAATCACGACGTTCTCATAGGTAGTTAGCAGCAGAGAGGATCCCGCTTCGGCCCGATCACTAATCATGGCGGTGACAGTTGGTAGGCCGACTGTGCATGTATGCAGCAAGTCAGCTGAGGGATGACGGAGCACTGGATGGTGATCGTTGCCCAGCGGACCGCGGGCTTTGCTTTTTGTGTTCTTGTCGTTTCTTCTTCTGTGCGGTGTCCTGCGATTTGTGTTCTCGTCGTCGCGACCCCGGAGTTCACCGCTACCGCGTCGGGGAAGCCACCTCCACTACCCGTGCTTGCCCAGTCGGGTTTAGCGGCCCACGAGATCAGGCCGCAGCCCGCAAAAGCGTTCAAACCGCCTGGAATTGGCCGACCGACCCGACGACGGCTGGCGGCGCGCGAAGCCTGTCTTCCTGCCTCAACCACGTCTCTGACACCTCAGTCCCAGGGACTGCCCACCTCCCAGCAGCCACACGAGCAACACCACGACACTTCTGACCCGCGAGCTTTGCTGCCCCGGGAGGAGTGGTGTGTGCACTCGCGTTCTGTGAGCCCTTCTGACCGCCGGACGGCCCTTCTCCTGTTGCACTCGCACGTCCGACATCCGTCACTCCCAACGCCCTTTTGCATCGTCAGTCCTCAGGACTACGTCTCCGCAGCTCTTCGGGGGCGATTCGACTTTGGAGGGACATGGTCGAGGAGACTGACTGCCACAGATCGCTCTCCTCTTGATGCCTCCTACTTTGCGTCCGTTCCGCGCTCCCTACCCATAACACGCCTCCCTCCCGAATCGAGTGACCAGACCAAATTATCCTCCTTGACCCGAGAAGGGAAGTTTAGTCGGTTAGGTAGCGAGTTATCGCAGCATCGCTTTGCTGAGCTCCCTACCTCGCCAGGATGAGACCGCCTGAAGCACCGTCGTCACCGGTCTTTCCCTCTCTAGACCCAATCATTTTAGATGGCGACATGGACAAGCTCTATCAGGACAGTGATATGGATTTCTGGAACAATCATGACCTCCAGACTTCGAATACCAATGCCGGCCGAGAATTCGATGATCTGCTCTCCCGATCCTCCGTGTCCCGAGATGTCTCGGACAACGAGCCCTGCGCATCCCCGTCCGAGCTCTCCATCAAGAGACATTTGCAAGGTCCAGATACCCTGAAGCAGCATCATGTCCTCTCTGTCGAGTCCCCGTCTGATTCGCCGGAGGAGAACTCGAGTCCCAGTTCCTCGTCGGAGTCGCTGAGAGACCATGGGCGCAACTCGTCGGTCGCTTCGATGGGCTCGGCAGCCCACAGTGAGAGCGCGACGAAGTACCAGTCTGATGGTTGGCTGGGTTCGGAGATGCTATCTGGGAAGGAAGACTCCTTTTTTGACATGCATGCCCTCGATCATGGATTCTCGATGGATACAGATATCGAGTCGAGTAACCGAGTCATGGACTCGGCTTTCGACTTTGATAGTGCGGCCAGCAGCCCCAGTCCTTTGAAGACTGAAGCCTCTTCGGCCCCAAAACCGCAGAAGGCTTTCAAGACACAAATCCGAAGTCCGTCAAGCTCCGCAAGCCATTTCACACGGCCCAAAGCGGCAGGCCCTGTAAGTTCGATATCCTTTGTTAAAATTCTCATAAAACCTAATAATCTATTCACAGATTCCACCTACAGGCTCCCCATTCCACTCAAATAGTTCCAGGGAAGCCTCTCCAATGGCCTCGATGCTGCCTCCACGATCCGCCTCTGCTCAGTGGGGCGGGCGCTCGCCCTCGTCGGCTCTGGAAGAGACATTTGGAGGAATCACAATGAATGGTACATCTCCGCTGAAGGCGAGTCTGTCTCCAAGTATGAGTTTTGGTCATGACGGGATGGGCATGGGGACCCCGGAGTGGCAGACCGAACAGGTTGCAAGCTCTCGAAGCCATTCTCGTCCCATCTTAACAGTCCACCCTACGTCTCTGAAGTCCCGAGTTGAGACCCAGATCCCTATCCGATTAACTCTATTTCCTCTGCCCGCTGGCGTGAAAAAGCTACGCCTTCCCAGTCACACCATTTCGAAACCTAAATTCCTTGCGAAGCCCGATACGGAGCGTTCACCGGACACCCTCGAGTTACATACGAGTCTTGTCTGCACCAGCGCCATGCAAGACCAGGCAAAACTCAAGAAGGCATTTGCCAGAGCCCGTGGTGAGATCACTCGACGCCGTCCCAGTGCGGAACCCGGCGCCGAGGAAGGATCTCAGGACGAGGAAGAAAAGCCTTTGGATGGAGGCGAGGTGAAAATTTGCAGCGGGTGTATCCAGCGTGAGCGAAAGCGTGCGTCAAGAAAGAAGCAAAGGAAGCCAGACGAGGACGAACTCTTCCAGAAAGACGAAGAGAAACGAGTTATCGTCTTTAATACCAACCAGATCAAGGAATGGGTGGAACCATCGAAGAATTCCCCGCCCGGATTTTCAGAGTCTGCGGCGTCGTTCGTCCCGCGGGGGGCTATGCAGGTCGAGCTGCCGATGCGGATAGCATGCTATTGCAGGCATCAGAATGAAAAGCTTGGTTTCCAGTACGTATATCGAGCTCTTGTTGGCTACTGATCATACAGCTGACGCCGTTTTAGGGTCATATTCACGATCAAGGACCATTTGGACAATGTTGTCGCTCAAGCAATCACCAATTCCATCATGATCACAGATGACCACAAAACACATGCGGCACCTCCCCCTGCACCTCCCCCTCCGAGTTCTGCTCTGCCTGATGGGACTCAACTTCCTGGCGCTGGTGTGTTTGTTTCCGGACCGAGTCATGATGTGTCCAATACCTCCACCATTGGGCCGCAAGACTTCCGAATGTCTCATTCCTCTTCAGACCTCCAAGCCTTCCAACAACAGTTCAATTCTCAGTATCCAGTAACTTCTGCGCCCTTTGGAGTCCCTCAAGGTTCCACCACTTCGACATCTTCGTCCCTCACGCCGCGCAACCTTTCAAGGCAGGCGTCGCCTTCTGATCTTCCAGGACCTTCGAGCAAACGCCGGAAGCACAGCAACTCCGGAAAGCTGCCTCCGGGACTGACTATGACAAAACTGGACGGTCCTCAGTCTGCTTCCGGACATGCAGGGGCATCATCGTCCAGCAATGGGCCGCAATTCAGTTCCGGTTCGCGTACCTTCTTGTCGCCGGCTGAGAGACCGTTTGTCACCCCAATGTCCATGTCTGGTCAGTTCGGCAACGGCCCGCCCACCCCCAACAGCAACGACAACAACCCTTATTTCAATTCTGTGCCGCCGCCTCAGAGCCTAGACAACCTGACACAACAGTCACTTATGTCTGCGCCCGGCTCAGCGCATCCAAGCCGTCCAGGAACCCCGCCAGGACCCTCTCGCAACAACTTCCCAGACCCGAGTCAGGCACTGAACCTCGGTCCCAATCCAGTCAATCAATTATGGCCTCCGTTGAACAATACCGGTAACCGCCTACCGGCGGTCATACATAAACTTGTCCCTGCCGAAGGCTCCACCACCGGAGGCACGGAGGTGACACTATTAGGTAGTGGCTTCTATCCGGGCATGGAGGTCGTCTTTGGCGACACCCTGGCGACCACCACTACTTTCTGGGGCGATAAGTGCTTGAACTGCCTCACTCCCCCGGCTCTCCAGCCTGGCCTCGTTCCGGTCGTTTTCAAGCATGAGCATCCAACTTTTGGTCAGATGCAACAATCCCAACCAATCATACCAAAACAGCAACACTATTTCCGCTATGTGGATGATCGGGAACTTCAGATGTATCGACTGGCTCTGGGAATTCTTGGACAGAAGCTGCGAAATCCCACGGACGCCTTCCAAACGGCCCAGCGCATCATGGGCGGTGACCCAAGTACCCTCTGGAGCATCCAGAATGACCTGCAAGGCGGAAATGGTGGCCAGAGGCAAGTGCCTGGTCTCAACTCCCAGGGACAGACCAGTGACTTGGATTCGAAGATGCTCACTTACCTTGAGTTCATCGACCTTGACGACAGTCCACGGGCGCCCAAGTATAACACACGTTCCACGACGGGACAGACGCTTCTGCACTTTGCTTCCTCCTTGGGGTTGACGCGATTTGTGGCTGGACTGCTTGCTAGAGGCGCGAATCCCGATGTCCAAGACAACAACGGACACACGCCTATGCATTTGGCCGCGTTAAGTGGGCATGCTCACATTGTCCACCGTCTGCGATTAGCTGGTGCCAATGCCTCGGCTAGAAGTATCCGGGGTTTCACGCCTGCAGACCTCGCAACCTCCCTCCAAGCCCACCAAGCAGCCCTGATCCCTGCTCATCATTATCGCTCTCGTAGTGCTGGTTCTTCATCCTCGCTACGTCGCCGTCCTAGCAGTTCTGCTTCTCTGAGCTCATTCTGGGAAACTTCATCGGCATCTGGTTCTCTGAACCATGCTGTTGATGATTCAGATGACTCCGAGCAGTCTGACTCCGAGGCTAACTACTCGGCCTCACGGCGGTCGAGCATCCATCAGGACACATCACCCTTATACTACACTCAGTCCAGAGAAGGTAGTGTCCAAATGGAGGGGGTGCATACACCGGCAGAAGCCAACACGGAGGAAGATACCTCCAGCTTCTCTCCTCCCGCAGCTCTGGTTGCCTGGCGCAATCAGCTGGCTGCTCAAATTCATCAATTCCAGCAAAGTGTTGGGAAAGCATTCCCCAATCTTCCAGCTCTCCCGCCGATGCCAGCTTTGCCTGACTATCAGGCATATCCAATGATGCGACGGATCAGCAACCTCGTTCCTCACAGGCCCGGCTCCTCTTGGTCATCTAAGGAGGGTTGGTGGGATCTCCTAACAGGCAATTCCGCGCCTGCGAACTCCGAGCCGCCTGCGTATGAGGAGCTTTACCCGCACAAGGAGACGGACGAAGACCATGAGATCAAGAAAGCATCATTGGTCACGGCTGCTGCAGACGCGGCGCTTGATGAGCACTTTGAGGCGAAGGAAAGCTCATCTAAGCAGACCCCGGCCCAGGAAGAGATCAAGGATATCAGGATTGGCCGCAAGTCCATCTCGCGTGAGCAGCAAGAACAGCTGAGACAGCAGCAGGCGCGAAAGATGAAAGGGCTTGGAAGTGATCGCAATCTCTATTTCTTCTGGGTAGGTAGCCTCGTTCTCTGCTGGCTTGTTTGAGCTTGCTAACGTTCTTTTCTACAGATTCCGGTCTTGCTTCTGGTCCTTTGTGCATGGCTTAAAAACTTGGTCCCTGGTCTGTGGCAAGGGGTTTCACAGGGTTATGAGTTTATGAAGGCTCGTTACACGAATCGAGCTCTTGAAGTTGGAACGTGATGGGCTTCACTATTCTGTTTTCCTAGTTGGGGCAGGTTTTTCCCCCATGGGTGTCTCCATAGATGTCTTGTTCCATTTGTGTTTATTTTTCCACTTTCCCCTCTGTCTGTCTTTTGTTTTCCTTTGTTTCTTTTACTCACCATTTAATGACGGGACACAATTGTCTGCGAGGACATTTCTCACTTTCTAGGGTATTCTTGTTGACGGGTTTCTGGTTGAGAACTGCTGCTGTCAGACGCGATCCTGGGTATATTCAATGTTCGAAGTTCTGTAAATAGGGAACTAGTAATCAACCATTATTTGACCGCACATGTCTCTTCTCTAATTTAATAAAACTGCTGAGATGATAGAAATTGAATTTGCGGGCAGCGGAGAATGAGCTCCCACGGTGCCAAGATATGGTCCGTGCGTGACATCCAGAAACGCGGGCACCAGGGACAGGCAGTTCAGGGAAACACACGGCCACAGACAACTGCTCCGGCTCCTGTTGATGCTCCTGCGCCATATCACAGGAGCGGGATGGTGGCTGAAAATATAATTGCCATGCCCGATTAGTTGTTCGGGAAATATGGATGCGTCAACTGAGGCTGGCCTGAACAAGGTAACTGGTATGCGAACGTTGTCCAGCACTGTCGGTGGATGCGCAGCTCACCCAAACCCCAGTCGAGTGTACAGATCCGTCCGGTCTACTTCCCGACGTTCAAGCCATCCTCTCGAGGAGGCTTCCCCTGAAGAATCTCCACTGGAAATCACCGAGTCGGCCAGTCCGTTCAATCGAGTCACTCCACATCGACCTTATCCCCGCCAAACATGCTCCTGACGAGCAGGCGACACCCGGCGATGCCGCCCCAAACACAGTGCCGCACCGACGACACCAAATTCCGGGTCTGCGCCAAACTCCCTATTTGAAAATCTACCTTCTCCGCTGCGACGATAATGAAACCTACAAGGCATCGTCCAGAAAGTTGCTGCGGGAATGGATCAAGACACACGCAGCCACGCAGCAAGCGAGCGGTGGCCCTGGCACTCAGGATAACCACGATGCGTTCGAATGGCTCATTCTGCACGTTCTGAAAGATGGCGATCCTCCGGAGAAGACGGCAAGCATTTCAAAATGGCCTGGCCGTGGCTCTACTTCCGTCCTCGAGAAAATCAAAGCGGACTTCAATGGGTCCTCCAAGCCAGCTGTTGACCGGGTAGCTCAACTCCGGCTCCCCAAGCCCGGAAGTAAGCAGGAACCTCCCGAATTGATCGATCAGTTGAACGACCTGGTTGAGAAGATGAAGAACGCGATCCTTGCTTCCTTTGATCTGCGGGTGGGGCAATACGAGGAAGACATTCGAGAGAAAGATTCCCAGCGCAGCTTGCCTGGATGGAACTTCTGCACTTTCTTTATCCTCAAAGAGGGTCTGGCAAGAGGTTTCGAGAACATGGGGCTCTTGGAGGACGCTCTGGTAGGATATGATGAGCTTGCAGCAGGTTTGGAAACTGCTATTGCTGAATATCTATCCGGTACGAGCGACCAGCATGGAGGTGTTTTCTTGCCCTACAGCAAGGACAGGAAAGAAAAAGCAGAAGCAGCACTGCAAGCCATTGAAAAACGGTCGTCTAAAGGAGACGGCGACAAAAATGACAGTGATGGCTCTGATAATGACGACGGAAACGACATCACGCTGGGCCTTGATGAAGAACATTTCCCTCTTGATTCCTCAAAGAAGCCGTATAGAGAGATGATTTTGGCGAACAATATCTCGATATTCGACTTTCGCACGTACGTCTTTTCTCGACAATTGACCTTACTTCTCAGAGCGGCCGGGGCGCCATACTTGCGAGACAAGGAGAACACAGCAGACCAAAAGTCAGGGCAAAAGGTCAAAGAGGAAAACCTCAGTCTTCTCGCCGAAGTGTGCGAGCGAGCAACTGAGTTCATCGGCGTTGCTGCCCGCACCCTTAGATATGATCTGGAGTGTGGCCTGGCAGATACTCAAGCCGATGACGCCACCAAAACAAGTGTGATAAATAATATCGTCTCCTCTTGGACATACGCTGCCTCCTGTCAGATCTTATCTCAGACTGCCACTCCGGCCCTAATACTGCCTGAGTCGTCTTTGCGAAAAGCAAGAAACTCAACCGACGCATCTGCCGCGGCCGCAGAAACCAGACCCAACATCCCAAGACGATCGAGCTCTTTACTCCCACCTACTGCTGCTTCAGGACAGTCAATGAAGCATGCCACTTCCGATCACCAAACCACCAGCAACCAGGCAGCCCCAAAGACAGGCAGTGAGGATCTTGCATCTGGCAGAGGCGAACTATGTCAGTTGGCCCGGGGGACTCTGGAAGAGATTGGTAGACGAAGTGGATGGGTCGAGAAATGGAAAAATCTCAATCTGCTCTTCGATGATAGCACTGCCGCGTCGGATGAGTTGGAAGAAGTGACATTAGATAATGACGACACTCAGACAACGAAGCAATCCGCTTCGAATCACGGCCATGCTTGTCGACTGGACGGTATTGAATTGCCGGTGTTGAGACGTGCCCTTTCGTCGAAAGAGAAGTTTAATCTTCTATATGAAGAACTGGCTGACCAGATGTGTCGCCACTATATTGCTGCAAGCCGGACGAGATCTGCGCAGGCCGCAATGACAGAGATCGCCTTGATGAGATTTCGCCAGGAAGATTACAAGACCGCTGCAGCCTACTTTCATCAGATAGCCCCATTTTACGCTAACAGCCACTGGGTGGTGCTGGAGGGTACCATTCTGGAGCTGTATGCTCGATGTTTGAAAGAGTTAAAACAGAATGAGGAATACGTCCGCACTCTACTGAAACTCCTTTCTCGATATGCGTGGTACATTCAGTCAAAACTCTCAAAAAGGCAGAAGATGACGGCCGCCTTGTCTACTCCTTCTGCTCGAAGTGCTGTGCACCCTTACATCGAGGACTTGCTACAAGCCTCTGCAGGCCTTCAGAAGGAATGCAGCGTCCCGCTGACCGATTTTTTCGGTGATCTGGAAGTCGATCCAGAAATCCGCCACTACGAGGATAAGGATGGATTCCAGCTCCAGCTCCGCTTGCGGTTCTTTTTGGACAAAGACATCAAGATCGAGTCTTTAAAGATGCGACTTGTCAATGGGAGAGGTACCCAGGCTAATGAGGTCTGGCTTGAGCACTTGGAGGAGATGTTGATTAAATCATCGTCCACCAAGTTGCTGATTGGGTCTTCGGTAAGTGATATGGATGCAGTATGACATGTACATTTCTGACTGTGTGTAGACAACGCTGCAGGGAAAATACTTTGTGGACCGCATTGAAATGCGAACTGGGAATATTGTTTTCACTCTCGGGGGGGCCAGTTCGTCGGCATTCCCGCCTGGGTTCAGGGACACAGATGAATCTGAGGAAGAGAAAAGGCCATATATCTGGTGTTATCCGCCGGTTAATGGGCTTGAAGCTAGACTTTCCTCTCCACACTGCATTAATCTCGAAGAGATGAGGACGTTGGAGATTGAGCTGGAAAGTGGGCGGAATGCTGTGAACAAGGGCGTACTCCGTGTACGACCTGCAACGGCTGGCCTACGACTTCGAATCTCAGAAACGACGATAGTTGATGGGCAAATTGAGATGACCCCCAATCCGGAGTCGGGCAATATCGAATTTGTCAATTTTGGGCCCGATGCCTCTGTTCGGTTCCGACTACCGTACACGGTTGATGAGAACCATACCATGCTCTCGGCGAGATTAGAGGTCGTATATGTGACGGACAAGGGTCGTTTTACTTATTCTTCAGCCAACACGATCGTCTCAACCCTGCCGGTCAGCGTTAATGTTCAGGACATCTTTAAGGACGATGTGCTATTTTCTCGATTCACAGTGAGCCCGGCGATGCTGGTTCCTCTCCGAGTTCTAGGCTGTGAGATTCCGAGCTCGGAGTTCTATGAAGTGGAATCCAGCATTCAAGGCCCGGTTGCGATGGATGTCTTCCCGAAACAGCCGGCTTCGATCCTCTACAAGATCAGGCAACGACAGAACCGGGCGCGAATGCAAGGCTCAAAGCGATCTCTCCGTCTTACAGTCAAGTTTACCTGTCTCGATGAGGAATGTCTGGCGCTCGTCAGGCAGAAATTTCGAGAGGCCATTGAGCGGAGCAAATTTGGGCACTTGTCGCGGCTGCTCACTCCATATATCGTGGAGGCCTTTCGAACGCAGTTGTCCACGTCGGACATGGAGACGATCGGATTGGTGAGGGAGGTAGAGATGTTGCCTTTTGAGAGCGTGCAGTGGGGGGTTGTGGTGAGCGCGCTGAAAGAGCCTCTTCGGAAAGAAGTTCAAGATTGGCTCTTGCAATGGCATGAGGTGGGTAGCCTCGATTAACGTAGTTGAAGCCAAAGTTAGCTGACGTTGTGCAGTCCAACCCTGTGCTCCGCCTCCCAGATCCCGACCCATCGATCCTCAGCAAGCAGATCGTCATTCCTGTCGACGTCCCCGAGGTCGAGGTTGTGCATACGGCAGAGTTGCGACTGAGCAATCTGACAGGTCAACCCGACCGCGACCCGGTGCATGCTGCGGTTGGGCACATGATACCGGCTGAGCTGCATCTGCGGCATACGCGACGATGGAGTTCGTCGGCGGAGAGCGTCCCGTTGGAGTTTTCGTACGAGATCCATGCAAATCCGGAGTTGTGGCTCGTGGGTGGTCGCAAACGGGGAAATTTCACTGCTGAGGAGGGCGAGACACGCACGTTTGCCATCATGCTGCTACCACAGCGCGCAGGGCATCTTCTGTTGCCTGCCATTGAGATCAAGACCTTTGCAGCGGCGACTCCGGCTGGTGGTGGCAGTGCTGGTGCGGGGGGACCTGCAGGCGGTCCTTTGCAGCACCAACGACGGGCGATCCACAGCGAAGTAGACTATCGAAATCACGGTGAAACAGTGCTGGTGTTGCCGGATCTGAAGAAGACGACTATCAGTTTAGAGTCTGGGAATCCACCGGGGTCGTGGCTGGTAGATTCGGAGTCAAGGACTGAGATTGACGTCTGATGTAGATAGATATTGTCGATAGAATATATAATCTTTGATGTTATCTACATACGTCTGACAAAGTACATATACATGCCGTATGGGGTAAACAGTAAATTAGGGCTCAGAGTTAGGTCTATGACCCACAGAACTATTACCTAAGCTATTGAATTTATCTGTAATACGCAGTACTCAACACAAAGACGTGTAAAATTACGTACGGAAATTTGCATTATAGGCACGGATGCACCCCTGTAAGGACTCGTAAGATATCGGGACCAATACGAATGGCCTGACCGCTCACCGCTTAGAATACTGCCGGAACTATTCAGCGGTGTCCATACCCCCCCTCGATGCCAAGACGCTACCTAAGATGAGCAACTTGCCAAGAAATGCATCTATTGATCCATATATCTATAGTTCCTAACTTCCTACCTAGGAGGTAAGTCCCCTCCACCAGTAAGAATTCGCATGAATGCCATAACCCCCTTGGAACTTGAAGTTTGGTAAAAGGTCCCTGGCACTATGTGCATTGTGCACCCTTCCCGCCCCACCGGCCTTAACTCTATCCAGAGATGGATGGCCCTTGTCGTCCTCAACAAAATGGATGGGGCTTCCCCAACGGAAATTTAAAAAAAAATTGAGGCACGTTATTAAAAGATGGGGTACGGAGTATGTATGGAGTAAGTACGGGGAGTACGGAGAGTACGGAGAGTACGGAGGAGATCGGAGAAATAACGGGCAAAGCAAACAGCGAAGAGAAAAAAAAAGGTGGGATCTGCCAGCACTTCCCGGATCATGTGATGTGATTCATGTGATTCAGATTTCTGTTTTTTTTTCCTTTTTTGGCCCCGTAATAATAATAAGAATAGCGATGATGATGGTAATAATAATAAGACCGTATTATTTAAGAAATATTTAACAAATATCTTTATTTATTTATTTATTCCTACGGAGTATACTCCATACTCTCTAATTCTGTCTGTTCACCGTCCGGGTTAGGGTTTCTTCGAATGGTAATATTAATAGCTGGAACGATCATCTGTGCGTCTCACTCAATACTCCGTACATATTATTCAAAGGCCATGTCATCATGAATTTTCTTTATATAAAACAAGAGAAGTGCCACCCATGGATCAATGATTGGGATTCGACTTGGCCTTTGTCCTAGGCGTCAACCGTATCATAAGAGGCTTCCTCACCCATAAATTGAATGCCTGCTGTTTCTCCCAATCCTCGCATTGCGGAGTCCATTCCAGATCGAAGTGGAAAAGCAGCCGGGCCAAGACCAGTCTCATGTCAAAGTACGCGAGGCTATACGTATAGTGAGTTAGTTGGTCGCGCAGCGACATGTCAAGTAAGGTATTTTTGCAAGATAAAAACTTACTTCCTGCCAAGGCAGTTTCGGGCCCCAACTGAGAATGGCTGGACGACGGATCAGTTATCCATCGCGAAAGGTCCGGCAGCATCGTCTAGCCAACGTTCTGGAATGAACTCGTCGGGTTGGGTGAAATGCTTGGACGAATGGCACATGGCATAGTTGAAGACGGAAATGGTCGTCTGCCACGGTCAGTTAATAGCATGGTTGCAAACACTTCAGGATACACATCTGCAGGAACGAAACCACAGGCCATCTGCTCGGGAATTCTCGTCCTGTGCGGTAAATTGCCCGCGACGGGAGGATAGATACGCATTGCCTCATCAGGACACGCCAGCATGTACGACAGACCGTTTACGGTGGTGATGTTGATTTCTTCTTCCGAGGAGAATGTGCTCCGGACTTCCTGCTCCAGCTTGCGGAGTTTTTCCGGGTTTTTGACCAGATAATACATCACGCCAGACAAGACTGTCGACGTCGTGTCACTCCCTGAAATCGCCAAGGTCGTCGAGTTGGCAATAAACTCGTGCAGCGTTATGCCGCTGTCCGGGTCCGTGATCCGAGTCACCAGATCGGACCGTTTCCCGCGCATCTGCCAGCGCCGCATGGCCTTTTCTCGTGTCATCTGCCAATGGTCTTTGCGAACTTGGACCAGACGAGCTGGCACAAATCTCTGCAACAGGCGGTTCAGGGTCCGATAATAGGCGGCTGCCCGGAAGTAGGAACCGACTTTGTTGATGTCGAAGATGAACGATATCCAGGGTGGTAGGTGGAGGTCGTGAGACATCCAAAAGATTCTCCAAATGCGAGATCCCCGATGACGTCGAAGGTAAAAAACTAACACAAAATCCAGTTCTTAGTTATGTGGACCAGACAGGACGCCATATCCCGGCACGTACGTTGTACCACTGCACCATATCCACAGTCGACTTTCCTGCAGCGCAGTGCTCATGCAGCCGTCGGATGAATGCAGAGACATATTTCTGGATCGTCTCTTCCTGCTCTCTCATCGCCTTTTCCGAGAACCCGTGCGAGAGGAGGCGTCTCAGCCGTCCATGACGCTCCCCTGGAGCGTAGAAGACGCTGGCTTCCCCCGCTGAAGTGTTTTCGTAGAACATGGGGTCCTTGGGCACCTCGCCCCTACCTGGCCGGTGGCCATATATCTCCTTCCAGGCCTCTGGATTTATGCACGCAAGCTCATCTGGCGCGATTCGGACAACATCTCCATATTTCTGATGCGCTCTGTGCACCTCAAATGGGAGACGACCCTGAAGCAGAGCGCTGATATACCATAGGCGCGAACAACGTGCTAGAAGGGGACCCGGATAGGAGGATAACGGATGGAACCACAGATTATAGATCATTTGCCACGAGGACATAGACACCCAGCTGCTCCCGAACACAAGTACTTAGCATCAACGGTCTCCAATTCGGTCACGGTCTCCGATACTTACTCCGCCCCCTATAACACCAACTCCGACCAAGATCTTGGCGATGAAAGAATCCATCGCAAGGTCCATGCTAGACATCTGCAGAAATGTTTTTGGAATATGAAAAGCAGCAAGTGGATAAACTCATGTCAGCGATAACTAATAGTCAGATGGGAGTCCCACGGCATTGAAATAGGTCCAACGCAGCGGAGATAAGCCAGGTGGTTCTCCGTTCGAAAATCCCGTCGCCGCCCCGGCGCTCCGTCTTCTCCGTCTGAGGTTCGCCCGCGAACGTTGCTGTATGATGGAGGTAGAAAAGGGGGCTAGTAGACGTCAGTTGACGTTCTCCTGCTCAAGACTCCCTTGACTCGGACCATCTTCAGGGTGACCGCCTTCGCTCTGAGTACTCCTAATATTGGCTTTTAGGATCTCCAAGCAGTGGGAGGCACTGCTCTTCCCCGCTTCCAGAACCAGCGGTCGTGGCTCGAGCCCGGCCTCCATTGCTTCGATTTGCGCCAGCGCCATGCTAGTGAAGACATAACCTTTGATATTGGTTTCACCGGCCTTCAGCCTTTCTTCGACCAGTGGAAGAATCGTCTTCACCCGTTCCACAATCCGCTCTCTGTTGACCCTGTTTCTCTGGAGGGTTGTCGGATCCAATGCGTCCTCTTCCAGCTGTGTAACGACCTCGATGCACAGGGTGATTGCGGCATGCTGGATGGTCTCTCGGAACAGACCACGCCCAACTACAAGCAGTCGAAAGAAATCCTCGTCCCGTTCCGGAGAATGCACGACCATGGAGTTATCGAGGCATACTTTGCGGGAATAGTAATATCTCGCGTCGTGACGTGCCTTGGCCGCATAGGGACGATGGAGAGCCAAAAGGAAGCGCCGCAGCAAATGATCCAACAGGTTGCTGTGAAACGTCGTTGCAGTCTGGTCGGTCGACGACGGAGGGTAGGTTTGCAGAAGTTGCTTGCTGTCCCGCAAGGCATTGAACATCTGGGTGCTTAAGCGGAGAATCTCGTCGTAGGATTCTTCAGAAAAGAAGTGATTCACCCTCCGGACCACCTCCAACCGGGTGCGTAACGACTGTCTGAGGATGATCTGTAAGGACGTCTGTGTCCACGTCTGGCAGGCTGTAATCGACTGCGATGTGCTCGTGGTGTCGTCAATCTGGTCATCGTCAACATTCGTCGGCGGCAATGTGTCAAAGTCTTCCATCGAAATCATGGGGGGCATTCCTGAGTCGAGCGCTGACTGGAGGTTCAGTTCAAATACTGTACTCCAAAGTCGTCTCCGAATCTCGGCTTGCAAGGGAGACATCCGGGCGAAGTACTGGGGGGCACGATGCAAGCCCAAGAAAACTGCCGTTCGCAGGAGGGTGCCAGCAGCTATCCAGACCAGATTCCCACCAGCAGCATTGACCTGTCGGGCAAGCACTAACAGACATTGGGTCTGCAGTCCGGCCACCGTGAGTCTGTCTCTCTTTTGCAGGGGAGCTGACACCCACGCCTGGGCGGTATAGATCCATTGACACGCCAAAGAGCGAAGATGGATTTCGTCCGGCGCATCCCGGTAAAAGCGGGCACCGATGGACATCACAAGCATCAAGTTGACCACGAACGTGGTGTGAGCAGCATGGGGATTCGACCAATACTGACAGTACTCCTTCCAGAACGACGGAATATGCAGGATCCTGAACGGGCCTTCCATGATTCTGATGTAGTGACTGACCAAGGCGTCGGCCATTTCTCTCGGAGGGATGGTCTTTTGAGCCTCCTGAACGGACAGGAGAGGGTTGACGCCCTGCATCTTCAGTCTCCTTGCCAGGGCTTTGCTTTTCCTGACCAACTCCTGTATTTCGAAACTTAGCAGATCGCTGTTGAGTGAAGAATGGTCGTGGGTATCTACGTCCACGCTGGCAGTGCGCATTGCATTAAACTGAAAACTGTCAGCCGCCCTGGCCTGCAAAGATGGTCATCTTCTGTTCAGAAACACACTTGCATGAAAGTGTTTGTCCAGTTACTGGGTCCCAACGGCCGCGTCTTCGACAGTGTTCCTCGCAGCTGACGATTTCCGCCGACCGGATCTGACTCCCTTGGTCGGGTCTGCTGGTGACTGTTGACATATCTGCTGCTTTAAGAGTCGTAGTTGATCGCTGATGTCTTGAAGTCTTCTCTCTGCATCAGGGTTCGCCGGCCTTGAAGACGTATCGAACGAACCCGTTGTCCGTACGGAAGGAACTGCATCTGAAAGACCGCGACCAGCATGTTCGTGCTGTGCTCTGCCTGGAGTAGATGAGGTTGGACTGAGATATGTTGATATTGCAGGTAGGGTCGGAGCTGCTTGGCTGATAGACCTCGATGATTGAGCCAAGGACGTAACTTCACTATTACCATTATTATTATTATTATATGTACAGACCGACTGGGTCCGTCTACATCGGCTGCAAGGATCTTTGCGGTCACATTTCACTTTGCGCCTGCGGCAGCGGGAGCAGGAGACGGCAGGCCGGCGCCGTTTGCGGAGCCCTGAATCCATTATTGTCCCCGTTCTTCTGATTAGAACGTCACACTGCTGTGCTAAAAGGTAGAGTGAATGTTGACTGCCAAGTCGATCGGTAAGAAGATCTATAAGTCTGCCGTCGGGGAGCGCGGACTGTCGGGGTTAACGAGCGGGAAATTCAGGACAGGCGGAGCATGACGTGAGGGCCATCCAGGAACATCGGACTCGCATCTGAACAAGCTGCAGACCTCCCGGATCATCTGTATAGCTGACAATATTTCCAGATCAGTCTGCAGCGATGCTTTTTGTCTTGATGAGAGATGTGATGTGCTGGCTGACAATCAGTCATACGGAGTTAGCGCCTTGGCATCTGTTGGAGGACCGGAGATATACTCCTAGGTACTCCATAGGTAGCAAGTCCTGATTCCTAAGGGGCTGGGCTTGCTAAGATTACTTACTTACATCCATTCTTGAATCCAGCGGAAGTTGGTTCGCGAGAGAGGCATACCCAGATCGGAACTGAAATACTGCCATTTATACACTATGAGAGCTACCTACCAAATATAACCGGTCTATATGACAGGGTCATTGTTTATTGCATATATTTATTAAGCCGAATTGCTACCTATTCTTTAAAAAAAAAAGCAAGATAAATCCTGAAAAAGCTAGTAATAGAATAAAACCTTGGACACAACGTAACAAATTAGAATACCATATTAGTTTCCATATTAGAAAAAGAGGAGTACCCCAGTCCCTGTCTAGATAAAAGTTACAACATCATCCTAAATAATAATGGGCTGTGTTATTATCGCTATTTCTACAATATATCTTCCTGCTACAACTCTCTATCTGGTAATATACTATTTACTGACGTTCACTCGATGCAGTCGACCACAGTCCCAACCCCTGCAATGCCGCCTCTTGACAGGTCAGGTCAGACTCGCGACAACAGACGTCTAAGGCGGCTTCAGTTCGAACGAGCAACGATAACATCGTACAGGCCCTTAAGGAGGGCAAGGATACATGGTTTGGCAATGTCGAGGTCACTACTAAAGGGGGGGGGTAACTGTAAAGCTATGCTTGGAGTCTTCCAAGACAGTTCGCTTGCACATCCACATAAGAAGCCCCTTCGGAAAGCTGTTGATGGTGATGAGCTTCTCAGGTAATTATGGGCGCTCCACTTGAGAGATCTCAGGACCTAAAGAGCGCAGGTTGGAAGTTCAAAGAGCACTACTGAATGTTGTCCCATTGTCCTCGACGTCAGGAATGTCTCACATGAATGAAGCCAATGATGTAGGGTTCCGCTGTACTCCGTAATTACTTGTAATATCTGACGATCTGATCTGCTGGGATACAAATCTGTAATTTTCAATACCAATTCAGGTACTCTGTACTCCGTACACTAGATTGCAAACGCAAGAGCGGGATCTGCGCGAGTCTGCCGCGACTAAGATCCCTTAGTGCAGCAGCGTGGTCTGCAGATCTTTACCTGTAAAATCTTGTACCTAGGTACTGGATACAATCACATGGGAAATCGATGACTGACAGTCGAGAATGAACTGGTATATTATTGCAGAGTAAAATTATTATTTTATTACTATCATCCTTCCAGATTATAACCCAAATTGCTACTCCGTATTATTATTATCACTAGCTAGCTTTGTTGCCAGGTATAGATTACCTAAGTACAGTCCGTCTATCGGCCAAGATCTCATAGGCAAAGAAAAAAGGAGTAACACAATTGGCCGATTTCCAGGCGGTGAGAGAGGAAGACAGCAGTGCCTGGTCCCTGACACGACAATTTATTTCCCGAACCTTACCATCCATCCATCCGCCCGCCCGCCCGCTTGGAGAAGCTTGTACGGAGTCTGTATGTATGTACTGTACTGTACTGTATTCATTTTATTACATACTCCTAGGTATCGCCGAGTTTTCAACGAGCGCGCCCGCAACAACCATCCAAGGTTCAGTCGTTCAGATATGGATGTATGCTCCGGAGAGCATCATCAATAATCAACACGTCAGTAGCATTAGTAATTGCTTTTTTTAGTCCATGTCACATGCCACCTTACTCAGTCCGAGAATAATACGGAGTAGATAGATATCATCTGAGCGCAGTAGTTGTAGTAATGGCAATAGATGCCAGTCTGCCTGACTACTTACCTATCCAGGCAGGAGTCGATGCACACATGACGAGAGAGCAGAAACTCTATTTACAATTTACTAATTCCCTACCCCAAACTCTCTCTCTCTGGTGATCTGTGATCTGTGATCTGTGATCTGTGGCTGCTGCTGGCTGGCTGGCTGGCTGATCAGCATCCTCATGAGTCACGCTGGATAGTTAGCTTTTTGTGAACAAAAGAAAACATATCCATCCAGCTCGATCGAGCGATTAATTGATCTGCTTATTTTTCTTTCAAGGCTGGCTTGCTGGCTAGCTGAACGGAGATCTCCGAAGTGTGCAGATGGCAGATGCAAATGCTCCGCCACAGGTTCATGCATTCGAAGAAGTGTTCTTTATTATTACTTGCAGAGGTTGTTACATGCATGCATACATGCATGCAAACAAGCCTGCATGCTTCGTGTTCAGTTCGCTAAAAGTAAAAGTAAAAAAAGGTACGCACTGGCAGTTTACACAAAAAAGAAGAAAAGGGAAAAAAAAAAGAAAGGAATGATGTTCCGTCCAACACTCCAACGGATGCTATGATATCATTTCATGCATATATGTAGCATGTAATATGTCTGCCTGCCTCGGCAGATGTACCTGCATCTGCGCCCCAACAAACAAACAAAATCTTGTTCCAATTAAAGTGCACTTACTTACTGATGATGATGATGGCCAGCGGGGTGGTGGCGCCACGCATGTGCGTGCCAGCAAAGCCGAATGAACAACGCGGGATTTGCTTGCCCTGGATGTTTTTTTTAAAAAAAAAAACTCATCGCTCAGTCCATCATCGAGTCACAGACTTACAGCTGTTCGTTCATTCATTCATTCAGCTAATAGCTGGTTGTTATTGATCCCTACGACCGAGAAGAGTGTGCGGGATTGAATAATACGGAGTAATATCACGATCGGCTAAACCCTGATCAACCAACCAACCAAACCAACCGGTTGTCCGATCGGAGAAGCCATGCATGCACATGGCAAGTCAATTCAACTCAATTCAACTCTCCCAAACTCTGTCTGAACCATTTCTTCCTGCTTCCCATTCTCTGCGTCTGATAAGACGTAAAACACGCCACTCCGGGTCTTGTCTTGGCCGGGGATCATGCTGCGGGTATTCCCGGTAACGAGAATACCGACAGACAAATTCCATACATTTCTTTCCGCGCCTTGTTGTATTACACATGATGTGAAATTTGAAAAGCTACCAAATCTCACCTTGGTCATGAATTCTACCTCCTCGAGTCCTCCGTATGTAATAGACTGATTGGCAATGCATTGGCCATCTGATCACCCCTATCTGACTTCATGTTGGAATCAAATTACGGCTTCTGCCGCACGGGAAGAAATCTAGAAGGTCAGATGGAGCATGTCGATCCACCGGGACACCTTGCATGGTTAGCATGCAGAATCGCCTGCTCCACTCCCTCCCAAAAGGGCAGAACTAAAATGACAGTCCCGCGGACTCTGTATTAGTGGCGCAATCCCTCCCCCAAAAATTACCACCAGCGGTTGAGGCAAAAAAAAAAGAGGGCCGTGTTGAGCGCAAAACAGATAATCAATGACGAGCTGCACCGCAAAAAAAATTAATTACCGTCCTAGCGGACCGTACTCCATACATACAAAGGAGAAGACCTACCTGGGGAGCGATCTCCATTTCTCCCCAACCCTTTATTTGCCCTCTTCCACCTCCTCCTGTCTTTCCCTGTCCCCTTGCCCGTCTCTCTCCCCCGTCTCTCCCTTTCCAATTCACTTTTGCCTCTTCGGCCCAACGTTCCAGTCCAAGCAAGCATTGAGTGCTGGTTTCGCAGGAGCCGCCACCAGGGGTACCGTCAATTTCGAACCCTAATTCCTTGTGATCCTGTTTTTCTGGTGAGCAACACATCAAGGTTCTAGAACATGTAGATTGTTCATGATCTTGACTTCTCCTGTTTCATTCCGTATCTCGTAATTGGGATAATATTATTTCATTGCCATTGATGAGACCCAAGACTAATCGAACTTGGGAATTGCCAGAACCAGCAATATCAGCGTTGGATTCCGTCCGGTGTTTTGCGTCGTGCCTCCGATAGAAGATGACATCCACCGCAATCGAACAGCGCACTGCGCTTCAGCGCAACCTGACGACCGACTCGTCCGTCGCCAGTTCTGCATCGGTGTCTCCAATTGACAGCCCGCGTCAATCCCCGTCCTCGACCTCTTTGTCTTCGATGGCTTCAGAGGCGGAGACGAAGCCGAAGCCGAAGTCCAAGATGCTCGACACGTACGGCAACGAATTCGAGCTCCCGGACTACACGATCAAGGATATCCGTGATGCTATCCCGCCTCATTGCTATGAGCGCTCCGCAATCAAGGGGTTGTACTATGTCGGGAGAGATTGTGCCTTGATGGCGACCACCTTCTACATTTTCCACAACTATGTGACCCCGGAAACGGTGCCGTACATGCCCCTTCGCGTCGTCCTGTGGACCCTGTACACCGTCCTGCAGGGTCTCTTTGGTACCGGATTGTGGGTGTTGGCCCATGAATGTGGCCACCAGGCCTTCTCGACGTCCAAGGTCCTCAACGACACCGTCGGCTGGATCTGCCATTCGTTTTTGCTCGTCCCCTATTTCTCCTGGAAGATCTCGCACGGCAAGCACCACAAAGCCACCGGCAACATCAGCCGTGACATGGTGTTCGTCCCCAAGACCAGGGAGCAGTATGCCTCTGCTATCGGCAAAGCCGCTCACGAGCTGTCGGAGCTGATGGAGGAGACCCCCTTTCTGACTGCCACCAATCTGGTCCTGCAGCAGCTCTTCGGCTGGCCCATGTACCTCCTCACTAATGTCACCGGCCACAACAACCACGAACGCCACCCCGAGGGACGCGGAAAGGGCAAGAGGAATGGTTATTTCGGAGGCGTCAACCACTTTGATCCCAACAGCCCTCTGTATGAGTCCAAGGATGCTCATCTCATCGTTTTGAGTGACTTGGGACTCCTCCTCATGGGCTGCGTGCTCTATTATATTGGATCGAACTTTGGCTGGGTCAATCTCCTCGTTTGGTACGGTCTGCCTTATCTCTGGGTGAACCACTGGCTTGGTAAGTCTTACTCCATCAGCAGATTTTTTTAAGGGTTTCTTCTGATAGGTTTGCAGTCGCCATCACCTACCTGCAGCACACCGACCCGACTCTCCCTCACTATGAACCCGAGGTCTGGAACTTCACTCGTGGTGCAGCTGCCACCATCGACCGCGACTTTGGCTGGGTTGGCCGTCACCTTTTCCACGGCATCATCGAAACCCATGTTCTGCACCATTATGTGAGCACCATCCCATTCTACCATGCTGATGAGGCGAGCGAGGCCATCAAGAAGGTGATGGGCAAGCACTACCGCAGCGAAGCGCACACCGGCCCTCTGGGTTTCTTCAAGGCGCTCTGGACCAGCTGCCGTGTATGCCAGTGGGTTGAGCCCACGGAGGGTGCCGAGGGTGAAAGCAAAGGTGTCCTGTTCTACCGCAACAGGAACGGACTTGGTGTTCCCCCGGCCAAGATCCCCCCGCCTTCTTCTTGAAGCGAGCGATCAACTGCGAGTCGATGACACTTGAGTGCTTTTTGTGGTACTCTCGCCGGATCGAGCGGCCACGATTGAGCGCTTCACTGTAGATATCGTGGACTCTGCGTTCAAGGCATCAGGAGTGATCTCTTCTCATTGCTATATTACACTTTGTTAATCTGTTAGTGTTCTGCCAGATAGATTTTTTTGTTTCTTGGATGTTTGTGCCAGCCATGATCGCATATGTATTCGAGCTTGTTGTTCCCTTTCGGCTTCACTTCCATCCACCGTGGATGTTATGTTGCGACAGATGCATCGAGAGTGGAGGAGCCATCCATAGTATGGATGAAAGGATGAGTGCAATGAGAATAGAGATCATAGACGAGAAGAATCTAGACCTGTTTGGGTAGTAAAGTGGATGAGAATGTCGACAAGAGTAAACAGGAGTCAGTGTAGTAGCTTGCATGAGAGTAGTCAGAGTATGGAAGGAGGAAAGGCAAGATTAATGGTGACAGAAATGAAGGATAATCGAAGACAACAGAATGAAATCATCAAGAGGGTGTGTTTACTATTTACTGTCTAAAGTGCGGGGAAGGTGCTTCCTAAGCTTCCGCACACCGCCGCCAGGCAAGCTCTGGCCTTAGAATCTCTCTAATAAAATAACAATCTGAGATTGAGCTGAAATGAAGCTGGAGTATGACATTGATCTGACACTGGATTTGTAATGATAATAAGAGGCAGTTCGATATTGTTCGGTAATGAGAGCTACAGCGCTCAGGAGCTTGGACTGAGCTTACGTCGCCTATGCACGATGGATCCTGTAGCTGTAGCAAGCACTGCTTGATTCCTGAGGAAATGCAGGGGCATAGTTGTCGCATTCCTATACTTTCGAATGCCTGCTCATATTCAAGGGTCTAGTACATCATATTATAGAAAGCATATCCGCAAGAACATGCTGCGGACTAGCAGCATAGAAGTGTGCCTCTGTTGTGAAACACTCCGTTCAAGATAACAAGTTCATTTTATTGCTTTATACTTCTAATTCCGCCCTTCCATATCTCGAATTCTACCTCATCGCTGGCATTGTCCGCCCTTCCGGCTGTCCACGGCGCAAATACCAGTTTGAGCCGTCTCTTGGTAATCTTGTCTGCAACTAGGGATGGTGTTGACGTGGGTACTCTCGCGGACAGACCCCTCTCGTCCCCTTGGCTTGCTGTTGGCTTTACGTCGGTGGAATCTGTCTCTTGAGAAGCTGTCTTCGAATCGTCTGGGACTGGAGTTGCTTCCGGTGGCCGTGTCTGTGAAGAGGGGGTCGCCGCAGGAACCGTGTCGACAGGAACCGGTAGAGGTTGAATTTCGTCCTCCTTCTTCAGTGATATGCGACAAGCTATCTGGTTTGACCAGACAAAGCCCAAAGCCGGCGTCTTTTGAGACTCTGAAAACTCGAGCTCCGGTGCGTCACCCCAACCGGTGAAAAAGCGCTGTTGATGGGCTAGACTGAGAGTCTCGTTTCTCACCGGATGGCCAACGATGTACGCGCCATCGAAAGATTCATCCTCGACGTACGGCGAAGACGGGCCTGGTGATGAGGAAGGGGTTGTCTCCGCGTTCCAACCTTCGACTCGATTTCTCGGCAGGGGGGATCTGGCACCAGACTCACGCTCTCGCATCGCAGGCGTCAAGGTTTGGCTGGACCTCAATCGCGGTTGGTCGTCGAAGGAATCGAACCGGTCAGAGACCTGGTTTGCGACTACGACAGCAATGTCTTCCTTGACAGCGAGATTTCGCAACATCTGACCCAGTCTTGCCAGTTCTCCCGAGCGCGTGGATATCCCGGACACATTGTGCGATTCGTGTTCGGCACGGTAATTCGCAGCGATCGAATCAATAACCACAAGGCCGACATCGTAACGCGATATGGCAACCGGGAGCTGGTAATTGAGGATGTGGTCCTGGGTTTCCAAGTCGATAGCGTTGATAGAAAGGATATTGGCGAGAGACGGCGCAGTATCGGGAGGTAGAGTAGATAGATACGGATGGGTCTCCAACAGCTGGGACAGCCTCGTCGTTGACAACGGTGCCTCCGTCGATATGTAGATCGCTCTCTTGCCGAGGCCTCGAGGTCGGGGAAGCTGGGCTGTGAGGAGAAGATTGAGCAGGAATTGCGTCTTACCACTCCCGCTGCAACCGCGGTCAGACCTGCTCGTGTAAAGAAAGTGTCAGAAACGAAGTGCAACGAACCTCTCTCCAGTCACTTCCGTGAGATATCCCGTTGGTATTCCACCATCCAAGAGCGCGTCCAGCGCGGGGTCAAGAGTGCTGATCGTGCTCCAATGCGAAAGATCTAGCTTGGTTGACGGCCCAGGGATGAGACGGGGCTCATCCAGGGTGCTTGGGCTTGTTTCTTCCTCATCCTGCACCTTGGTCTTGGGCTGTTCGCGCTCGAATCCCAGGTCGCGGTGTAATGCCTCGAGGACATCGGCGCACAGGCGACGGACATCGGCGGGGGGAACGTGCGCGCGTTTCGCGATCTCAAGCGTGTCGAGGGTGATCAAGTCGACAGTGCTGATGTGCTTCCTCTCGAGGGACGGGAGGATATGGGTGTATTGTTTTGTCGACAATCTGGGCAGGATTGATAGGAGATCCATGCAAGTGAGAGGCGTTGAGTGATGTTCTTTCTACTGTGCACGCGTACGTTCGCAGTCAGAGTTGCTTCCGCTTCCTTTCCGCGGTACCAGAACACTGGAAACAATTATCTAGTTTCAACATCCATGTTCAACCTACTTTTTTCATGTAGGTTTCAATGAATTTATTAATTCATAATTGAGAAGCATCGAAAGAATTTCTGTTGTGATTTACTAGAACTAAGATGATCAGAGATTGCAATACGTTGAGCATGTATTTGTTGAAATATATATATTTCCAGTTTACGGTTACACTGAACCCATTACATAGATCCAGACCATTAGTCACTAATATCAGAAAGCCACACACAGACTCGCAATAAGGTATGCTTTGCAGCGTCAACTCATCATAATAAGCTATATTTATTTTGATTTACTGAAACCTGTAGAAACTGAAGGGTATCTGACTGTATCGACAGCAAAGAGACATGAAGAACTCCGGACAAACTTAGAATACTATCATAATAATTTGATTTTTTTTTCGTTCCGATGCCCCTTAATACAGTAGAGTTAATATATAAAACAGAATGACACTATCACACCTATGCGTGGTTGATATAAAAAAAGCTGCACCAGTGACTCTTAGGATCTAAACACAGGCTCAGAGCTATTAGAATAGATATATGATGATTAACCACCAAATATACCATTACACTGCCCAGTTATTGTCAAAGGAAGAATAACTACCAATAACAATCCCATATCCTCGACACAAGAGCCCGATGCACTAACCAGTATTTTGAAAATTCTATAGCATAACTGTTAAGCATTTCGTCTGACGAGAAAAGCATTCTCCAGAAAATCGCACAGTACGTTTCCTATTTCGCGAAGCTGCACTTTTTTTTTTCTCTTTCGTTTATTATTCTACTAGTTTTGAAGCTCAAAAACGCAAGGAATAATAATATCCCAAACGAGTCAACCTTCTACGGACGGGAGTTTCCTCACCTGAACAGTAAAGCAATGGATATGGACGAATGATATCAAACTCAAAACGAAATCACACTCTGGACGGAAAGACAGCAGAGCAATCGCTGAACTGACTCGATAGAATACATTTCCAAAATTGCCGAAGAACCAAAAAAAAAAGGCACTAGATAAGTCATTCACAAATGCCGATTTGTCCCACCCAGAATACTCCATACTTCATTTGCATATGATCAGTAATTATTCCTATGAAGTCATCCCACCCGACAGACTGGAAGTGGTGACAGGCAGCACGAGGGCGTTCGGGTCATGAGGACGACTATTACTATTACTCCGTCCTCTCCACACCACACCACACCATCCCTTGGAGGTGCTTATCATCTGGTGGATCATTTCGTTAGACTTAGACTATTGTCTCCGAGCTTGAGTCTTTTTTTTTTGCCTTTCGGAGTTTTATCAGATTAGGGAAGTACCGTGCATGCACATGCATGAGAGATGTCATCTGCAAGGGGACGAGAGTAGAAAAAAAAAGGAAAAGATCTTTCGGGTCTGTCGCTAAGTTTGTACAGGACGGAGTACATGCAGGTTGTGAGTTTTGCTCTCTTGTCAGCAAACAATTCCAGTATGTACTCCGCACAGAGCACCCCGTACGGGGCACACACACCTACCTCTACAGGAGAAAACCTTGACGAGGCGAGACTGAAATCCACACTTCGTAAGACCCTGTGGGTGTCTACTTCATACTGTCAACCATGTGTCAATCTCTCTTATCAAAATGCATACAGAATACGTCACAGAGTACAGAGTACTACGAACCAATATGTAGTTCTCTGGTAAAATCCAAAGGATGAATAAGATCAAACTAGTACCTGCACCTAGGGATTGAACAGTGGAGATGATGATGTCTTCAACAATCGATAGTCTGTCGACTATTCTGGCAGGCGATATTCAACGGGTGCTATCCTATCTACCGAACCGAACCGTTAATATTAGTCCGTAGTTAACCGACCGATGAGGCGTGGAATGATCTATCCGCAAGGGACCTACCTAGGTTAATAATAGCTGCAGATGCAGGTGCAGGTGCAGCTCCCAACGAGTCATGGACTCGTGATCCGCCCGGATGGCTGGTCATGGACAGACAGACAGACACATGGCCTCCTTTGACGTAGGGAGTACATGGTACATGGCACTAGCGATTAGTGACTTCAGGAGATGATAGTGAGAATAACGGCGCCTGTCACTGCCGGAAAAAGACTCCTACGGAGAACTCGCAGCAGTGCAATCATTATTAATTGGTGATTACTCCGTCCCCAGATATTACTAACGAACTATTACTATTAACTACTGTCAGAGTCGGAGGACGGAAGCCATTCGCCCGACTCGAAGCAAGGAAGTCGGTACTCGGTGTTCCGTAGAGCACTGCTGAGTACTCCAACGAGAAAGGTTTTCTTGGACGCTAAGTCATGACCTGGCTGCTACCATCCCAAGATTTAAACCCTATTGAGATATTATGGCTTGTTATTAAAGAGTGATTTAAACTCACTATCAAGCTGAATTTATGAGTCATGATGAGCTTTTCAAGGCAGTCACAGCAGCATAGAAGACAGTTAGAGTCAATAAATTGAGAAAACTGATTGGCACAATGCGTCAGCAATGCCTTGATGTCATTGAGGCGAATGGTGGTCATACCGGGGGTCCAGGCAGCCGGCCAGGCAGGCAGGCAGCAGGTTGGTAGGAAGGTAGGTTAGTAGGTAGGTAAACTACAATGCACAGAGATTTTAAGGAGCACCAGGATTAACTGTATCCTAGTTAAATTAGGGTAAAGAGATCATTCTGAGCAGCATAATTTCCAGGTGTTTTATACATGACCTTGGGGTTTAGGGCTTGGAGCCGGGGATTAGGGCCCGGGCTAGCGTGGTAACCGTCTACTTCAGGGCGGGAAGAAACAACCAGTACCTTGTCTCCTTCACTTTGTCAGCTGCCTGGGCTAGCGAGGAGAATGGTTGAATCCGGATTTACTGTGCTCCTGCCTTCACTGAGCCTGGCCCTCAGGCGCGTGTGGCTCGTAGCATTGTCATTGAACCTAACTGCTGCTGAGTAACAGGCTTTCCTGATGCCTACGCTACCGCATACCAGCGTCTCTCGTCCCATCCACTCCTCCCCGTTCTTCTTACTCCAGTCCTCTTCTGCCTCGCCTTCAAAGGTGTCCGAAGATCGTGAAATGTGAAGAAGATGGACTCTGGTGATTCGGATGACCAGAGTGAGGAGGAAGTGGTCCTGCGGGACGCAACCGACTTCGACTACGAACGCTTCGATCCAGTCTTGATCAGGGGACAACAACACTTGTACCCAGGTGAAATTTCCCCCGAAATTCGGGAGTATTTGGGTGATCCTCCAGGTCAGTACAGCGCAATGACATTAGCATGCGGCTTGATACTGGATTTTTCTAGAAGCACAAGGAATCTAACAAATTCCGCATAGATACATGCCCATGCCAGATGATAGGACCAGCTCGAAGTATTTTCTACATGTGTGGGTTTCATAATATCGTGGCGATGATCGATGACCCGGCCTATGTCCTTGAGGACGAGGTCGTGAGTATTCCGCCTGGCTGTTTCCCCGCTTCGTTTCTCCTCGAGCGCTATTTTGAGGAAGGAAAAAGTCCCCAGGAGTACGGTCCTCCACCATATGGGATTCAGGACGGACCCTGTGGTTCCCATTTTCACCGCATTTTCGATTCCTACTGCAGTCACCTCGACGGTCGCCACCCATCGAATCACAAATCTCTATCCCACCTGCCGACCGAGATCAAACTCGGAGACTGTAAGATGTCTCCAGTTGAAGAATGCCAAAAACTCGGCGAAGTTTGGGAAAGAGGCAAAAGAACACTTTCCCGATGGGCTTCTGGATAGCGACTCGCTGGTTTTTTGCGGTCTATCCCTATCCACACTAGAGCTATGCTTGGCCTTCTTCGTCCCCTTTATCAAAGCCAGCTCTCTCGACAATGAGTTCGGCCCCGGCATATACGTCACAAGCAACATGGAGGTGGCGAAGGACTGCGCTGGGAGTAACGGGGCGATAATGGTATTCCAGAAGCCAGATGAGCGCGACCTAGCAGTGTGGAAGCCGACAAAGATGAATGGAACCGATTGACTGCGAGTTGGTTAAAAATTCCATTTCAAAACATCACCATGCCCGCTGAGTACCGAACAGCCGATATCATCGTGGGGCCCATGTCGGATGACCAACGCGAGGCCCGAAAACAAAAAAGATTTCCAACACAGAGTGATAATTTACAGATGGCTTTTGCGTCCTATCGTTCTTGCGAGAGACTTCGAGAGTCACTGATTGCTATCATTTATGTGTACACATGAGAATCTAACACGTCAGCCCAGAGATTCTAGCCTCTCTGCCCATCGATCTTAGTCTTTGATACCCTGGGAGTTGCTGGTTGTCGCTTGAAATGGATGGTCTGTACTGTTTCTGTTAATAGCTTTTACTATCTCCAGATGGAATCAATTGCTTCCTTGATCTCATTCTTTTTTCATTTCAGCCTGCATAAAAGAGACGGAGGCTGCCACAAGACGTGTCCATCGCTGGGAAACGTGTCGTAGATTTTCCATACGTAAATTAATTAATAATTTTGTTTCGGGGAGTCCATTTCTCAATTACCAGCAGCTTGTACAGTAGAGATGGAGGACATTGGCTATGGAATCTGCATCAAATTTCTGCCGATTTATTTAGGAGTGAACTATTATTATTACTGCTGTGGTCATCATTGTTATCTGTTAACAGCATGGTGCGCTGGATATGCCCAACCAGGTCTATACAGAAGACAGGAGAAGATACTCCGTACTTGCCGGCCGTTAGGAACCAGGAACCGAATACTCTCTTCAGGTCGGCTTGGCAATGTGAGCTGTGAGCTGAATGATATGATGTATGTGGCTGTCGAGAGTAGTACGGAATGCATGTAGCTATTCTGTGCTGTAAATAAGAAAGTGAGGATTAGCTATGTTCATTAGAAGAGAGAGAGAGCAGTGTTGACTTGAGTAAGTTTTGTATGGTAGTTAGAGGACTGGTTATCTTTGTAAGTCTATCACTATCTACTTTGTCCTTTGTATTTGTATGTACAGACTGCAGTCGGAGATTAAGTCAACTCAACAGCAACAATCTCAACGGCTTCGGAGTAAATACTCAGAAAAAAAAATATCTTGCTGAGTCCTGACGGACCTGTCTATACCTCCTACTCTGTACGGTTAGACTCCCAGCCCGGCATGGTTGACGTGAGTAGACACGCCTTGTGACATGTCAATTTTCTCCACAGACACGGAGGTACCCCGTACAGAACAACTGCTTTACAGGTTTGCTTCCAGCCAGCCAGACATCTCGGATTGTATTTGTCCTAATACCAGCAGAGTTTCTTACAGTGTTCATCATAATAATAATAATGACATTAGCGTTGTAGTCTACGGCGAGGCAGGGCAGTTGTCCTGCAAGTCTGTCGTCCATGTACATACGTACGGAGTACTCCTGAGACATCTAAACGTCGTGTTGATTTATAAGTTATCGTACTCGTACGGAGTACTCTGTACGGAGTAATCTGGTGAAGATCCTGATAATAATATATCCTCTGTACGTATCCCTTTCTTCCCCAGAGCCTGGCCGGTTCGCCTGCCATGCAGCTCTCTGCATGCACTATAGGCCGTGCACAGATCATCTGCATCACCGTTGCAAAACCGTTGAACTAAGAACAATAGTAGCTAATTAGCATGGCTGCTGCAAATGCAATCGTTCTTCGTATTGATAATAATAGTTCGATGCAGGAATGATAATATGATTAATACTAGGCTAACGGTTAGCGGCTGCCTCGTGTTGAATTGCAGCATTACTCCGTACTTATCGCTAATCGCCCTGGCTATTCTTGCTGGGTTAGCAAATCCCGTGGCTGCAGGTCGATACGAGGAGGCTGTAGCCCTTCTTCCTTCAGTCGGCAGCAGACTGCTTCGTATTCCGTCTTCTGTCCCCTGCCAAGGTGTTGAATCCACTGATCCAGGTTGCTGTTCTGTAGACTGGCCTTTGTACGACGTCTAGCGAAACAAGTTAGATGATCGCCAGCCGTTTCACCATCGAGGCGGCGGCTATCTCCAGGGGCCAGCAGCCAGCTGGCCAGGGGTAGAGGCACAGACCTCCCTCGCACTGACCTGCCAATACATTTTCAGGTCCGGATGTTTGCTCCGTACCTATCAGAGAACACCGTATATATTAATAATCTTTCTGTCATTTCTGTCATACTGGAGACCAGAAAGGAGCTGGAGCACTGCCGAATATGCCATATTCCATACGGAGTGTACGGAGTATGAAGTATGAAGTGCTCGTGTGCATTGGGTGGCACAGTGGCAGGCCCTGTTGTAAGCATACTGTGCAGCTCAGCTCAGCAAAGCTGAGAGCGCAGAGCTAGAGATTCTATTTCTGCTACCGTAGAGCCGCAATTTCTAGAACATTGGAAGGAATCGAAGGAATCTGCAAAACGTGTCTGCTAATTGCATCTAGAAGCGCGCTTAATCCTGTACGCAATGATATACAGACTGGGCTGCAGTCTGCAGGCAAGAGAAGAAGGCTTGTCTTAGCGACTACTCCGTACTCTACCAAGTAACCACCAACTACCAGCCCAGGAACTCGGTGTCTTGGTCCCTCGACGATTTCTATTTCTGTATGAACAGGATTCTGACGGTCCTGACCAAATCCCGCTGCCAAACCTTAAACTCCAAACGAGCATCACTACTGTCTGAGGTTTGAACCCTTCCCAAAAGAGGCTTCATTCGACGAGATCGACGGCTATTCTCTGGACGGTAAGCGTCGTCGTATCTCCATCATTTGTCATTGGAGAATAAGAGGGAAATTTAAATTATAGTTTCTGACCGAAAGCCAATCTTGCTCGATGTTAAACGTTTAAGTTCAGAGCTTTTCCTCGAGGAGAATCGAGTTGTGGAATCGGGGGTTGGATAGGCAAACTTTGTTTTTCTTTGCCGGTGCTCCACCGGGGAGTAGAGATAACAGAGTGTTATCACTACGGAGTACGGAGTACTCTGTACGAAGTATGGAGTATGGAGGAAAAGATAATGCAATTGAGACGATCTCTCTCTCTCTCTCTCTCTCTCTTTTTAAGGTTTCATTTCAATTATGTTCTTCGTGCTGTGTTGTCTTCTGCAACTGTGATTGCCGTAATGTACTCCGTACCTGCAGGACGAAGGATTGCCCAGTTACGAACCCCGAATAGGGATGGATAATTTTGTGATTAATCAGAGCTTATTAATCAACGCTCTATCATGCCTACCTAACCTAACAGGACAGTGGAGAAAGAATGCACTATCCTAAATAAAGATTGTGCACTGCTTCGCTTCGCTTCACTTTGACCAAGTCAGGGGCTCCACAAAAATCGCACCAATCGAGTCGGCATGGCAGCTGGGCCTTGGCTCGCTGGAACCGGTAGAGGCGGTGGTCCGGTGGAGAGTTGAGGTTGATTCTCCGTCCTATCGCGGGTAGATCCGATCCTGCTGAAGCCGAAGCAGGACGGAGGACGGAGGACGAGGACCGAAGGATTATTCCCTCAACTTCCTTTGGCCTCTTCTCTTGGCAGGCTCAAAAATCAATCCTGCAGTTGACTCTGTACGGAGTACTGTACAGAGTACTGTACTGCACAAAAATGAGGCTGATTAATACGCAGCCTTGTAGGATTTCTCAGTTGCAGTCTATCGAGTAGAGATGGTTGACCGTTGATGGATCCAGTATGGAGTATTATGGAGTACTCCGTACGGAGTATTGTGGGACCGAATTTTGTTGTCTTCCGTATTCCGTACTCAGTGAGTACAGCCTTGGTAAGCTGACTGAGCTGAGTGAGCTTTCTTCATATTATTGTCATCAGATCTTCCATACGAAGAATAATCCAGAGAACAATTTTGAGCATCCAATCCGTATGCACTCCGTCTTCCGCACGGAGCACTCGTTCTCTATCGACCTACTACAGTTCGCAGTAGTTCACGATCGCTTAGCATAGAGCTGGCACTGGCAGCGATGATCATCACCACACCACACCACACCACACCGGCCGCCAAGTCTAGAGCCTGCAAACGAAGCGCGCAGAGTGCAGACAGCCGGACATGCAGAGAGGGAAGCAGGAGCACAATCCGATAGGCAGGGTAGAATTTACTCTCTGTACGGAGTATGGAGTGCCTTTAAGCAGTTCGCAGGCTTACACGTGTTGAACTGTGTATGAATAATTGCAGTGAAATTTAACTGCAGCATTATTATGCTGGTGGAGTACAGAGTACAGAGTACTGTAGTGCGAACCTCCAATGACAATAATTCCCAGATATCATCCTCCATGGATCCATAAAACTCTCAAATTCCTGATCTCAAAAATATATATATTCTGCATGCGATATATATATATATATTTACACGCTCGATGCAACAGTAAATCATTCATGGTGGGTCCCGATTAAGTTTCTCTTTTTTTAAACTTTTCGGAAAATGAGAACAAAAAGGAACAGAAGAAGCGAAATCGAACAGAAGGATGAACTTTAAAGATGCAAGTAAAAAAAAATAAGATTTCGCATGTTGTGGTTCGATTCAGCGAACTCAAGATGCACTGGTCAGTACCTACCTAGGTATATATGGCTACATACCTCGGTAAGGCTAGATGGCTGCCTGAAGCAAAGTTTAAATTCGGATCAAAAGTACTCTGTACAGGACACCATCCAATGATGGATTATGATCACTGCAGTAAGAATTCAAAATACTGCTCAGGCTAGATCTGATGATGAGATCTCATCTCATCGATCTCTGGATCGTATTCGAGTTGCGTCATTATTATTTTACTAAAACCAGTGATCTGGTGACTGCTGACTGGTGAGTCTGACTGCTGACTGTGACAGTCCCGTGACTGCGGACAGGCAGCAAGCAGTGCCGCAGCAGTTACAACCGTGGCTGCGGATACTCTGGACAGAGAGTCTGGACTCTCTTAACACGTCACAGTCCCAGTTATACAGCAGTTCTGGGACTCCAGTCACTTCACGCGCAGTCAGATCGACGGAGGAATGTCGGCAGTTGAGATCGAGTCAGTCCCGTCGAGTCGAGAGACGAAGTACAGTGTACAGGGTACGCAGATCTACAGCACAATTAATATCGTCCAGCGATAACGTGGTAGTACTGTGTCCTCCGTCTTCTGTCCTCGACTCGGCTGCCCCTGCTTCCGGATGCGGGCATGCCATCGCCTGACTCGAGATTCGTCGAGACCCCTGCCTGGACCCGCCGGCGCTTGACGAATGGGCGGACGCGCTCCGAGTCTGCTGGACGGCGCTAGACCCGTCTGGGCGCCGGCGGCCGCAGCAGAACCCTGGCGCCGGGCACAAGGCCGACAGAGCAACGGGAAGCGCAGGGCCCAGCCAGCGCGGCCGTCCCTAGTGCCCGCTCCACGGGTCACCAAGGACACGCCGTCGGTGCAGATCTCATTTTTGAGCCAGCATCCCTGCCTGGCCAGTCTGAGTCGTGTTGGTGGCGCGGCCCGACAGATCGTGAGGGGCTGCCATCCTGCGCAGCGCTGGCCGGTGCGACGCTACCGGGCGAGGTTGGCCCGGAATATTGTTGCGGTCGTTGCACCGCGACCGGCTGGCAGGTCCCTGGGCTAGAGCAGAGTCAAACCGCCGTTCTGTCGCGTCGACCATCCAGCCCGGCTGGACCTGATCCCGGCGTCCTGAGTCAGAGGGCCGGTCAGCACATGCCCCGTTAGGCAGGCCCTGCAACGCCAGGCAGGATCCGTGGCTGGCAGGCTGACTCGACTGCGGAGTGGTGCGCGCATGTGCCAGACCCGGCGTCGCTGCGGTTAGCGTGGGACCCGAATACCCGGGCGATGGGCGGGCACAAAGGGTCGTTCGTTCCAGCAGAGCAGTTGCTGGGAAGCCTGTTTCTGCTTGGGGCCTGTGGGAGAATTTTCCCGGGGCGAGCAGGGAGGCCGCGGCCGGCGCCTGGCTTCTGACTCGTCCAGCGCCGGCCCGCCCAGCGCGCAGGG